TCCAGTGAGAAATGCACTTATATTTGGATGTTTTCTCTAGACATTATGGGCTGCTTCTTTACCATTAAAAATAGAAATAAAAACAAATTCTTGGAGGAAAGATGGAGTTAAAGAATAATAATTTGGACAGAATGAGAGGCTGTTATTCAAGCAGATGTGTTGTAAATAAATGAGTCCAAATAGATTTAATGGAACTTTTAATGTATTTATTAAGGCGGAGTTCAGAATTAAAGTGGTATTTTAAAGCATTGTAATCATTGCACCAAAGGGCAAAGGGTAATTGGTGACTTTAACAGCCATAGCTATGTATTGGGCTGTGCTCAGGAGGATAAAAATGGGGAGGCCGTCCTCTCCTGGGCTGAACTGCACAAACTATCACTTATTCAAGATCTTAAGCTCCCTCCATCCTACAACAGTGGGAGATGGCACCAAGGATATAACCCAGACTTCCTATTTGTGAGTGACAGCATTGTGCAGCAATGCACTAAATCAATTGGACCACCAATACCAAACACATAGCATAGGCCAATAGTATGCCAATTGTTTCCAACTATGCAGCATCAAGAAGTTCAATTTAACTTCAGAAAGGCATATTGGACTAAATTCTCAGACATGTTAGATGACAAGATTATATCGGTCGCCCCGATCCCTGGGAAGGAAACCCACTGGAACACACCCAAATACCTGGGAGTTACCCTGGACCATGCTCTGTCCTACAAGAAGCACTGCTTGATTATCAAGCAAAAAGTGGGTACTAGAAACATCATCATTTGAAAGCCGACTGGCACAATCTGGAGATCACAACCAGATACAATGAAGACATCTGTCCTTGTGCTTTGCTACCCTGCTGCTGAGTACACATGCCTAGTGTGGAACACATCTCACCACACTAAAACAGTGGATGTGACCCTTAATGAGACATGCTGCATTATCACAAGTTGTCTGTGTCCTACATTGCTGGAGAAACTATGCTATTTAGCTGGTATTTCATCACCTGACATCCGCCAGGAATGAGACTCCCTCCTGGGCTCACAGAAGACTGGGTGACTTAGAAGGTGCTGAACAGACTGTGCTCTTGCACCACGAGATGCAGAACCAGCCTTAAGAAATGAGGCCACAAAGTAGAGTCCATGACATGTAAGTGTGGATAAGAGCAAACCACAGACCACCTACTACAATGCAGTCTGAGCCCTAACACATGCACAATGGAGGGCCTTCTTATAGTGACACCAGAGGCACTCCAAGTGGCCAGCTATTGGTCAAAGGACATTTAGAATAATGCCAAGTGTTTAACTTGGTTGGTGTTTTTTAAAAATACATTACAACTGTACCCTCAGTTCGCTTCTGATACAATAAATAAATATTGTTTAAAAATAATTTATAATGTTATATGAATAGTTTACTGTGCTTTATAGATTTTAATAATGTTTTGCCCCAACTGTGGAAGAAAAGCAGGATACAGATGAACAAATGAAGGAGAGAGGATAAGCATGTGTGTATTAATAATAAATTTCCTCCCAAAGTGTGTATTAATATCTATTCTGGTTTTCGATACAGTGGTCCCTTGCTACTTTGCGGTTCGCTTTTCACAGACTCGCTGTTTTGCAGTTTTTCAATATGGACTTAAGAGCATTTGTCTGTATGGAGAGGCTGCCTCTGTGGATAAAGTCAGAGCCGAGGATTACGTGAACAATACGTTCAAGGAGGGTTATGTAGTGTATAAGGGTGTGGGAGGGGTTTATAAAGACTTAAAATAGTATATAACTACTAAAATAATGTATAAATATTAAAATAAATATAGCGTCCCTACTTCACGGATTTTCACTTTTTGCGGGTGGTCCTGGAATGTAACACCCATGATAAGTGAGGGAACATTGTATCTCTAAGCAGCTACAGCAGAATTAATTACCAGAATTTAAATTCTCAACCACACCAGCTCATTCATTCATAATTTGGAAAGCTGTGAGACTCTGAAATTTGCTAATGACACCAAGCTTTATAGGTATATCTCAGTTAACAAAGAAGACATGTTTCTAAGCATTCCTTTTTGAGCAGCAAATTTGGTACCAGAGGTAGAAATAACATGCAAAGAATATGGATATTCCTTTACCACAAAATGAAGAAAAGCTTACCCTGCTTCAGCAAACATTGTACTTAAAACTAACCATATGCACATGTGAAATGAAACAATTGGGTTAAGTAATCCTTTTGTAAGTAACCAAAAATCTGGAATCTTCTAGAGACCACTTGAAAGCTTCTTCCAATTGTGTTAAGGGATTTTCTTTCTTTCTTTTGCCTCCACTTTCATTAAGATTTTTATTTTTGAGTAAGATTTCTATGCTCTAGCATGCTAGCATAGATGGTGAGGCTGGCTTATTTAAATCTTGAGTCACATTTAAAACAATAACTATCTTTGTTGTAACCAATAATCCATCAAAAGATGATGTCTGTACACCGTCAAACTGTCCTGATTTGGCAGGAACAGTCCTGATTAGTGATATCTTGTAGTTTACTTTTCCTTTTCCACTTTCCCTCTTTTATCTCCTGTTTACTTAAGTTACTGCAAACCGATTTCAAAATGCAAAAATAGTTTGCATTAAATTGAATCAATTAATAGTTTGCACTCAATTAATTCAACAAGGATGAAAAGGAGAGAGCAGAATCTTACCCTTTTCATTAGGCTCAGCCCAAAGCAAACTATAATAATAATAATAATAATAATAATAATAATAATAATAATAATAATAATAATAATAATAATATAATGTAATTCTATAGCCCGCCACCATCACCCCGAAGGGACTCGGGGCAGCTTACACATGGATCAAAATGCCCACAAGACATAAAAGCAAAACAATCCATTAAAAAAAATAAAATAGAGCATAGCAAAATATAACCATCCAGATAAAACACAATTAAATAAAACATAAAAATATAAAACAGCAATGTTGAAACTTAAAACGATGCTCAACGAAACCAAAACCGGTAATACAATGGACATGACCAGGCTATTAAAAGGACCGGGCATGGGATAGTGCAAAACATTGTACCATAGGGCTGGGTATTGGGTGAAGTGCAGAGAATGAACTATTATCAGGTGACCTAGGGAGTGGGCATTTATAACCAGGGACTAGCTATTCTTAAATACTAGCTGAAACATCCAGGTTTTCAAATCCCTGCAAAAGGAGGACAGAGTGGGTACTAGCCTGATCTCCCTGGGAAGGGAGTTTTAAAGTCGGGGGGGGGGGCACCACCAAGAAGGCCCTTTCCTTCCAAGAAGGTGCTTGTGACAGTGGTGGGAGCAAGAGGAAGTCCTCCCTGGTGGATCTTAGAGCCCGCAGAAATGTGGTCATGAAGATAGGTAGGACCTGAACCATTTAGGGCTTTGTAAGTCATAACTTGCACTTTGAATTGGGACCATAAACTTATCAGCAACCAGTGGAGCTACTTTAATAGGGGCACCGTGCACTTCCTATAATTAGCTCCAGTTAGAAACCTGGCTGCTGACCTTTGGACCAGTTGCAGTTTCTGGGCCATCTTCAAAGGCAGCCCCGTGTAGAGTGCATTTCAGTAATCCAATCTGTACCAAGTCATGGACCACTGTGTCCAAGTCAGACTTTTCGAGGTATGGTTGCAGCTGGTGCAAAAACTTTAACTGTGCAAAAACCCTCTCAACCACCCTCCTGGCACTGAACCCAGGAGGACCCCCCAGATTGCGGACCTGTGTCCTCAGAGGGAGTGTAACCCTGTCAAGCACAGGTTGCCACACTATACCCTGATCAGCCTCACAACTGAGCAGGGGGACCTCTAATCTATTGTCTGGATTAAGCTTCAGTTTGTTAGCCCTCATCCAGTCCACCCTGGTCCAGGATCCAGGGAGCTTCCTTGGAATTTGGTGGAAAGGAGTAATTGAGGTGGGTCTCATCTGAATGCATATGGCACCAAACTCTAAAACTCTGGATGTCCTCACCCAGTGGTTTCATGTAGATGTTAAAAAAACTATCCTGGTTTATCCATTGCTCCTCATGAATAACTTTTGCCATCTTGATCACACTGTGATATTGCTTCTGCACATGAGTCCTGGTTGGAGGGGATGTTGCACATGGTTGTAGTGCCACACAATGAGTGCAGTTACAGTCATGCTTTCTAGACCCCCCAAAATTGGTAATGTCAATCAATAAACCTATATAAATAAAAATGTAATGTTCATTTGTGGGATTAACAGAACTCAAAAACCACTGGACGCATTGACACAAAATTTGGACATAAGACACCTAACAACCCACTGTATGTCCTTCACTCAAAAAATTGATTTTGTGATTTGGGAGTTGTAGTTGCTGGGATTTATAGTTCACCTACAATCAAAGAGCACTCTGAACCCCACCAATGATGGAATTGAACCAAACTTGGCACACAGTTCTCCCATGACCAACAGAAAATATTGGAAGGGTTTGGTGGGCAGTATCCTTTAGTTTTGGACTTGTAGTTCACCTACATCCAGAGATCACTGTGGACTCAAACAATGATGGATCTGGACCAAACTCTACACGAATACTCAATATGTCCAAATGTGAACACTGGTGGAGTTTGGGGGAAAATAGAATGTTGACATTTGGGAGTTGTAGTTGCTGGGATTTATAGTTCACCTACAATCACAGAGCATTCTGAACCCCACCAATGATAGAATTGGGCCAAACCTCCCACACAGAACCCCCATGTGGGCCACAGCAATGTGTGGCAGGGGACAGCTAGTAAATGTATATAAAATAATAGAGGGTTCTATTTCCAAATACGAGGCAACAAAGGCACAGGGATTATATAAATATGAACGAAATCCCTAGAATCCAGAAAGAAGACTGTGTGAAAGCTGTGCCCTGGTTAACATTTAGACCATGTGTCCCACCCCATGGTAACTATTCAGTTTTGTTTGTTGATCATGACCTCAGAACAATTTTCCTTGGGGTTAGGGGCACTTGGAAGAAGTCTTGTTTATGACTTACTTGAGCTTGTTTGCAGACTTTGAAAGGGTGGAGAGTTTCCTGATAGAAAAGCTGATGGTAATCCTGTAGGTCAAACCAAAAGTACGTGCTGTTCTTCCATAGCTAGAGATAGCAAAAGAAAAGTGAAGGCATTACTGTGCAGTACAGTTTAAAACACAGTTTTATCTTTCTGTAGAGAGAAACTCTTCAGTTCCTTGAGGTCACCATAAATCACACCTAATTTAGAATGGTTTGAATCATGCATTGTATACTAGCAGCATATGCGAAGCCTCTGCCACTGTAATGCATGCTGCCTCTTTTATTGTATCCTTTGCCTATAATTGGCTATTAAAATTGTTAATGTTATAGTTAACATTTGAAGATTAACCACATTTGGTTGCTATTAAGCCAGGGGTTCATGATGTGCATCTAAAATTGATGCAGTGCTAGGACAGCATTTTTCAAGCAATTGCTGAGATCATTAAATGTTTTTATCCTGACGATCGTTACAATTTTTTTTATTATATGCCTTTCAACCATTCCTGACTACAGCTTGGTGCTGTTGCATGGAGCTAAGTACTTCCAGAGGGACAAAAGCACTTCACAAACCCCATTACCTCAGACCCTGCTCTTCTTTTAAAATGGAATTCTTGGAAATGTTACACAAACACCAATGCTTGTTGTATTTGAACATTTCTGCTAGCCAGCCTGGAGACAAATGCAGAGTGTGACCATAAAAACTGGATTGCATATGAAATGAAGAATATACTCTTTCAATATATCTGCATTATATGGATGAGTTCTGATCATTCGATACTCAACATAAAATCTATAACACTTATTTTACCCAATTACGATTTCATAATTAAATACTTATGGGAAGTTAAGGGGAGATTGGGTGCCTCTGGAAAGTGTATCTAACTGGGTCAAAGTGTTTCCCCAACTGTGGTTTTCCACATGTTTTGGACTCCCAGACTCCTTGATCATTGGCTAAGGCACCTGTGACTTCTTGGAGATGACGTTCAAAACACTTGGAAGACTCCGATTCCGTAATAAATCCAGCCGACTACAATGAAGTATGTCCAAGTTTAAGCTCTTAGGAATGGAGAATTTGTTGTCCCGTTCTACTGGCTCTCCCCAAGAAGGTGTTTTGCAGAGAAATTGCTGCTTTACACGCAGCTCACCTGAGGTAATTTTCCAAGTACTAGGCTCTGAAAATGTCCCACTTCTTTCCATAAAGCCAGGTATTCTCCATATGGCAGGCTCTGTGGACCTCTCAGGGCCCTTCCACATAACCATATAACCTAGAATATCAAGGCAGAATAACCCACAATATCTGCTCTGAACTGGATTATCAGAGTCCACACTGCCATACATTCCAGTTCAAACCAGATAATGTGAGATTTTATTCAGCTGTATGGAAGGGGCCTCAGAACCAAGAATTGTGGATAAGCAGGAAAAAGCAGGAGAACAAACCAAATTGATATCTTATTTGATAAAAGAAAAGCCTCGTACCGTATTTTCTGACTTTTCACAAAAGTTTGTAAAGACATAGCCTGCTCTGTTCTCAGTATTAAGGGACTGAAGCATTCTCTCCATTGTAGAACTTCCCAGTTCGTCAATATCTTGGGATATTTTACCCTAAAATAACAGAAAGCAAAGTTGAGCAAAGTGTGTTGTTTCATTTCATCTCAAATCTGAATAATTTTGTAAGCACTGTTACTTCTTTTCTCTTTCGAAAAATTGGAAATACAAAGGCACTAAAGCAAATCTAATGGATTATCTCCACTGATTTCTTCTCATAATGTTCTTAGATATTTCATTTTGCATTTTATGCCTTGTTATGCTTGTCTTTTTTTTTACTTCCCTCCGTTTTTCTCCATATCATTGCTATCAGACTTGCAACTTAATCCACTTTTCTGCTCTTATTTCCTTTGATCTGGCATCTCAAGATGAGAAAACCCATTGAATCAATTGTTGAATGGTGAATAAAAATGCATATAAATCCCATGGAATCCATGGGTCTACTTGAGTCAGGATTAACAATAGGATTTGGTCCATGGCATGAAGCAGCATGTAAAAATGATGGTGACCCATGTTAAATGACTCCCTTCTTTGTTATATACTGAGGTAGTGCCATCATTAATGGCACTTTATAAAAAAAGAACTAATAAGGCCATTATTGATGCAACCTTAACTATTTATTGCTCTGCAACAGATCTAAAGAGGTCCTTAGGAATGTCAAGGCCTTGAGATTCTGTTTTGCCAAAATAAAGTTTATCTCTCCAAATGAATTGCCTATTGTGACCCTATACAGGCAGTCCCCGAGTATCTGACTTACAAATGACTCATAATTAAGAACAGGGGTGAGACAACAGGAAGTGAGTGAAAGCTAACCCTTGGAAGGGAAATTCACTCCTGAAAGAATTATAATGGGGAAAAGGTATCTCCACTGAAGCTTCATCTCCAATTCTTGTTTCCACAACAAGCCAAAGTTTTCAAAATCCAATAATCACAGGGACAGAAAGTGGGGTGAAATCTTCTGAATAGGGACGCGGGCAGCAAAATAAACACCATAGGGCTGCTAACCCTTCCTTATGCTATTCAAAACCAACCTCTGTGTGTATGTGTATAATGTGTGTGTGTGTGTGTTCTCAGCCCTTGGGTCCCCAGATATTTTGGCCTTCAACTCCCAGAAATCCTAACAGCTGGTAAATTGGCTGGGATTTCCAGGAGTTGTGGGCCAAAACACCTGCAGATCCACAGATTGAGAACCACTTCTTTAAAATGTACCTGTTCTGAATTACATACAAATTCAACTTAAGAACAAACCTACAACACCTGTGTTGTTTGTAACCTGGGGACCACCTGTTGTCTGCAGTGGTGAAAGAAACAGAAGCAGAAAATGGCTAGTTGGAAGAGGAGTTGTGTGTTCCTCCATCTCTGCTTCAACTTCTCCTATCAAACATGTATTACCTAAACTTGTTTTTAACTTTCCTTCAAATGCTTGAGATTTGTTTTATGCAGTCTGGCACTGATTTGTATTTGTAATATTAAGGTTTGGGCAGATAACAGACCTGGACAATTCACAGCCTGTACTGGAAGGTCTGGCCCCTGTGACTCGTCTGTCTGAACCTTTACAGCCTCATCAGTTATTAATCATATCACGCCTAGTTTAACTTCCAAGGAATCCTTAACATTTTGAAAAGTAGAATTAGTGTATTCCATAGTTTTGACAACCCAGTTTAATATTCAATCATTCTCGTTTCCTATGAATGTAACATGCAATATAGTCAAGTGTCTCTCATTTGTGCCATAATACTACACTTCAGCACATATGTTTCATAATTGGGGAGTGTTGCACTCCAGGCCAGGAAAGCCCTCTGACTTTAAACACCACACAGGTGAGTAAATATGCAAGCAGTTTATTGAAGATAATTAAAAAGCAGTAGCAGTTAAAAAAAACACTCCATAAAAAAGGATAAATCCAATTAGGTAGAAAGATAAGCAGAAACAAACAGTCCAGGACATTAGTCTATCAGAGTTCGTGAAAAACAAATACAGAAACTTCCATGTTTGACTCATGAAATCAAACAAGGCACTTGATACATTAATCTATTCAAGGCAAGACTTCCAAGGACCAGAAAAGATGTCTTAACTCAATTCCAACATTGCTTCGTCTGATTATAGATTCTGTACTTGGCACTTTTATTCCCTAATCTACTCTATATCCCAAGCAGCCAGGAATGATTTCGTTTCAGCCTTGACTCAGTTATCAATCTCTCTCTCAGTCTGACAGAGTGCCAGAGAAATTGGTTTGTTTGCTTATGCTGACTGAAAGTATTCCTTCTATCTACTGGGTCATTAACTTCTGCAGGTACTGAGCTTTTCTCAGGCTCAAAATCCTGGGAATTCTCTGGTAGCAATTCAGGCCCTCTTCCAGGGACCATACCATCATCCTCAAACCCTTCAGGAACATTCTCATCAGAAAAGACACTTTGAACAGGAATCCCATTGTCATTTTCTGCATCTGGGGCAATCTCATCATTAGAAACATCATTGTCATTCCCAACATCCAGAGTACCCTGATCATTAGACACAATTACAGGCTGAACTCCAACAGGGAGCCCTTATTCCAAAATTATGACAAACAGCTTTATGCAGTTTGCAGGCCCACCTTGGTTATTTTGTTGCCTACAGCTGAATAGAAAACGGTACCTCCTCCAACATACCCAAACATAGTAACCAAAGCTGGTTAAGTAATACTGGCACATGAAACAAAAAACAAACACCACTACCCATCTGTAACAATAAAAATACAATCTTAGCCAAGTAAATAACTAGAAAATTGCTGCCTTTTCATGGTACAATGGGTTAAACTAGGGCCTGCAGGGCTGCTGATCGACAGGCCAGCAGTTCCAATCTGGGGAGAGCGAGTTGAGCTCCCTCTGTCAGTTACACCTCCCCTTGCGGTAATGTGAGAGAAGCTTCCTACAAGGATGGTGAAACATCAAAACATCTGGGCATCCCCTAGGCAATGTCCTTGTAGATGGCCAATACTCTCACACCGGAAGCAACTTGCAGTTTTTCAAGTCACTCCTGACACACAAAAAATGGCACCAAATCTCTGCTGCTAAGGCAGCTTGTTCACTCTGCTTGCCATTGGGGCCAGTTCTGCCATCCTCTGCGGTCATGAAGTGGAAGTGACACAAATCATGTAAGCTCAATAGACTACCAAGGCCTATGAACACTGAACAAAAGGGGAAATATAGTAATCTTTATCAATGGCAGCCAGATTTCATTTCCGCCACAGAATGTGCTCTGGCCTGGGAAAGTGTCAACCTTGGGTAAGCCATAATGGAGAGTGACCCACATCCAGACATGAATGGAGTACATTTTCTCATACTCTTGCCACCAAACCATTTTCAGAACATCAAAGAACTCCAAATGGTACTTACTGGGATTACTTCTGCATAGGTGTATTTTCTCTCTAGCTGTGGCTTCAGATAATCTGTCTTGTCTGGACATGTTGTATGGCGAGTCAAGTTGCTGCCCACTGTTGCCGGTCTGGACCAGTTAAGAAGAAATGGGTTTTTAAAGGTACTCAAACAATCTATTTCAAGTATCACAAAGGAAGAAAACCTACTTTGCAATGAGACCTCTTCCGGGTTCATGTTTTCAGATTTATGTCTGGAATCTAGGGATGTAGTGGAGGGTGGGAGGAAAATGAGTCAACTACCCTCCCAAGAAGAATTCTGCAACTCATGAAGTTTTCCTCCAGTCCCCAAATTCCTATCATAACAAAAGTCAGATACTGTTCACATTAAGGACTCTGTTGTGTTTCTGTTCCCTTGACTGTTCTGCCAGCCTCTTTTCTTTGGATGTCAACATTCTGTTGCTAAATGTTCAACTGAAGACATAAGTTAAGCAGTGCTAGAAATCTGTGGACAGAAGGAAAATTTCATGATATAGCAGAATTTTTTATTTGTGGGGGACAGTGCTGTCATTTTGCTACATCTCTGCTGGAATACATGCTTTCAATTTTTAAAAATATCTTTATTGAAGGATTTTCAGTTACATAAAAATCAATGGGAGGAAAAGAGGGAAATGTAGCAGGGGAGGATAACAGTAGCGGGTTGAAAGTTGAGGAGGGAAAAGGGGGATTTGTAAAAAGGGGCAGGTTTAAAAAAGGGGGTAGGTGGTAGCAGGGAAGGGACAATAGGGACTGGGGGGTGGAGAAGGGGAAAAGGGGGGTGGCTTTGTCTTCCTGTCTTCTCATTTCTGGGTTGTGTCTTCTTCAATTCACACTTCTTTCCTTTCCTGTAGTTTGAAGCCATTGTATCTCCCTGTATGTCCCACCTCAGAGTTTACGATCATTGGGGGAGGCCCTGCTCTCGGGATTAGAGACAGAGCCTTCTGGGTGGTGGCCACCCATCTGTGGAATGCACTCCCCAGTGAAATCAGGGTGGTTCTTTCTCTTCTCTCTTTCAGGAAGAAACTCAAGTCTTGGCTTTGGGACCAAGCATTCAGGCAGCTATCTGACCAACAACTGTAATGACTTGTGAGAATATTCAATTAAGAGACCTTGGACTAGAACTCTGGACTATGATTTGGATTTGCGGACTCAGACTTGGTTGTGTTAACATTTCAAGGCCAATATTTTTAATGCATTTTATTGCTTTTTAATGTATTTTTATTGCTATTGACCTGTTTGTTAATTGTTGTCCTTCAACTGTTTCTTTGTCGGCATCTAATGACTGCCAATTGTAAGCCGTCCTGAGTCCCCCTTCGAGGATTGAGAAGGGGTTGATACGAATCCTCTAAATAAACAAATAATAAATAAATTGTTTTGTGTCCTAGTCTCCAGGGCAGCACAAAACAAGCCTGCTCCCTCCTCCCTATGACTTCCCCTCACCTCTTGATACATGGCCCTTATCATGTCTCCTCTCAGCCTTCTCTTCTGCAGGCTAAACATGCCCAGCTCTTTAAGCCGCTCCTCATAGGGCTGGTTCTCAAGACCCTTGATCATTTTAGCCCCCTCCTCTGAACACATTCCATCTTAATCTAATCCAGTGTTTCTCAAACTCTGTTCCTCCAGATGTTTTGGACTTCAGCTCCCACAATACCTAACAGCTGGTAAGATGGCTGGGATTTCTGGGAGCTGAAGTCCAAAACACCTGGAGGAGCAGAGTCTGAGAAACACCAATCTAATCTAAGATTCCACATAATCTATGCATTTTTTTATTTTAGTTTTTAGTGTTTACCTTTGTCTACTAATATCGGCTCTATCAAAGAAGCCATCAGGATCTTCCCGAACAGCACTCTGACTTCGTGGCAGGATTGCCGATAACAATCTGGGAGGTCTTGGGGGATATGTATCTACAGCTCCTCTTGACAGAGGTGCTGGTGAAATAATTTCTTCTCTCTAGTCAAAATAATAAAATGTGGAAGAAAGCACATTTCAGAAATAATTGTTACTTTATCATTTTCAGGTCTGCTCCATATCTATCTTTCACTGTTCTAGGTTTGACAAAGAACTCTTGCTAAAAGTCATTGCAAACTCTTTAAATATTATTTTATCATCATGTGAAAACAAAACCAACAAAAAACACAGCTCTTTCCAGTTCAAGATAAGTTTCAGATCATTTTGAGGCATTCTAGAGACAAATATTGAGAGAGAACTCTCAGGCACATTAATGTACACATGCGTTTAGCAATGTAAATATTTTTACTTGAGTAAATAATAATTTCAGGATTTCTTTGGGTGGAAAGACTGGCCAAAATGTCTTCAGTAGTCCTTATTTGATTAAATTCTATTTATATCCCTTTTTCTCCAAGTTTGAGGCCTAAGGTGGCTTATAATAATTTAATTCAAAGTACAGTTGACTCTCTGAATCCCTGGATTCAACCATCTACAAAATGAAAATAAGAAGGAGCCTGAGGGAAAAGGAAGGGGCCTGAGACCAGGAATTGTGGGAGTTGAAGTCCAAAACATCTGGAGGACTGAAATTTGCCCATGACTGCTCTATATTGCCACCGAATGCACCTCTGATGGTGGTGGTCAGAGAAAATCTTAATGTGACGACCTTAAAAACTGGGCAGGCTCATAAAGCAAGATATGGTCTTTCAGATAGTCTGGTCCTTCAATGCTATTGCTTCCATTCATTCAGTGATTCTCTTTCTCTGGGACCAGTTCTCTGAAAATATTCAGAAGCCAAGGATTTGTTGTTGCTTCTTGCTTGCTCACTGACTCAGACTGTTCCAAAATATATTCCCCCATGGATAGGGGGCCCTACTGTGCCCCACAGATGTATGATGGGAAATTACATTACGTATTATCATGGTGGTTTTTAATGTATTTTATTGGGGTTTTAATGAGTGTTCCACAGCATTTGCTAATATTTATGGTTTTAATTTGTTCTCAACCTTATATTGTATGTTTGTACTGGCAGTGATGCAGCAGGTTAAGTCGTGAGTTGCTGAACTTACTGATCGAAAGGTTGGTGGTTCAAATCTAAGGAGCGGGGTGAGCTCCTGCTGTTAGCCCCAGCTTCTGCCAACCTAGCAGTTCGAAAACATGCAAATATGAGACCAATAGGTACTACTTCGGAGTGAAGCGCTCCATGCAGTCATGCCAGCCACATGACCTTGGAGGCATCTAAGGACAATGCCAGCTCTTCAGCTTAGGAATGGTGATGAGCACCATCCCCCGAGTCGGACACAACTAGACTTAATGCCAAGGGAAAACTTTTACCTTTTACTGGCTATAAGTCACCTTGGGCCCTTGACTGGGGAATGGTAGGGTATAAATTTAATAAATAAAGAAATGGCCTGTCAGTGGACCCATTAAGATTTTCCACACATTCTGCAAGACTTACCAAATTCTTCTCCTTTACACATTTTCCAGTACCAGGATTTCTAATTGCATATGTAATATAGTGAGCCTTTATTTCTTTATACATCTCATACCTCAAAGAAATATGTAGTTTTTGGCATGCAGGATTTAGGTCTCAGTGGCAACAGCGACACCATCTGTGGAAAAGGATCCACATCCACTCGTGGCTTCTGTTGTCGTAAATGCCAGATTTTCAGCTTGTTATTTATAGTCTGTATGGCAGCTGTATGAATGACACAAAATCTGGGACCCCTGAAAGGTAAACATGAAGAAGTGGTTCAGTTAGGGTTGCCAATTCAGGAGGGGCATCTGTACTTGAAGGAGCACTTCAAACAGCAAATTCAGCAATTTGCTGAAGTGTGATAAGCAAATTCCCTCTTCTATACAATAATTAAAATTAACATAGAATCATAGAGTTGGAAGAGACCTTGTGGGCCATCCCATCAACCCCCTTCAAGAAGCAGGAAAATCACATTCAAAGCACCCCCAACAGATGGCCATCCAGCCTCTGCTTAAAAGCCTCCAAAAGAGGAGCCTCCACCACACTCTGGGGCAGAGAGTTCTACTGCTGAATAGCTCTCACAGTCAGGGAGTTCTTTCTAATGTTCAGGTGGAATCTCCTTTCCTGTAGTTTTGAAGCCATTTTTCCTCGTCAGCAGAAAACAAGCTTGCTCCCTCCTCCCTATGACTTCCTCTTACATACTTATACATGGCTATCATGTCTCCTCTCAGTCTTCTCTTCTTCAGGCTAATAATTCCCAGCTCTTTAAGCCGCTCCTTGTAGGGCTTGTCCTCCAGATCCTTGATCATTTTAGTCGCATGCAGGAGCTCTCTTCAGTCTGGAAGCTCTCCGTTCAATATGTAATCAAGGTCTAGATCAGGCATGGGCAAACTTTGCCTCTCTGGGTGTTTTGGACTTCAACTCCCACAATTCCTAACAGCCTACTGGCTGTTAGGAATTGTGGGAGTTGAAGTCCAAAATACTTGGAGAGCTGAAGTTTGCCCATGCCTGGTCTAGATTAACTATAGCAATAAGGTAACAGAAATTAGGAAGACAACTGTATCTGACTACTCAGTCACTTCTACTTGACTTCTCCAGCCAAAATGTCTTAGTAAGATCTGAATTCTTCAGGTGCATCTGTTTTCATATTCTAAGACACGCTTAATCCTAAACTGAAAAAAGATATCATTACACATTGTGACTTATTTGAAAAAGACAACAATATCAATCAATGTGAAGGCAGTAGGAAAAGAGGAAGACTGCATTACAGGTGGATTTTCTCAGTCCTGAGACTGCAAGTTCTGAGCTGAGTTAACAGCAAAGTCTCTCATTTGTTACTTAAACTGAGGCCCTTCCACACAGCTGAATTATCTGCTTTGAACTGGAATTTATGGCAGTGTGGACTCAGATAACCCAGTTCAAAGCAGATATTGTGGGATTTTCTGCCTTGATATTCTGGGTTATAGGACTGTGGAGAAGGGTCCTGAAGCCAACAAAGAATAACCACAACAGGTTTCCTGCAGGCAAATTTCCAACATAAATTTCCAGATGTTACACTTTTAACATTGATTGTAACAAACATATAATAATATAAGACTGAAAATTTCAAAAGTACAGCCAATAATTAAACAGAAATAGATGAAAAGGTGTGTGAGAGGACACAGAATTTAAAAACACCAGAAACATGAAAGAACATTTCCTATTACTAAGTTTATTTGTCTAAATCCAGTTAGCACCAATTTGGGTAGATCCATTTAATCAAAGGAAACACACTAAGAGAACATTTATGCAAGTTCAAAAAGTCAACGGGATCAACATTTGCATCTAGATCACAGCATTTATATCCTGCTTTTCCCATAAAAGTGGGGTTCAAGGTGGCCCATGATGATACTGAATAACAAAAGCATGGTGAAAGTATGATAGCTGGGACCCACTGCTGGTAGCGCTACACTGGTTGCGTAACGCAGCTCAGAATTAGAGAAGGTAACACGTGCGCCAGACATAGCACCACGTGCGAGAGAGACCGCACACAGTGAGAGACGCAGCTATGACAGAGTCAACAAGGTAGTTCGGTAGAAACGAGGGGGGTCAGCCAAGCATACTGTGTTGGCTATTCGGAGATCCTATGCAAGGCAGTTCGGTAGAAAGGGAGGGAAAACAGCCAAGCATACTCATGTAGGCTATCCGGAGATATTCAAAAACATTGTTGCATTGGAAGGAAGGATAAAAAGGAGGGGAAAAATACGAGGCGTGGTGAAAAATGAATCAAATCCAGTCACTCTTACATTACTTTACTGTTATCCTGTCCCACCTGCGTTAAATGACTTCACTGGTATTCTGTCACAGCTGCGTCTTTCACTCGGTGTGCTGTCTTGCGCATGTGTTCCCTTCTCTAGTTCAGAGTGGCGTTGCGCAACCAGTGTAGCACTACCAGCACTGGGTCCCAGCTATCATACTTTTACCAAAAGCATATTCAAAACACATAGTAACATCATAATGGAATGAAAAACCCACTTTAACACTTAATTTAAAGTACACTTGACTATTAATAAGCTGGCAGCCTATTGATAATAAGTTATTTCCTCAGCAAACAATCCATTTGCAATAAGCTTGCCTGTTTCTGCATCAGCCTCAGCAAGAAATTTCAGAAACAAACTACATGGTCCTTTTACAAAAGGTTCCAGGATCGCAATAAGAAATGTGTTACACCTGTGCCTCCACATAAGATTCAGCTGGGCCTCATAGGTAGATTAACAGTAGGTTATATTCATATAGAAGTAGATGTTCCCTGATAATGAGAACTGTATTAAACCATTTTTGGCAGAGGTTGACAGATGATACATTACTCTCATGAGATCTGCACTTGGCCTGCAGTATATGTCTGACCCCCTGCTGAATAGGATTGTATGTTGTAAATCTACTATCTCCTCCTACACTCCATCTGAAGACTGTGAGAAAATGAGGATGTTGGTCCACATCCAGTTATTAGTCACTAGGAGGACGGGCTCATTAAATCAACAGAACTTTCACAAATGTTGACTTATCAAATTTTCACAAGAATTCTAGTGTATTGTCGAAGGCTTTCATGGATGGAATCACTGGGTGTTGTAAGTTTTTTGGCTATATGGCCATGTTCTAGAAGCATTCTCTCCTGACATTTCGCCTGCAGCTATGGCAAGCATCCTCAGAGGTTGTGAGGTCACAACCTCTGAGCATGCTTGCCATAGATGCAGACAAAACATCAGAAGAGAATGATTCTAGAACATGGCCATAAAGCCAGAAAAACCTTCAACAACCCAATTTTAGTGTAGTCTAGGGCCCTTCCACACAGCCATCTAACCCAGAATATCAAGGCAGATAATCCACAATATCTATTTTGCACTGGGTTATCTGAGTCCACACTGCCATATAACCCAGTTCAAAGCAGATAATGTGGGATTTTATATAGTTGTGGAAGGGGCCCTAGATTAATAATTCGTTTTTGAAGTCCCCCCCCCCCCGCTTCTTCTGGTTTATTTGATATCCACACATTGTAAAGAATTCTAAAGAATGTGGAAGATCCGCAATCACTATTTCATGATATTTGCATTGGTTCTAATAAATTAATTATCTAGCAGTGGATTTTGAGTATCTATATTGTCTGCATATGTGTACATATAAAAATCCTGTTTTGTTTTGCCAATGTCTACCTCAAACACAATAGATAAAGAGACAAGAGTTGATGTTGCTAAAAGTGTGCTAAATGTTTAGCTTTGTGTTGCTAAATTTATTTATCTGTTAGTATCTTTTTATAATTTGTGTGTGCGTGTGTGGCTTCAAAGTCACCATTGACATATGGCAACCCCATGAATTTCATAGGCCTTTCTTAGGCAAGGAATACTTAGATGAGGTCTCACCTTCTGAATACAGTATACAACACCTGGGATTTATTGGTGGTCTTCAAGTACTAACCGGGACTGATCCTGCTTAGCTTCCATGATCGATAGAATCTGATGCCTTTAATACTAGTTCTCAACCTTTGGTCCTACAGGTGTTTTGGACTTCAACTCCCACAATTCCTAACAGTTGGTAAACTGGCTGGGATTTCTGGGAGTTGAAGTCCAAAACACGTGGAGGACCAAAGGTTGAGAACAATTGGCTTTAGGATATTTAGGCCCCTCTTATAGTGTCATATAAGTTTGTCAAAATGCCATACTTTGCAATAGCACAGACGGAAGTTAATGGGACAACTTAATATTTAATCATCTAAATATGTATTATTTAATCCTCTTACCAATACAGAAGCAAAGGTTTCACTACTTCAGGCTGAATATGCCTCAGGTTATGCACGTTCCACTGATCTCCATCCTCTAGGTTTAGTTTCTGCAGAACTTCAGAGGTAAGGAAATAATCTCCACTGCTCACTAAATAGATTTTTTTCATCCTCTCAAGCTGTCTTGAATGAAGGAAAACATTAACCACAGAATATGTACAAACAAATGTGGCAAACGGATCCAGAAGAATCCATTTTCTCCTAGTAACTGGTGGCTTCCAGTCACCAGGCAAACTTGGACATCATCTTGTTTCTGGAGCCATGATAAGCTAGAGGCAGGAAGGTCATCAGCAATGGATCAGAGAGCACAGAATACAGTGGGAAAGAAGCCAGAAACTGGGTTCAAAGAAAGGATGGAATTATTTGTTTAGCATTGTCCAATTTCCCATTATCCAGATGTGTTGGACTAATGATCTCTATGTAGGTTATATATGAATTATGGGAGTTCATCTGGAAAATTTATTTTATTTATTTATTTACAGTTCTTATATTCCGCCCTTCTCACCCCGCAGGGGACTCAGGGTGGATTACAGTAAACACATATATGGCAAACATTCAATGCCAGTTTGACAAACAAGGTTTAACAGACAAATACACCGAGGCTATTTAACTTTTTTCTGGCCGCCAGGGGAGCTGCTGCTTTTCATCGTCCATCAACGACACCGATGAAGTTCTTCCGCATTCCACATTCCCCGGAGTCTTTTTTCTTTATGGCCTCATAAATTAGTTAAATTTAGCCTCCCACACAAGGTGGTACCTTATTTGCCTACTTGACAGATGCAACTGTCTTTCGGGTTGCAAAGGTTGACAACGGGCTACACAATGGCTGGACACCCACTCCAGCCCAGGCTGGCTTCGAACTCATGACCTTTTGGTCAGAGTGATCTTAATGCAGCTGACACTCAGCCAGCTGCGCCACAATCCCGGTGCCAGCTCAACCAATATTACTGGTCCACTGGTGAAAGTATGATAGCTGGGACCCATACTATGCTGGTTACGTAACGCGGCTCTGAATTAGAGAAAGAAACATGTGCACAAGACACAGCACAGAGTCAACAAGGTAGTTCGGTAGAAAGGGGGAGGGGAAACAGGGAAGCATAGTCTCGTGAGAGCTGTGTTGCGCAACCAGCGTAGCGCTACCAGCACTGGGTCCCAGCTATCATACTTTTACCAGTCCATTTCTAGCTCTCTCCTGTTTATTTGAGTGGTTTTTGCTACCAATGTAAGATTATACAGTAGAGTCTCACTTATCCAACCTTCACTCATCCAACATTCTGTATTATCCAATGTAGTCTGCCTCCCGCCCAGATCCACAGCTGTTTAAATACATTGCAATGTTTTGGTGCTAAATTTGTAAATATAGTAATTACTACATAACGTTACTGTGTATTGAACTGCTTTTTCTGTCAATTTGTTGTTAAACATGTTTTGGTGCTTAATTTGTAAAATCATAACATAATTTGATGTTTAATAGTTTTTTCCTTAATCCCTCCTTATTATCCAACATTTTTGCTTACCCTACATTCTGCTGGCCCATTTATGTTGGCTAAGTGAGACTCTACTGTAGTTATGCTTCAAAAGTAATGGTCAAAATGTTTAATTTGCATTCCTTCATTTCTTGGAGAAGCCTTATACATTATTATTGCATTACAATTCAGACTGAAATATTGCAGTCTTTAAGGGAGGAAGGGATTGATAAATAAGTATAATCCGATCTGTAATTCACAGTTTAGTAAATTAATCATCCACAGTTCCTTTCAATTATATCAAATTTTAAAAAAACACTTACTTATAAGTATTAAAAACAATACCTTTTCTGCCTTTTGGAATCTTTAAGGATCTTCAATCTTTCTATGTCCATCCAGAGCCACCAGTATCTTTCACCCAAAGTCCCTTGGATGAATCTCTTGAACCTCTCAAACTCATGCCTGTTACCAATATCATAAGTCTTGTGACTTATACACCAGGATGCCCTGGTTTCACTGCTATCTTTTTCAGATTTTGTGCTGATTTCACTCTGTCTTTCCAACGCATCATCCCCAATTATGGCAGGGGTTTCTAGCATAGGCTCCATGAAAGGACGACTGTCTTCTATTTCATATATAAGGACTCTTGACACTCTACTGAAGTTGACATCTGTCGGGCTGACTTCGGGAGGCAGTCCAGTGACTATAGCAATAGAGTTCCTAAGTATATACTGAGCATAGGCTAATGAAAACTCATCTACGGTCCGAAAGCATGCAAGTTCTTGATATTGATCATTGTCATCGCGTATTCCTTCCTGAGAAGCAACATCCCAGTTCTGTCCTACATATGCTCTTAACATGGTGTGTGAAGGAGTATCAGGAACTGATATAGACTTGCCCTCATCTATGCTTTGCCTGGCTCTGGTCCGCTGAGAAAGGGAAGGACTTGCTTGTTGTTGCTTCTTCTTAAGCTTGGAATCCATGTCTGCATTGAAACAGGAAAAGATCAGTTTCCCAAAGTTTCTCGTGATACAAACAAGAACATCCTCTTCAATCACACACCAAAAAGCTTTCTTTCTCTATGTTATCAGCAGATAACAAAGTTCTCATTAACATCTGGTGGTTCCTCCAAATCACTGGATTTGTGTCACATTCTCACCTGCCAGGGATGCATTTTCAGCTCAGATGCATTTGGATGCTGAAGTATTTGTGCTGAACTGATGGTGAACAAACCGCATGCTGGTCTGATAATACTTTAAATATTTCTACAGTCGGCCCGCCAAGTTTTTGTAGATTTGATTATTCGCAGATTCGATTAACATGTTCTATCTGGGAATCTTTAAATCTCTAGTGCAACTATATGGTTAACATCTGTCAAAAGTTGACCATACAGTCACACTGGAGGACCTAGAGAAGTAGTTCTCAACCTGAGGGTCCCCAGGTGTTTTGGCTTACAACTCCCAGAAATCCCAGCCAGTTTACCAGCTGTTGGGATTTCTGGGAGTTGATGGCCAAAACATCTGGGGATCCACAGGTTGAGAACCACTAACCTAGAGATTCCTAGAACGAGTAGTTCTCTAAGCATTTGTAAGTTCTGCAGAACAATTCAATGGTCACCTTGCAGCAGAGGTTGACCACTGAAAGGCACTAGAAGAGCAAAATATTTTTAGAGAGGTGTTCTCTCAAATATTCATTATTTTTTTGCAGTTTCACATGAGTCCTGCTCCTCTAATCCCAATTAATGTGTATAGTCTATTGTAGCTCTATAGTGTCTCTCCATATGCTTCCTCATTCATGAACAGAAACCATTTAATAAACTAGGGATTGGCAAATGAATGATGGAATGGATCCTTCCTACTGCCACTTCAGAAGATGTGGCCATACCCCCTGACTAGAGCTTATAAAATGTTTTCTTGGACTTCAACTCCTAGAATTCTCCAGCCAATAGGGACTTTGACAACATTTCTACACTGCCATCTAATTTTCCTTGTGCTTCAAACCTTTTTAGATTGTAAACCTGAAGCAGGGAACTGACAAATTAATAATTGTAAAGTAGCATGTGCACTTATGGGGCTATATAAATAAATGATGGTGATGGTGATGATGATGATGACGATGATGTCATCCTGTTGAGTTGAAAAGTTGTCCAAAAATAAGTATTGCCCTGACGCAAATGTGAAGCCATGCTGGCTAATAGCAAGCACCAGCTTATTAGTTAAAGCACTATATGGACCTTTTCCAAGCAATAGACAAAATGATGGATCCCCACCCCCATGCTGCCCACAGGAAAAAGAGTGGTGAGCAAAGAAAGTGGCATTTAGATGGCATATTGAGACTGAGGCTCTGACTGAGCTTCAATCTCTCTTTGCTTTCTTTCTGATAAAGGAGAAGTGAAGATAGGTGGACTCAGCTATCACTTCTCTCAACCCTCATTTTCCCAGTTTAGAAAAGACATGAGAGAAATGTAGCCAAACATGTTCAGCCAACACCTCTCTGATTGTCCTTCACTCTTCCCACTTGCCTTTCCAGTACAGGGAAAGAAAAGGAGGAGACAAGCCAAGTGCACTAAGTTGGGAGTTTGAGAGCCAGCTGAGTCCCAAAATCAGCTGGCTCTCACAAGCCCCACTTGACTGCATTTGACTCCCTCCCCAAGCACAAAGGGAAGCGAGAGGGAAGCCAACTGCCCAGCTGTGAAGATCTCTGCCTCTGCTCCCTCTTTAAATACAAGGAACAGGGTTTCGAAATAGGGTAAGAGTAGATGGGGATAGCCCATGGCTAAATTGGGGGTGCTTGTGGACAGTGCTTGTGGAAGCCTGCAAAGTGAGAGTGCTATGCATGCTGTAATGTATTAGCCTACCTTGCAGGTTTGGTGTACAGGCAGTAAACAGGTCTGGCTTGGAAAAACTAAGGAGAGCAGGTGGGTGGAGTGATCAAGCAGCTTCATAGCTGGAAGTGCAGTCTGATTGGTTGATGAAATTGGAGGAAGTTGCATAGCAGCCGGAGATGGGCAGAGCTAAAGATGGGGGAGAAGAAGCTAAGGCAGCCATAGTCAGTTCAGTTTGGAGTTTGGTGTTTGAAGAATTTGTTAGGAGATTTGAAGGGGAAGAAAGGAAGGAAGAGTTTTGGGAACTGTTTGTTAGAATGATACCTCTTTGAAGAAAATAATCAAAGCCTTCAGGGCAAAGGAGAAAGAACTATAGTAGACCTCTATAGTGTTAGAGTGCTGGCATGGAAAGAGGATTCAAAAGGTTCAAAATATCCAGTTTGTGTTCCTGTGTGTGGAACATTGCTTTTAAGAAACTCAAGTTAAAAGACCCTTCTCTGTAAAAGTAAAGCCTGACTGCTTATTGAAACCACTATGCATTTGTACTGTTCAAGAACCAAATAAACAACATATTCTTGTTCCATTTCACCTGAAGAGTTTGTGTGTCTTCTTGAGCATTCTAGTGAAGGAGGTGGCCTATGAATCAAGAGATGGTGGCAGCAGAAGATAATTAAATGGTGGCAGGAAAGAAAGATGTGATAAACAGTGGTGGCCTCCCACTGTCCTGTTTTATGTGTGCATGTGTGCACCTTGTCCTCAAGGCCTTCACTGGCCTGTCTGTCTTCCAGTCATTACTGTACATGCTATCGATCCCACATGAAGGGTCTTCAGTCTATATAGCATCTTACATTCACAAAGGAAATTATATTGTCAAAATCTTCACTGCAGACTTTAGACCCAAAGTAAAGTGAACAATCTTAAATTTCAACCCCCACCTTGCCTTAATGCTTACTCCACACTGGCATTTCAAGCTCTGAACCATAAATGTTCCTTACCTGAATGACCACTTGTGAAGGAAGTTGCATTGAGAATGGTAGAAGAAAGTGTAGGCATGATTTCTTGAGCTCTGAAATCTAAAGTAAATGAAAATCAAATCTCAAGGCTAGCCACACAAAACATTAATAATGTACCCTATTAATTTCACTCAGTCTTCACTCAACCAACTCTATGAGTCGACTCCTCATTGTCCCCTGGGTGGGTTTACACAGTGGGGGCTACTTGTCTTCCACTCAATAGGATTTGCAGCCTCTTTGTGCAGCGTGAGCCCATTTGAGACCAAGGTCCTTTCTCCATCCATTCCTTTATATTAGGTGTGCACAAAATTAGGCATTCCAGATGGTGTTGGATTGTAGCTCTCAGGGCTCCTCGTTGTTGACTGTGCTGGGTTGGATTTGTACAATATACAGCCTAATATCTAAAGACTGTTCTTTGCCAATCTCTGCTACAAGTCATGCCCAAACTCAATCAAGATTTAAACTAGCAGGTAGGTAGGTAGGTAGGTAGGTAGGTAGGTAGGTAGATATTTATTACAGGTGGAGTATCCCTTATCCCAAAAAGTATGTTTGATTTTTTCCAGATTTTGGAGCACTTCTGTATGTGTGAACAGATAGATGGATGGATGGATGGATGGATGGATGGATGGATGGATAGACAGAATGAGATCTATAGGAGATATAACCCAACAAAATACATTTATGCTTCTTTTATACCTTATACTTATAGCCTGAAAATACTTTTACATAATATCTTTATTAATTGTGTGAATGAAGCAAAGTTTGTGTATACTGAACCATCAGAAAGCAAAGAGGTTTCCATCTCAGTCACCCATGTAAACAGTTTTGAATTTCTGAAAATTTTGGATTTTAGTATTCTGAATAATGGGTGTTCAACCTGCATATGCATTCACAATGAAGATAAATACAGCATAAACATGTTCATTCCAATGTAATGATAGTGTATTTTCAGTTGTGTAAGAAAGGAGGCTTGGAACAAAGCCTAGAAAAGTTACTCTTTGGGGCTTGTGGATTCTAGAAGCTGTAACCCCCAGAAGTTTGTTTTTTCTACGCTCTGAACTGGACTCAATACATGGTATGGTGGAAATCTTACCGAAAAATGATGGTGTCTTCAAAGCATCAAAAGAAAAACGAACATGGGAAGATGACAGAGGATGAGTAATAGAATCTGTAGTGATCATCTGCTCACTTTGTCTGGCTAGAGTAAACCAATCCTTTGTCTGGGTGACAGTAGCCTGTTAAATAAAACATTAAATGGTGTACATTTCTAGCAGCTTAAATGTCTAATCATGCTTGACGTACTGGAGTTTTAATTGTAAAGGAGGTTTATACAGGTACAGGGCCTTGATTTCAAAACTAGAGAACAATAAACACAAATGTAGAAGGTGTAATCAAGTAAACACTAACAGGCCATTTCCCCTAAAACTGACTGGCTCAAAAGGGGTGGTTTTTGAATAATGACAGCACAAGAGATAGGTGAACTGTTCCATCACCAGCTATCATCCATTTCTTGCATAGCAATTAATATTAGAAAGTTCATCTGTACAAATGGTTTTTTTTCTTCTAAAGTTCATTTCTATGCAGGGTTGAAGAGGGGAGACCAAAGGCACATTCAGGGGGTCAGTTATTTCCTGTCCCTGGGTTAAAAGTGTTAGACCAGTGTTGAAGTCTCCATACAGCTCTGAAGTTCAGACAATGATTTTGCTTTCTTCATCCTTCACCCTGAACTACCTCACAGCTTAATGGTACAACATTAGAAAATATTGACCATTTCTGTTACCTTGGCAGCCACCTCTCTACAAAATTCAACATTGACACTTCAAAACAACACCGCCTGAGCTCTGCGGGTGCAGAATTTTTCCAAATGAAACAGAGAGTGTTTGAGGATTGGGACATTTGTAGGGAGTCCAAGGTGCTTGTTTATAAAGCTGTTGTCCTCCCAACCCTGTTATACACCTGTGAAATGTGAACTGTCTACAGACGTCACACTCAACTCCTGGAATGATTCCATCAGCGTTGCCTCTCTAAAAAAATCATGAAAATCTTTTGGGAAGACAGGCAGACAAATGTCAGCTCACTGGAAGAAGCAAAGGCCGCCTGAGTTGAAGTGATGCTCCTACGCCATAAACTCTGCTGGACTGGCCACATTGTCTGAATGCCCGATCACTGTCTCCCAAAGCAGTTACTCTACTCCGAACTCAAGAATGGGAAACGTAATGTTGGTGGGCAGGAAAAGAGAAGTAAAGATGGGTTTAAAGCTAACCTTGAAAACTGTGACATAGACACTGAGAACTGGGAAGTCCTGGCCCTTGAGCACTCTAACTGGAGGTCACCTGTGATCAGCAGTGCTGCGAAATTTGAAGAAGCACGAATGGAGAGGAAAAGGAAAAAAACATGCTAAGAGGAAGGTGCGCCAAGCCAATCCTGACTGGGACCACTTTCCACCTGGAAACTGCTGTTCTCATTGTAGAACAACATGCGGACCAAGAATAGGTCTCCACAGTCACCTACGTATCCACCACCAAGACACTACACTTGGAAGGTCATCATGCTCGGACAATGAGGGATTACCTGAGTAAGACCTCACAAGATTAATGTGAATAGCCTTTCTCATATTGATTACATTGGAGGAACCCTTGAAATAATTTCAGATATCAAGGGATGCTTGCTCAAATATTATTATATCTATGATTTTTTTTAAAAAAACAGTTTTCTCCCCAGTCATGATGTCTCACAAAATCCCTAGTGACAACCCAAGCTAGAGCCCCTTCTACACTGCCATATAAAATCCATATTATCTACTTTGAACTGGATTATATCGCAGTGAAGATTCATATCATCCAATTCAAAGCAAATAATGTGGATTATCTCCTTTGAAAATCTGGATTACATAGCAGTGTAAACATTGAGAAACCCTATATGTGAGGATAAAGTCAGTGGAGAATGTTATATAGCAACCTTTTGAGGGATAAAGGCATAAAATGTAATATTAAGAAGTTGGCTTCCATTCATCTTGATTCCACAGGGCTCCACTCATTAAATCACTAAGTTTATTTTACCTGGCCAAGAGAGACATAGAACTTTCTCATAATCATGTCATCTTCATCTTCTTCTGACAGTTCTGCAGGTTCTGGGGGTTTGGTGAACCAAGGATAATATTTTGTATCTATCATAAAATTCACACCTGTTCTGCTCCATTCCACCTGTGATATGAGTTTAGCTAACCTACAAAGAAGTGACAGGTATTATAGTGACGAGGTTATCTTAGATCTCTACAACATTAAAATCAGCAGACTGTTCACTGTTATTTTTATAAAGAAACCAACATCATAAAGTCATTATTATGAATCTGCTGTTCTCATCCTTTGGATTTACTGAAAGCTCCAATGGTATAGTAAATTTTCCTGTCCAAGGGGAAAAGGCTCAAAACAATTTAACAAATGAACAATAAATCAAAACAAAAAAGCTCATAAAAATATCAATATAATAACACTAGGCATGCTATGAAAAATCAAAACCATGAGACCAAACATAAAGCTGCATGGAACAGCTACAGCTCATTTGTCTTGATGTCCATTTAGTTATTTACTTATTTATATGAGCCACTTTGAATTTCAGTCCCGAGAGAAAAGCAGAGTACAAAGAAATATAATAATTATAATTTGTATTTTGCTTTCTGCCAGATACAACATTCAACTGAAACAAAAGCAAGACAGAATTAAAACCACATCAATGGCAATTGTGGAGCAAATATGCATTTCCGACATCCTTTTTACCCCTGTAATTTTCTATTTACCTTTGGATTTGATTATTCTAATAAAGTCTTGAAAGAAAAGAAAAATTCTGCCAGAGAGTCAAAGGTAGTAAAAGGATCATTGGTGCCTGTAACATAGGCACACATTCACATACATAGTAATCAAGTTCATACATAAAACTTAAATTGTTGTTAAGCTTTAAAACTTTCAAGTCATTCTTATAGTGCATCTGAATGCAGGGAAGGGCACTAATGAATTTGTGGTCATTGTTGGAGCATGAAAGAAATCAGCTAGCGTGTGTGTGTGACAACTGTAAAATAAGATGAATGATGCTGATTGGTCGGGCTATGCCTGGGGTGCAGGCTGAACCTGGGACTTTTGGATACTGTTACATTTTTGTTCAGGCTTCAGATATGCACGTGCTCAGAGAGAAGCACAGAGAGAAGCAGAAAGAGAAAGAGTTTGGAGTGTGCTCTCGCTTCCCACAACTTCAGTATCCACTGCCTGAGGGCCCTTCCACACAGCCCTATATTCCAGAATATCAAGGTAGAAAATCCCACAATATCTGCTTTTAACTGGTTTATCTAAGTGCACACTCAGATAATTTGGGATTTCCTGCCTTGTTATTCTGGGATATAGGGCTGTGTGGAAGGGCCGTGACTATCTAACAGTAGAATCAATACTGTGAAAGATTACGGTCACACCCAATGAAAGAAATGATAACAAAACACATTATTGAGTGATATATCTCTTGACCATGGTTGAAGGTTTGCATATGCTATTTCTTATATTATGTACAATATTTACTAAATTCTAGTGCTCCCTTTTTTTGATTAAAGTACCTTCCCAAAATTAGGGTGCTTATTAGATTCACATAATTTTGGGTTTCAGGGTTTGGAAATTGAGGTGCGCATTACATTCAATGGCATATTAGACTCAACTAAATATGATATATACATGCTGCCACAAAATGTGTTTTAAAAGAAAGGTATACAGATATGGAGGGCCGATTAGGCAAAATGAACTACTATGAGAACACTGTGGGAGAGATCATGTAATTAAATACATGCATGCCAGTAAAATTTGGTAATTATTGAATATGGACCATAAAGTAAAAGTGATAAATGACAATTGCCCATGAACATTACAAAGCAAGATGCTATAAAAATGGCTTTATTTTCATAGTTATTATTTGCAGACATCGTTAAGTAATCTAAGCCAAAAGCATCTGAGTATTATTATTAACATTTTTGCTAAAAAAATTTTTTTGCAGTTTTACAACTTGTACTTTAGTTAGAAGTTGCAGTACCTGTACTCAAGGTAACAATCGCTTTCTAAAAATGCAGGCAATCTCTCCTTTTTAATCCATTTAATGGCTTGTTCTCGATCCAAACACTAGAAAAGAAAATATTTGTAAAGTTTCCTTCAGGTTTGACTTCTCTTAGAGTTAATATTCTGACAGTATAAAACAGTGATTATCAAAGAGTATTCCAAAGAGTTGTTGTGAGTCTTCCGGGCTATATGGCTATGTTCCAGAAGCATTCTCTCCTAATGTTTTGCCTGCATCTATGGCAGGCATCCTCAGAGGTTGTGAGGTCTGTTGAAAACTAGGAAAATTGGGTTTATATATCTGTGAAATGTCCAGGGTGGGAGAAAGAACTCTTGTCTATTGGACGTAGGTTTGAATATTTCAATTGGCCTTCCTACCTTTTTTTCTTTTACCATAGATGCAGGTGAAATGTCAGGAGAGAATGCTTCTGGAACATGGCCATACAGCCCGGAAGACTCACAACAACCCAGTGATTCCGGCCATGAAAACCTTCGACATATTGTTGGAAGCTCATCATAGATTCTATAACCATCTACAACAATACTGGAACCATTTATTTTTAATGTGTCACTTCACAAAGGTCTCCATTATAGACAAATCTGCTGTGACAATGTCCAGAAATATGCTGTTTTCCTTCTGAAATAAGGTGCATTCTTCCATTGCTTCAATACTACTTGTAAATAAAATGTTCAATGAGTGAGCATGCATCTTGTTTAAGGGGAAATGGTTGGAGAAACTGACTGGTGATAGCAACCATGGTTGTGGATAGGATTCCCTGTTAGCTGGATGGCAATGCAGCACTTTGATGCTTGGAAGTTGCCTATTTTCCCCCTAAAATAGCATTTTCCAATCTAGGTTTTATATTCCCAGCATTCCCAAACAACACAGATAGTGAGAATTACAAGCCAAAATCTTTTAGGACTTAAGAGCAGCATCCCCAATTTAGGACCTATCAAAATGAGTAAAATCTACTCACTGTGTATGATCTCTAAATGTTTCCCAACCTTCTCTGTAGTCCCAGGCAGACATCAGAATAGTCATTTTAATCCCTTCAATGGGATCATCATATGCATCTGCTGGGCTCTATGCAGCTTGGTGTTCCAGTATTTTTGTCGGCTATGTTACCATAGGAAAACACCAATATGTTTCACATTCTGTTTATGACAACCCATTACTATTATTATTATTATTATTATTATTATTATTATTATTGGACAAATTTTGATGTAGAAAGTTCCTGGCTTTTCCTTGGAACCTTGGAAAGCTGCTGTCAGTCATAATCAACAATATTAGGCTAGAGGCACCATGATCTGACTTGCTAAAAGGCAGTTTCCAGCCTTCAACATATTGTGGGAAAGATATATGCAGATCATATAAATCAGTGGTTCCCAACCTTTTTTGACCAGGTACCACTTTGACCATTCTCCAACATTAGTACCAAAGTTTTTGGTCAACTTTAGATTTGGTTTGGTTATTTGGGGTGCTGATTCAGAAATTTGCATTGGATATACCATATCAGTTTTATTGTTGTCATCTGCCCTCCCACAGAAAACCATATTTAATAAGCCTCAGCACTAAAAGAGAGTTTTGTGAGATCAGTTGCTCTCATTGCAATGGTATATTAATGGTTAGGCTGCGGACCATATTTTAGTTTTTGTGGACCACTGGTGATCCATGGACCACAGGTTAGGAACCACTGATATAAATCAATAAGGAAACTGGCAGGAGATGATAGTCATGAATCCTAACAAATATAGCCAGGGTATGAACTAACACCCAGAATCCTTTGCAATGTGACAGACTAACAGAAGTCCAAAAACCACTGATACAAGTGGCTTCCTAATATAAGTGGCCAAGTTGGCTGAGAGATTCTGGAAGCTGAAATCCAAAGACTTCTGAAGTCTCACACTATGTTAATTGCAGTACATGATTGCGTGACACTTCAATTAATCACACATAGCTTCTTTGAAAAACAGAGTGTGAGCTGAGATCACAACTTGGCAGTGACAAGTCAGAGCCTATACGTGAACAGTCACCAAATTTGTCTGAAAGTTGATTGTCAGAGTCCATTGTAAATGGCAAGGAATGGCTCCCAAAGGGATGCATGAAATCCAAGAAGTACTGCTACTTGGCAACCTCCAATTGTTTCTATATGGTTATGTTCCCTGTTGCCTATGAACATCTGCAGTAGACATGGGAAAACTTCATGCAAAACAATGCCTCAGCATAAAGAATGCTGATGTTGGCTGTGGGTCTTATAATATATTTTGCAGAGGCAGAGGGCAGTTGCTCTTGTCTAGCTTGAATGTGCCCCTTATGGCTTACTGATAATAGTTTCTGGAAAGACTGAAGAATGCTTCTTTATTTTGGCCATTTTTTTTTTCTGGATGGAAGAAAATCAATTTGCAATTATTTATGTTGAATTGAAGGAAATCCCAGCCTTTTGTCTGCAATATGTGTGAGAAAAGAAGATATGCCAAAACCACATTTATCATCTGAGAGAAATCAGCTTCCAAAATTAGGTTCTAAGTTTCATGAAAGCATACTCCTCTGTACGTTTACTGCATTCACAGAAACTATTTTCCTTAATGTATATGGGACTCCAGTTTAACTAGATGATGGATGATGATGAAAGTATAAAAAATACCATCCTAAAAAAGGAAGTTTAAGCCCATATACACATGTATGCTGGAATTCCATCAGTTAATCTCAACTACAGTGGACCCACTGAATTATTTTCTTCCAAAACAGCCTCAGTTAAGGATAGTGTGTCTCATCTGAGTGAATGCCTGAAAGGGGTAATGGGCTGGATGAAGTAAAACAATTTGAAACTGAATCCAGACAAAACAGAGGTACTAAATGGTCATCAAGCATCCTAATCTAGGGATGGAGGTATCTCAACCAGTTCTGGATGGGGTTACACTACCCTAAAAGACTGTGTCGGAGCTTGGAAATGCTCCTGGATCCATCTCTCCAAATGACAGCCCAGGTAGAAGTGAGGTCAGGAGTGGCTGATACACCAGCTGCACTCCTTCTTAGATTTGGAGGACCTAAAGATGATTGTGCACGTGTTGATAACCTCAAGGTTGGACTTCTGCAATGTGCTTTACATAGGGCTACCTTTGTACTAAGTTCAGAAATTCTGGTTGATTCAAAATATGGCAGGCAGATTTGTTATAGGAACATCCAAAAGTGAACATATTACATCCATACTAAAATTACTCCACTGGCTGCCAATTAGTTTCCAAGCGAAGTACAAAGTGATGGTTTTGATCTTTGAAGTCCTACATGGTTTGGGCAAAGGTTACCTACAGGATCGCCTTCTCCAATACAATTCGCACTGAACATTGATGTTCTCTGAGAGGCATCTGCTGCAACCAGCCAGAACCTGACTGGCGACTGTCACCCAGAGGACCTTTTCATCAGCTGCCCCAAGATTGTGAAATGACCTGCTGGAAGAGCTCCAATGGCTAAATTTGCTATCAGAATTTAAAACACATTTGAAATCCTACCTCTTCCAGCAGGTCTACTCAGCCAATCTAATCACAAATTTTAAACTTGAACAAAGATTAAACTTGTGGAACCTTTATTTGTGGAACCATTACTTTCACACTGAAGCGGTACTGAAGCGGTACCTATTCATCTACTCATGTTTGCATGTTTTTGATCTGCTAGGTTGGCAGAAATTAAGGCCATAGCAATGCACAATATTTAGGAAAAATTATTTCTTTTACTACAGCTCCCAGAAATCATGCAGTCAATAGCCATGCTGGCTTCAGGATTCCACAGTAGTCGAAAAAGTAAACTTTCCAAGAAAACAGGGAGGTTGCAAATAGAATGCATTTCCTTTCCACATACTTATGCCATAAACATCTTTTCTGTGAACAGGTATTACTTATACAGAGTGATTTAACAATATGAATCTGATCCAATTAAATCTATTTTAATATGAATGATAAAACAAATTGCATCCTATTTTATAATGGTACACAAACAAGTCTGAGTAGATATCATCTCCCTGAGATTTGTTTTCTTTTGTGTGAGTCATGAAAAAATGCCTCTTTCAAGATGGCAGTGCCATCCACAGTGGGTTAAAGTGCTGAGCTGCTGGACTTGCTGACCACAAGGTCTCAGGTTGAATCTGGGGAGCAGCCTGAGCTCCCGCTGTTAGCCCCAGCTTCTGCCAACCTAGCAGTTTGAAAACATGAAAATGTGAGTAGATCAATAGGTACCGCTCTGGTGGGAAAGTAACAGCACTCCATGAAGTCATGCTGACCACAGGACCTTGGAGGTGTCTACGGACAACAGTGGCTTAGAAATGGAAATGAACACTAACCCCCAGAGACAGACACGACTGGACTTAGTGTCAGGGGAAAAACCTTTACCTTTAACCTGAAACACAGAATTGTATCTAATAGAAGATTTTTGAACTGTTAGCATATGATGCTTTGTGGAATGCAAATGAATAATACTAATATCACAAAGAGGAGGAGGAGGAATGACAATTAAGAAATCATTCTTACCATTGCGACATAGTTCAGATCAACATTTAAGTATGGCGGTGGTGGTGGCAATAGCGGACGACTGGGATCTTTAGAAAGAGGAATTTCTGGTTTTGTTGGCCTTGTAACATCATAAATGGGATTCCGAGGTTTCTGTTCATATAACAACTTTTTCAGCTGGTTTTCTATCCTTCCTGGAGCATCACTCGCGACTTCAAAAATTCCAAAATCGGGATTATATTTAATCGTCTCTGCAAAGGTCTATAATGACAATATTTAAATATTTTTTAAAAATCAATACCAATATTAAAAAGAAATCAACAGGCTGCAATAGAACTACCATGTATTTTCTCAATTGCTTGGTGTATCAGAATTCTACTTGTATTGAGACTCACTACTTTAAGGAGTTTCTCCATTTATTTATTTCATGTTCAGGAGCAACTTGAGAAACTGCAAGTCACCTCTGGTGTGAGAGAATTGGCCATCTGCAAGGATGTTGCCCAGGGGATTCTTTTTGTTTTGTCGTGTCAGGAGTAACTTGATAAACTGCAAGTCACTTCTGGTGTGAGGGAATTGGCCATCTGCAGGACGATGCCCGGATGTTTTGATGTTTTTACCATCCTTGTGGGAGACTTCTCTCATGTTCCCACATGAGGAGCTGGAGCTGATAGAGGGAGCTCATCTGCACTCTCTCTGGGTTTGAATCTGCAACCTATAGATCTTCGGTCCTGCCGGTACAGGGGTTTAACCCACTGCACCACCGGGGGCTCTGCCCAGGGGATGCCCAGATGTTTTACCATCTTTTGGGAGTCTTCTCTCATATCCCCACATGAGAAGCTGGAGCTGACAGACATGAGCTCACCTTCCTCACCGGATTCGAACCGCTGACCTTTCAATGAGCAGTCCTGCTGGCACAAGGGTTTAACCCAGGGGTCCTCAAACTTTTTAAACAGAGGACCAGGTCACAGTCCCTCAAACTGTTGGAGGGTCGTATTATAATTAAAAAAAAGAAAAAAAGATTGAATTCCTATGTACACAGCACATATCTTATTTGTAAGGGGAAAAAACACTTTAAAATGATACAATAATTAAAATGAACAATTTTAACAAATATAAACTTATTAGTATTTCAATGGGAAGTGTGGGCCTGCTTTTGGCTGATGAGATAGGATTGTTGTTGTTGTGTGCTTTCAAGTCATTTCAGACTTAGGTTGACCTTGAGCGAGGGCCGGGTAAATTACCTTGGAGGGCCATATCCGGTCCCAGGGCCTTAGTTTGAGGACCCCTGGTTTAACACATTGCACCACTGGGGGGGGAGGGGGTTGTTGTCCTAAATGATTGACTTATCATTCAAAATATCACTAGATCTTTGTCAAACCAGATGGGCTCGGTAGGCCTGGTGTCAATGTGTTGGAGGTGGCCAGGCCTGGGAACAAAAGTTAGGTCTTCTTGTAGTAGAATGTTTAGCTCGTCAAAAGCTCTAAGAGTAGATTCCATTGGTCGATCCGAGAGAATTACTGATCTTAGACATGATGCTGGTTTTGATTTAAATCTGGCCGTAAGTTGAGCCTGGGCGTCATTTGACCATTTGGCTCCCTGTGGTCCCCATTGAATGACTGACAGCAACCTGGAAACATTCTTGATTATCACTGCTTAGTCCCTACACTATTTTCTACAGATTCACACATACAAACAGTTCTCACACCTCTCCAAATTATACTTTTGTTCCTAATTTTTCATCACTTCTAGCTTAAAACAACTGCATTAGATCAACTACCATCAACTAAAGTTGTGTTAGAGCAGGCCTGGGAAAACTTTGGCCCTCCTGGGGTTTTTGACTTCAACTCCCACAATTCCTACAGCCTCAGGCCTTCCTTTTTCCCCTCAGCCGCTTAAGCTGAGGGGGAAAAGGAAAGGGCCTGAGGCTGTTAGGAATTGTGGGAGTTGAAGTCAAAAACCCCAGGAGGGCCAAAGTTTGCCCATGCCTGTGTTAGAGAATACCAATAAGTTAGAAATCAATGCTAGGTTGTTGTTGAATCTTGAATCTTGACCTTTGTTGAATCTTGACCTTTTACATGCTTATTACATGTAATTACATGTACTACATCCTTTCCCAGCTTATTTGTGTAACATCCATTAAGAAGACATACACTCCCTCCTAGCCTAGGATAATAAATGATCCAGAACTTTTTTTTCCAAACTAACATTCTTATGTTTTATGTATACGTAACTTAGACCTTTTCAACTTCAACCCTGCCTACCCACAAAAAGAAATCATAATCATGCTCTGCCTTAGCAATGCATTAATGCACATTTTTAGTTTGGAATTTCATGGTTTTTTAAAATTTGAATACCTATTTTAAAAAAAATAATAAATGCCTCATTCCAAAGTGTTGATTCCTTGCTAACTTATGTGAACATGCAAATGAGACACGTAGTTCTACAATCTGGAACTATTTGAATAGACACCCGATAATTCTAGTTGCATGATATTTACATAGAAAACTAACCAAGGATAACATTAATTAATCACTCATATCTATTTTTAATTCAGCCTCTAGCAATGGAGTCCAAGGACCCATTTTCCAACATGCATTCCAATTAGCCAAACTGAAAACATCTGGCTCCTTTAATGTAGTAAAACATATGCCAATAACAATGTTTAAAATATAAATCATATTGTCATTTTGGATGCTTGACCACCAATCATTTACAAGGTATATACAGGAATGGAATGAAAGAACCAATTGCCTTCATTAGTGTATTTAGCGCCAAAGTTAATCAAAGGCACATGCCGCTATCCAATAATGGGCTTCATTTTTTCTGAACTGAGCCCCACACATGCAAAGGAGTCCCGTGCAGAGCTTGGCAAAGTTCCTTTTTGAATTACAGCACACAAGATTCCCTAGGTAACATGGCCAGGGGCCATGGGATTGCTCTTTGGTAGAGGGATACATCTTATTGTTAGGCAATGGAGGGGTCAGAAATTCTTATCTATTGCAACTCCCAGAGATATACTATAGAATCATAGAGTGTGAGGGGACCTCATGGGCCATCCAGTCCAACCCCCTGCAAAGAAGCAGGAAAATCACATTCAAAGCACCCCCGACAGATGGCCATCCAGCCTCTGGTTAAAAGCCTCCAAAGAAGGAGCCTCCACCACATTCTGGGGCAGAGAGTTCCACTGCTGAACAGCTCTCACAGTTAAGAAGTTCTTCCTCATGTTCAGGTGGAATCTCCTTTCCTGCAGTCTGAAGCCATTGTTCTGCATCCTAGTCTCCAGGGCATCAGAAAACAAGCTTGCTCCCTCCTCCCTATGACTTCCTGTCACATATTTATACATGGCCATCATGCCTCCTCTCAATCTTCTCTTTTGCAGGCTAAACATGCCCAGCTCTTTAAGTCGCTCCTCATAGGGCTTATTTGTCATAAATATAAAAAAATTAACTGGGTATTTTTAATTACAAAAATGTGAGTCAAGTACTGAAAGAGTTAGTAGGCTGAAACCTGTTAGAGTCAGTGGGCCAAAGCTAGTGTCGTCCTGAGGAGAATGAGGTATTATTATTATTATTATTATTATTATTATTATTATCTTTATTTGTACCCCGCTAACATCTCCCAAAGGACTACATGCGGCTTACAAAGGCCAAGGCCTTTGTAAAATAACAGCACAACAATACACACAGCATTATAAAGCAAACCTCTGTGTGAGAGAAGCTTCGTGTGAGAAAGCTCCGGTGTTTGTGTAAAGCTACTATATGTTTGTTTTTGTTTTGTTTTTGTGTTATGGAAACCTTGTTGTAAATAGTGCAAGCATGTTATTTTATTACAAAGAAAAGCCTCCTATGGAAGAAATAACTTTGGTCTGTGTGTTTTTGTATTTTTTTTTATCACTTTGGGCTACTGGTGCTTAGTCACGCTGCTGATAAGTTACTCTGCTGAGCATTTATGAAGAGGGTCTTTTGTTAATAAGCCCACTTGCCCAGCATTGTTCTCCAGACCCTTGAACATTTTAATCACTCTCCTCTTGATACATTCCAGCTTGTCAACATCTCCCTTAAATTGCACTGCCCAGAATTAGTTGCATCTATGCTCACCCATTTTTGAGTATTGATTGGTTGCATCCACAAAGTCTGCCAAATTATAGATTCACTTTAGCAGAAGATGTCTAATTCTAGAGTCAATGTACGCTACAAGCCACCTTTTCCTACCTAGCACATGCTTCTCTGGGTGAAATGACATTGTGCTCCATGCAGCTCTTTCATAAGCTCTTGCCTATATACTATGCTTGTACCTGGGTTGCGTTTCTAGGCAACAGCTGCATAAGCATAACAAAGATAAAAAGCCAAAGTGTAATGATGTTTTAACAGGGGCGTCACATTCTTACTGAATAAGTAGTGTGATGAGCTGCAGCAGAGTAAATCTGGAAATATAAAAGGTTCACATTAACCGTATTAATGTTGAGGAGAGGAAGGTCTCCTGAGAAAATCAAATTATGATGAGGTCAGGATTTCTCAATAGCTACTTTCCATTTCAGTGCTTTGACATGCCTTGCAGCATTGTTCTCTCAACCTAGAAATCCACACTGGGGTTTCCGGCATGACATAATTCTTTACACAGTCAAATTTGTTTCAGTGGACTGTTTTCCAGGAGACTTCCACGGGCAACTGCATGTGCTTGCGTTCTGCAAATGCAACTCAGGATTTGCAATGGAGAGGATTGGGCAACTAACATATTTGTCCTATATTAAGAATACAGATGTGATGTTACTGTCTTACACAGTTTTATGTCAAGTTTGTTGTTAGCTGCCTTAAGTCCCTATATCGGGAGTAAGTCGGGATACAAATAAAGATCCTTTATCTTGATATACACATTAAGCATTTGATGAAGAATTAAAATCACATACTTACCGGGAGACTCAAAAATTCATTGAAGAAGTCCACAAGTATGTCATCAGTAGCTAAATAATCTTCCTGTGGGGACAGGAAAAGCACAAATATTTGCTGAGGGATGGAATAAGAATGGGTTACTTCTAAGAAAGGTAGCAATTTGCAGTATGCAACAATCTTTCCCTTCTCCCATATGTATATACAAAACTGTCATACCAGGTCATTTGTTGCTGGTGCTATGTGTCTTATGGTAACACTATCACAGGGTTTTCTTGAAAAGGTTTATTCAGAGCAAATGCCTTTCCGAAGGTCATTCAGTGGTTAGTCGTGGCTGAGTGGCAATCTGAACCCTGGTCTCCAAAGTCACCATCTAATGTTCAAATTATTACACCATACCACCTCTCATATTATGAGCACATTGCCCAAGATTATGAATGTACCGTATATACTCAAGTGTAAGCCGAGTTTTCAGCCTTTTTAGGGTGAAAAAGTTCCCCTCAGCTTATATTCGGGTGAGGGTCCTGGAAATTGCTTGGAAAGGCACCCAATATGCAGCGAGAGGAGGAGACAGGTGAGAGAGGAGGGATGGCTGCCTTTCTTTCATCAGTTTGAATAAGGAAAGAGGATACTTCACAGCTCTGCTCTTTCTCCCCAGCGTTTTTTCAGGCCACATTCTGATAGATGTAAACATTTTAAAATCAGCAATAAAATTTACACACCCATTGTAACCACCTAAATAAGCAGATCCACTCCTTCTTTTTGAAATTGACCAATAGCTCCTGCATTTCCCAACCTAGGCTTATACTCGAGTCAATAAATTTTCCCAATTTTTTTGTGTGGTAAAACTAGGTGCTCAGCTTATATTCGGGTTGACTTATATTTGGGTCTATATGGTAGTACCCAACATAACTCATAACAGTATATATTATTACATACATCTATACATCTTACAACATTTTGGGTTGTTTAGCTTGGTGAGTTAAGGGAGACATGATAGATTTTTTTAAGTAATATATGCTGTCTAGAAAATTTGATATTTCCCTCTCATATAAGACTAGAACCAAAGATCATCTGATGAAGCTGAATGATGGAAAACAGATAGCAGAGAAAAAAGAAGTACTTCTTCAAACAGTGCAGAAATCGTAGAATCCTCTCCCATAAGATAAAGTGAAAGACTTTCTGCGGTTGGGTTTAATGGCTCAGGCTAGTTGTCGATAAAGTCCAACAACAACTGAAAAGCTACAAGTACTTACACCTGGTTTACAATTTAAGGGCTTCTAGAAAATCATTCACCTGAAAGTAAGTTGAAAAAGTTGGAAAAAATCTTGAACCGTAGTGGCAATGGGAGTAAGAACCTCAGTCTGAGATACTGTTCAACTAACTTAGGCATAGGCAAACTTTGGCCCTCCGGGTATTTTGGACATCAACTCCTACAAGTAGGCTGTTAGGAATTGTGGGAGTTCAAATCCAAAACACCTGGAGGGCCGAAGTTTGCCCATGTCTGATCTAACTAATTTGAATACTTTTTTTTTTGTTTCTTTGCGCAGTAACTTCAGATTCATCTAAGAATTCCTCTCTTCTGTTTAGGCCAAATACACCAAGATTTATGACCAAGGTCTCTGACCCATACACACAAACACAAAGTCCTGCTGAGTTCTGGCAGTGGTTACAGGGAGCAATGTCAATTGCCTGGAACTGAAGCAAAATGTACCAACCCATTTATCAATGAAGGAGGTGAAATATATATTCATAAATTATTTTAGTTTTCTGCCTGAAACCTGAGTCTCAGCCAGCAGTCAACACGAGATTGAAAATTGTGTTTATACACTATCCTCTACCAAATGCAGGAGGGACACAAATAATGGACATGCATTTTCATGAGAGACTTGCCCATCCCCATTCCTCAGTTATACAACTGAGGCTTGTAGTGATATAGGTGTAAGAAGACTCCTACTCATATTAAAAAAACTCTAAAATCAGGACAGTAAATAAAGAACAACACTCAGAAAACAGGGAAATCCCATACAGGAAACAATCAGGGCAAGTTAACACCTCCCAACAAAGGATTCCTCCAGACAGGAAGCAGCCAGGCTTTGAAATTGCAAGGCTATTCAATGCTAATCAAGATGGCCAACTGCAACATTCACACTTGCCGCAAACAGACAAGAGTTCTTTCTCCCACCCTGGATATTCCACCAATATATAAACCCAACTTGCCTAGTTTCCAACATACCTCACAACCTCTGAGGATGCCTGCCATAGATGCAGGTGTAACATCAGGAGAGATTGCTTCTGAAACATTGCCATATAGCCCAGAAACTTCACAGCAACTCAGACTTCTATGATATTGTGTGTTTTAAAAAAACAGTATAATAAAGCATTGTTAATGAAACACTGACCGTTTACCGGTATATGACAGAAGAGTGATATAACGATGCTTTTGCAAACTGATTCCTTTTATTATAAATGCCCTTTTTAGTTGCAATTGCAACCTAAGCATTTTTCCTATGTGTTCAGTTACTTCAAAATATGATATTAAGGTTGTATAAACCAATACTGCATCTCCTAAGAGCAATTTTTAAAGGAATAACCATGTTAGTCTCTTGCAGCATAAAAATGAAGAGGAGAAAAAGAAATATAGTAGCACCTTTGAGATTAACTTGTTCAATGGCATCTACAAAAGCTCATGCTAAAATAAAACCAGCCTTAAAATGTACTGCTATATTCCTTGTTCCCTTCCTCCTTTTTATGCTTCTAAGAGTAATTAACTCTTAACTTTGCCGGCCACACAACCAGGAGGTGACAACGCAGTCTCCTTGGCTTGAAAATGGAGAAAGCATCTCCCCAGAGCCAGAGATGTGCACTGCCTCCAGAAGCCAGAAATGAAAGGAGAAGTCTCTGCCTTCATTTGTGTTTGTGTGTCTCATTTTGCATGATTGTAAAGGCATTGAATGTTTGCCTATATATGTAAACGTGGTTATCCACGCTGAGTCTCCTAGGGGAGAAGGACGGAATATAAATAAAGTGTATTATTATTATTATTATTATTATTATTATTATAGAATCACAGAATCAAAGAGTTGAAAGAGACCTCATGGGCCATCCAGTCCAACCCCCTGCCAAGAAGCAGGAACATTGCATTCAAATCACCCCTGACAGATGGCCATCCAGCCTCTGTTTAAAAGCTTCCAAAGAAGGAGCCTCCACCACACTCCGGGGAATGGCTCTCACAGTCAGGAAGTTCTTCCTCATGTTCAGAAGGAATCTCCTTTCTTGTAGTTTGAAGCCATTGTTTCATGTCCTAGTCTCCAGGGAAGCAGTAAAGAAGCTTGCTCCCTCCTCCCTGTGGCTTCCTCTCACATATTTATACATGGCTATCATATCTCCTCTCAACCTTCTCTTCTTCAGGCTAAACATGCCCAGCTCCTTAAGCCGCTCCTCATAGGGCTTGTTCTCCAGACCTTTGATCATTTTAGTCGCCCTTCTCTGAACACATTTCAGCTTGTCAATATCTCTCTTGAATTGTGGTGCCCAAAATTGGACACAATATTCCAGGTGTGGTCTAACCAAAGCCGAATAGAGGGGTAGCATTACTTCCCTAGATCTAAACACTATGCTCCTATTGATGCAGGCCAAAATCTCATTGGCTTTTTTTGCCACCACATCACATTGTTGGCTCATGTTTAACTTGTCGTCCACAAGGACTCCAATAATTATATTATTATTATTATTATTATTATTATTATTATTATTATTATTATTATAATCTAACAACATCTTAGTAAAAAAAACTTAAAACATCTAAAAATTTGGTGTAATCTACAACACTTAACTCTAACATAAATCTTGTTGAGATCAATGGGACAAATTCCCGAGTAAATAGAAACAGGGTTACAAACTAAGTTTAAATTGGCATGCATAATATGAGAAGTATACTGCAAGTATGGTCAGACTCTGCATAGTTTGGGAATCTTCGTTAATATTCTTTGATAGTTTTATTAATCTTAGTCTTCCTATTAATTTTCCATCTTCCTAGTATTTTCAATGTTGTCTAAGCTTAATTCTATATATGTGGTTACATAAATAGCCAGTATGCTATAGCCATTTTAGCAATGGAATAGGACTCTGAAAGATGAGGGTTCAAATCCCCACTCACTCATGGAAACTCACTGGGTGATCTTAGGCGAGTCGCCTAAGGGCTGAGAGGAGCGGTATACAAATAAAGTAAAATAAATAAAATAAATAAATAAATCTTTGCCAAGTCATACTCTCTCAGCTTCAGAGGATGACTGGTCAACTGAATAATTCCTGCCAAGAAAACCCCATGATAGATTAAACTTAAGGTTGTTGTAAGTCAAAAAATAACTTGAAAACACAATACAACAACAAAGCTGCATTAATCCTTTTTCCAGGTAAAGATGCATAGAATCATTCTGTAAGTTAAAATAAATAATGGCACATTAAAATATATTGATATTGATTTGTTTCTTATTCATGTAATGTATTATTGTATATATTAACTCTGTGACAACAGGCTAAATAGTCACATTTATATTTTCACCAACTATTTGTTTTTTATTGCGATAGAAACAAGAAAAAATAGCTTACTTACAAACTCATCTTCTTTTATACTTGGGGGCACTGAAACACATAGAAGAATACAATGAAATAGTGAAAGTCAATCAACCAAATCAACCAATCAACTTATTTTATAAGTGATTTGTGTTTTCTAACACCATAAAATGGATCATAAGCCATAATCATAAATGGGTTGCTGTGAGTATTCCAGGCTGTATGGCCACATTTCAGAAGCATTCTTTCCTGACATTTCACCCACATCTATGGAAGGCATCCTCAGAGGTTGTGAGGTCTATTGGAAACTGGGCAAGCTGGGTTTATATATCTGTGGAATGTCCAGGGTGGGAGGACAGCAAATAAAGAACAACACTCAGAAAACAGGGAAATTCCAGACCAGAAACTATCAGGGTCAGCTGATATCTACCAACAAACGATTACCCCAGCAGGAAGCAGCCAAGCTTTGAAGATGCAAGGCTATTCAATACTAATCATGGTCATCAATTGCAATATTCACACTTGCCTCCAGCAGACAGGAGTTCTTTCTCCCACTCTGGACTTTCCACAGATATATAAACATCATTTGTCTAGTTTCCAACCGACCTCACAATCTCTGAGGATGCCTGCCATAGATGTAGGTGAAACGTCGGGAAAGAATTCTTCTGAAACATAGCCATACAGCCCAGAAAACTCACAGCAACCAAGTGATTCTGCCCATGAAAGAATTTGACAACACATAATCATAAATGTTTAGATCATTTTCTATTTAAAAACAAACAGCCCATTCATAGAACCTAAACTTGGCAGCAATAATACGACAGATGCTGTTAGATAGGTCCTGTGAAGCTGCGGGTAGAGTCACATCCTATGCTCTGACACTCCCTATTATGTGTACAATCAGCCCTCTACATTTGTGATTTTGACTTTTGTGGATTTGATTTCCACATATTTGATTAAAACATTCTCTCTAGGAAACTCTCAGTTTTCTAGTGTGATCCTATGGTCAACCTCTGGCAGATGTTGACTGTGTTGTTGTTCTGGAGAACTAGACTAAAGGTAAAGGTTTTCCCTTGACATTTAGTCCATTCGTGTCTGACTCTCGGGGTTGGTGCTCATCTCCATTTCTAAGCCAAAGAGCAGGCGTTGTCTGTAGACACCTCCAAGGTCATGTGGCTGGCATAACTGCATGGAGTGCTGTTACCTTCCTGCCGGATCTACTCACATTTGCATGTTTTTGATCTGCTAGGTTGGCAGAAGCTGGGGCTAACAATGGGAGCTCACCCCGGTCCCCGGATTCGAACCACCAACCTTTTGCTCAGCAAGTTCAGCAGCCCAGTGGTTTAACCCACTACACTACCAGGCACCCCATTAGACTAAAATATAACCTTTTTTAATTTATGGGTTTTCAGTTTGGCGCAGGTGCTTTGCCCCTAATCCTAGTGAAAGTGGAGAGCTAACTGTATAAGTGTGTGGAAAGAGAGAACATTAAAATAGATTTAAATACCCTATGTGCCTTGCCAGAAAATTGAACTGCTCAAATTGCTGTTTTCCCTTGCCTATAGTGTAAATGAAAACCTTCTATTGTCAGAATATATATTCAGCTAATGACTGTTTTCACAGCTGAAACTTAACAGCACAATCCCATCCATTTCCATTCAAAAACAAATCCCATTAAGATAAGTGGCTCCAAATTGCTGTTCAAAAGGTATTTCATGACTAGAGTGGATACCTGCGATTCTCCAAATGTTTTAGGACCTTAATTCCCATCAGCCCTAACTGTCATGACCTGTGGTGAGAGATCAAGGGAGCTGGAACTCAACATTAGGAGGGTCATTTGCAATTTATATTGTTTGTCTCATGTGCAACTTCTGACAATAGAGGACGAAAGGCAGGACTGAACACATTTTGCTACCTGATTATGAGCATGTGGCCAGTCAATTTATTTTGGCACCAGAGGCAGGAAATAAATGCATTTTCCCTCCTTAATAGCAAAATTACAGTAACATTGTACGGCATGACCTAACATTATGCTCACCATTTATGGATGGCTAGAACTGGCCCAACCATTTGTAAGAGTGGTGGAGACCACAATGGCACCTCTGTTGTTTATTTATGAACATAGGATAGTTTTATATTCCATCTGATGGGATTTGTGTTCTTTAACTTGGAGTGCATCTACATCAAGCATAAGCAAACTTCAGCCCTCCAGGTGTTTTGGGATTCAACTCCCACAATTCCTAATAGCTGTACACTGTTAGGAATTGTGGGAGTTGAAGTCCAAAACACTTGGAGGGCTGAAGTTTGCCCATGTCTGATCTAGAATTAATGCAAGTTGACACCCCTTTAACTGCCATGGCTCAACACTATGGAATCGTGGGATCTGTAGTTTGGTGAGGCATTAGCATTCTTTGCCAGAGGAGGCTACAGAACATGCAAAACTACAACTCCCATTATTCTACAGCATTGAACCATGGTGTCAAACTGCATTAATTCTACAGTACAGATGCACTCTCAAGCTGTGAGAGGCAGTGAAAGATGCTGTCCCATTCCCAGTGCTGAAGTTGGGTTCAACTCCAATTTAAGAACTGGGAAAACAACCCTCTTGCCCAGAGGTCCTCAAACTAAGGCCCGGGGGCCGAATACGGCCCTCCAAGGTCATTTACCTGGCCCTTGCTCAGGGTCAACCTAAGTCTGAAACAACTTGAAAGCATACAACAACAACCCTATCTCATCAGCCAAAAGCAGGCCCACACTTCCCATTGAAATACTAATAAGTTTATATTTGTTATTGTTCTTTATTTTAATTATTGTATTGTTTTCAAGTGTTTTTGTGCTACTAATAAGATATGTGCAGTGTGCATAGGAATTCATTCATGTGTTTTTTTTCCTTCAAATTATAATCTGGCCCTCCAACAGTTTGAGGGACTGTGACCTGGCCCTCTGTTTAAAAAGTTTGAGGACCCCTGCTCTTGCCCTTCAACCTCAGACAGCACAATGTGTTGGGTGACCAATACCAGTGGCCTCGCTTTGCCAAAAGGAAGGACCAGAAAGCCCTGAAGAAATGGAAAAGAGGCAAGGAATGGATGTGAACAATTTCTAAGTATTGTTGTCCAAAACTGCTGTCAGGTTGACTTTGACTTAGACTGACCCTGTGAATAAGAGCCCTCCAAGAAACCCTGAAATGTATTTATTTCATTTATAACCAGGCTTACTCTCATTATGGGACCAAGACAGTTCTTGAAGGTATCGCAAAACTTGGGCCCTCCAGGTGTTTTGGACTTCAACTCCCACAATTCCTAATAGCTTCAGGCTCCTTTCTTTAAGCATGTAAAAGGTCAAGATTCAACAACTCTGATAGCATTGATTTCTAACTTCTTGGTAAACACAGATATGGGCAAACTTTGACCCTCCAGATGTTTTGCACTTCAACTCCCACAATTCCTAACAGCCTCAGGCCCTTTCCTTTTCCCCCTCAGCCGCTTAAGTGGCTGAGGGACGAAAGGAAAGGGCCTGAGGCTGTTAGGAAATGTGGGAGTTGAAGTTCAAAACGCCTGGAGGGCCCAATAATGAGGTTTGGCATAGTTTTCACTTCCATGGCTGAATGCTATGTACTCTGATGAAGCACCAGTCCTTTTTATCACAGGCTATAGACCTTGTAAAGGAATGGTTCCCAACCCATGGGCCCTGGGCCGTGAGACCTAAAATAAGGTCTGCAAGAGGGAGGGGGGGAGGGAAGGAGGAGGAAGGAAGGAAGGAAGGAAGGAAGGAAGGAAGGAAGGAAGGAAGGAAGGAAGGAGATGCCAATGTGTTGCCCCCGCTCTTGGCCTTGGGTGGCTTCCCAGGCAAGGGCGGAGAAGACTCACGCAGCAACAACAACTTTGGAGAGTCTCCCAAAGTAGTAGTAGTTGTTTTTGTTGCTGTTGTTGTAAGCTCCCATTGCGACACAACAGTTGCAATGGGAAAGGAGCCCTTCATAAGACCCTGTTTAGTCCCCAAAAGTTGTTGTTGTTGTTGTTGTTGTTGTTATTATTATTATTATTATTATTATTATTATTTGAAACCCAACAAGATGAGTCCACAGCAGACACTCTGCTGGCTGTTGAATTGGATCACACGTGGGACACTTCCCAAGTGTCTAGGACTGTGTGATGTATCGGCGAATAATGACTGTGAGACCCAATAAACTTCCTAAGGGCTATAATAATAATAATAATAATAATAATAATAATAATAATAATAATAGATTTTTAAATATGGTTTTCTGTGGGTGAGCAGATGGCGACTACTGGGTGGCATATGTTCTGTATTAGAAACTAGAGCTGATGTGGTCTATCCAATGCAATTTTCTGGAGTATGAGACCCAAGAAACTCCCTAAGGGCTTTAATAATAATAATAATAATAATAATAATAATAATAGATTTTTAAATATGGTTTTCTGTGGGTGAGCAGATGGCGACTACTGGGTGGCATATGTTCTGTATTAGAAACTAGAGCTGATGTGGTCTATCCAATGCAATTTTCTGGAGTATGAGACCCAATAAACTCCCTAAGGGCTTTAATAATAATAATAATAATAATAATAATAATAATAATAATGATTATTAAATATAGTTTTCTGTGGTCAAGCAGATGGTGGCTACTGGGTGGCATATGTTCTGTGTTAGAAACTAGAGCTGATGTGGTCTATCCAATACAATTTTCTGGAGTGTGAGACCCAAGAAACTTCCTAAGGGCTTTAATAATAATAATAATAATAATAATAATAATAATTATTATTATTATTATTATTATTATTATTAAATATGGTTTTCTGTGGGTGATTGGATGGTGACTACTGGGTGGCATATGATCTCTATTAAAAACTACAGCTGATGTGGTCTATCCAATGCAATTTTCTGGAGTGTGAGACCCAATAAACTCCCTAAGGGCTTTAATAATAATATTAATAATAATACATTATTATTAAATATGGTTTTCTGTGGGTGAACAGATGGTGACTACTGGGTGGCATGTGTTCTGTATTAGAAACTAGAGCTGGTGTGGTCTATCCAATACAATTTTCTGGAGTGTGAGACCCAAGAAACTTCCTAAGAGCTTTAATAATAATAATAATAATAATAATAATAATAATAATAATAATAGATTATTAAATATGGTTTTCTGTAGGTGAGCAGATGGTGACTACAGGGTGGCTTATGTTCTGTATTAGAAACTAGAGCTGATGTGGTCTATCCAGTGCAATTTTATGGAGTGTGAGACCCAAGAAACTCCCTAACGGCTTTAATAATAATAATAGTAATAATAATAATAATCGATTATTAAATATTGTTTTCTGTAGTGAGCAGATGGTGGCTACTGGGTGGCATATGTTCTGTGTTAGAAACTAGAGCTGATGTGGTCTATCCAATAAAATTTTCTGGAGTGTGAGACCCAAGAAACTCTCTAAGGGCTTTAAGAAGGAGAAGGAGAAGGAGAAGGAGAATAGATTATTAAATATGGTTTTCTGTAGGCAAGCAGATGGTGGCTACTGGGTGGCATATGTTCTGTATTAGAAACTAGAGCTGATGTGGTCTATCCAATGCAATTTTCTGAATCAGCACCTCAAATAAACAACCCTTTTGATACTAATGTTGGAGAGTTGTCTCTGGTTGTAACGCCACAATTCCAAGGATTCCCTAGCACTAAGCCAAGGCAGTGAAAGTGGGCTCAACCCGCATGAGTTCTACAGTGCAGCTGTGGCTCCTCTGCTCCTGAGGTGCCTTCTTCCTACCTACCGGTGGTCAGCCTTTTCTCTCGCATGGCGACGGTGCCCACTTCGGGCGCCGAGTTAGAGCCTCATGGTCCTCAGGCGGATTCCTCAGAAAAACTTGTGACTGAACTTGGAGGTCTAAAGGCGCACCAAGGGTTTGGAGCGGAGGCGGGTTTCCTTCTCTGGGTTGCTATGGAGCTACCCTATGGAGCTAATGCAGGCAATGGCAGGGGAGAAGCAGCCCTCTGGTCTGCATGGATGAATAATTGAAGGCGTGGGCTGTGCCTGCTTGGAGGGAGGGGAGCGCGCCTGCTCCTTGGTCTGGCAGGTGCGCCAAAGCCAAGCCGGGCGCGACTCTGGGGGAGAAGGCTCTCTCTCCTGTTCTGTGAATGGCAGGGGAAAGAGAGGGAGATCTTCCAGCCAGAGAGGCTCGAGGGTCTCCCCCGCCACACCTGACCAAGCTGCCGCGCCTTTTCCCGCCTTGGTTTGCCGGGTCCCTTTTGCGCTTCGACGCCCCTCTCTCCAAACTTCCTTGAAACTTTTCTTTCGGAGGGAGTGCCAAGGCTGCCTTGGAAGTGAGCTCCCCCTTTTTGCAATCCCCCGCCACGTCCAGGCAGGAGGGCTCGGGCGCCAATGAGAGGGTTAGGCCATTATTTTGGGTATTATTTCTTCCAACCCAGGCGGGCGCAATTGTGATGCGTTTGGCAACAGCCAAGGCTGCCTTGGCGACGGCCTCACCGGGAGGGACTGATCTCTGGCCGGTCTCTCTCCCTCCCAAGCAGAGGAACACCCTTTTTTTCCCCAGGAGTCTCAAAGCCTACCTTAGGACACACAACTGAAGTTTCTTTCCCGTGGATGAATACACAAGCAGAGCCGTTTTCGAGTTTGAAAACCTCCTCAACGCCTTCCATATCAATATCAAGGCAGAAAATCCCACAACATGTGCTTTGAACTGGGTTATCTGAGGCCCTTTCCACACAGCTGAATAAAATCCCACATTTTCTGCTTTGAACTGGAATACCAGGGTTGAGTGAAAAGTAATGCCTCCACTTTCGTAACTCCTCAACAGATGGCAGTACTGGTATGGGGCAGGTACTGGCTTGTTCAGTAGACTCTCCTCTACAGATCCATTTTGGCAGGAAGACTCACAACCTCTGAAGATGCTTGTCATAGATGCAGGCAAAACCTCAGGAAATAATGCTTCTAGAACATGGCCATATAGCCTGAAAAACCTACAATAACCCAGCCTTAGCATTGAACAATTGTGTTGTTAAAGTGCGAAGTCTGGAACCCTGCGCAGACAGTCGGTCAGCGCAACTTAAGCAATGTGCAGTTATAGAATCATAGAGTTGGAAGAGACCTCATGGGCCATCCAATCCAACCCCTGTCAAGAAGCAGGAATATTGCATTCAAAGCACCCCTGACAGATGGCCATCCAGCTTGTGTTTAAAAGCTTCCAAAGAAGGAACCTCCACCACACTCCAGGCAGAGAGTTCCACTGCTGACCAGCTCTCACAGTCAGGAAGTTCTTCCTAATGTTCAGGCGGAATCTCCTTTGAAGGAGTCATTGAATTCTTGACAGCAGAAAGTGTCACTCCAAAGGAGATTCATCAGAGAATGCCAGCTGTTTATGGTGATTGTGTTGCTGTGAGTACTGTGTGTCTTTGGGTGAGTAAGTTTAAAGATGTTGAGGTGGGAACATCTGACTTGTGTGACAAACGAAAGAGTTGGACGTCCTGTGACAGCAACCACCAAGTTTCACAAGCAAAAGGTTGACAGATTGATTCAGGATGATCATCGTATCACACAGAGAGAAATTTCAAGCAAGTTAAAGAGCACATTCTAAGGATTATTTCTGTGTTTGATTTATTAAAATATTCCCATCCAAACCCAAGTAACAAAGGTCGTATATGGCAGTGTGGACTCAGATAACCCAGTTCAAAGCAGATATTGTGATTTTCTGCCTTGATATTCAGGGGAATCTTCCACACAGCCATGTGACTGGAATATATGACAGTGCGGACTCAGATAATCCAGTTCAAAGCAGATAATGTGGGATTTTAAATGCTAATCAAGGTGACCAATTGCAACATTCACACTTGCCTCAAACAGACAAGAGTTCTTTCTCCCACCCTGGCCATTCCACAGATATGTAAACTTTGGCTGAGAGGGAAAAGAAAGGGGCCTGGGGCTGTTAGGAATGCTGGGAGTTGAAGTCTAAAACACCTGGAGGCCCCAAGTTTGCCTTTGCCTGCATTAGTACATGATTGTGATGAAAAGCATTTTCAAACTAGTCTCTGTAGGTGAATCTTTGATGTCCCCTAGTGGTAGAAGTCAGTATCTCTGAATGAACAACTTGAGCTTCAGATTTCAGGGATAAATGATGCCTGGGACTATGACCCAATTCACCCCAAACTTTCCTACATGCTTGTCATAACAAGCACCTCCAAAGATCCAAAATCAACATTGAAAGAAAGGCCCCAGTTTCTCACCAGATCATCTGGCAGCAGCTGAAAAGATTTGGAGGGAGCGTGGGTGTTTTAGCTGTCTGTTTTACATCACTTGGGTTTGTATAGCACGGATTCTGCTATAATCAATTTTATTCTGGTCATGGAAAAGCAAAGGCACCTGCAGCCCAGATCTTTCCACATCATGACATAATTTCTGGAGAATATTTCTACCTCTGGCCTGTTTCCTTTGTCCTGTTTTAGGGCACCAATTCATAATTTCAATGTCATCTCACTCAGCATAACGCACATCAAGTGACCATCTTCTGTGAGTGTATCCAAAGCTAGTCATACTCACTGTTTGGGTGACTCCTGGTTTAACCTGAGGTGTTTTAGAAAAGCTGGGCTTTTATTTATGAATCACTAATATTGTCATCCTGTAAAAAGGAGCCCCCGGTGGCGCAGTGGGTTAAACCCCTGTGCTGACAGGACTGAAGACCGACAGGTTGCAGGTTCAAATCCGGGGAAAGGCGGATGAGCTCCCTCTATCAGCTCCAGCTTCTCATGCGGGGACATGAGAGAAGCCTCCCACAAGGATGATAAAAACATCAAATCATCCGGGCGTCCCCTGGGCAACAACTTTGCAGATGGCCAATTCTCTCACACCAGGAGTCACTCCTGACACGACAAAAAAAAATCCTGTAAAAACATAAACTTGTGATATATTTTCAAATCTGAAAGAAATCATGTTGGGTTGCTGTAAGTCTTTTGGCCGGTATGGCTATGTTCCAGAAGCATATCTCCTGACGTTTCACCTGTGTGGTATATAAATTGTTGTAAATAAATGAATAAAAGTCAGCCTCTCCCCTCTCGACATCCCTGGATTTTGTGAGACCAGTAGCTCCCCATTACAACAGTGAGGCTGCGGAACATATTTTAGTTCTTGGGGACCACTGGTGGTCCATGGATCACAGGCTGGGAACTACTGTTATAGTGTCTTACTACCATATTTAACAATAGTTGTGCAACAATATTTTAAAACAAACAAACAACTATATGTTGTCGAAGGCTTTCGTATCCAACCCGGACTCACTGGGTGGCTGTGGGTTTTCCGGGCAGTATGGCCATGTTCCAGAAGCATTCTCTCCTGACGTTTCACCCACATCTATGGCAAGCATCCTCACAGACCTCACAACCTCTGAGGATGCCTGCCATAGATGTGGGTGAAACATCAGGAGAGAATGCTTCTGGAACATGACCATACAGCCTGGAAAACTCACAGCAGCTCAAACAATTATATGTTCAAGTGGTACATCATAGATGGCTATTTCATATATTATGGGACAATTATGTAGGATTTGCTACCAGGTTTATACTAAGTAGGGAATTATGATCAATTATGGATAGATAAGCATTCAAGTACATAATATGGATCAGTGAACATGCTTTGGTTGCATATTTAATTCTAATGTGTACATGCTATTAAATTGGCTTAATGTGAATGACACATATCATATTAAAGGATTAGTAGTACTGCATTTAGGGTACAAAATAGTTATTGTTATACCCAAAAAGTGCCTGATCCTGAAACTTAAGCAGGATCAGCTCTGGTTAGAACTTGAATGGGAGATCATCAATGAATAACGTGCTACTTTCAGAAGAATCAAGAAACCTGAGCTCATTCTTCACTTTGGCTTTTCTAACTATCTCCCTACATATGCCGGCTGTCTGAATTCCTCTGTGGTTATTTCTCCCTTTTTGTAGATATACAAGAATACCATTGTTTTTCATGATCTACCGCTATTAAGACATGGTCAACCATATGCTGCAGAAGCTTTCTGATTAAGTTCATCACTCATTGAAATATACTTTTTATGTTTTAGCAGCCTGAAAGATCAGGAAGAAATTTGTACAATACATCTATTTCTGTTCCTTCTTCTGATGATCGTTTGCTATAAACACAGCTTGAGAGGAAAGCAGTTTTGTAGGAGGAATTATATTTTGTTTATCCTGCACTGATTATTTTGACATATATTTGTATATCTTCCAGATTGCCTTGTGTTTGATCTACTTGGCTTCAAATGCAGTTGCTCTAGGACTGCAAAAATACAGGGATTATGCTCTGGCCCATCCATCAGCCTGAGGAGTATGGGTTGCTGGATTGCATGTGTATATGTACTTGCAGAGAGAGTCACTTGTCCTGCTCAACTTGAAGAACTGGTATTTCAGTTCAATAATTATTTTTCTCATCCATTCCGATTCCTTTTGCTTTTGTGCCACGTCATTTTAGAGAAGGCATGCAAAATCTGTAGCTTTCCAAGTGTTTTGGATTTCATCTCCCAGAATTCCTGACCATTGGACAAGTTGGCTAGGGCTTCTGGGAGTTGGAGGCCCAAACATCTAGAGCAGGCATGGGCAAACTTTCTAACTGGGGGGGCCACATGGCGGCTGGAGTGGGGTGGGTAAGCCGGGAAGGGGGGGTTCTCCTCAAGCCCCCTCCCTGCCCTTTCCTCCCCTTCCGCTTCTCTTTCAGAGGCAGAAAGTGAAGGAAAGACAGGAAACGTTTGGATCCGAAAAGGGTTAGCCTTGGTCAGGATGAGATGGTGGACGGGAGGGAAAAAGTGTATCCATTAGACCCCATATTGCCTACTCCTGATATAGAATCCTAGAATTGAAAGAATCCTTTCCAACCCCCTGCAATGCAAGAAGGCACAATCAAAGCACTCCTAACAGACAGCCTCTGTGGAAAAGCCTCAAGAGAAGGAGACTCCACCACATTCCAAGGCGGTCTATGACACTCTCCAACAGCTCTTACTCTCAGGAAGTTCTTCCTATTCTTTTTAACTGAATCTCTTTCTCTGCCAATTGAAACCATTGCTCCCTTGTGCCCTGGTCTCTAGAGTAGCGGAAAGTCAGTTTTTCCCCTCCTCCTCAATGGGACACCCTCAATGGTTCTCATGTTCCCTCTTTACCTTCTCTTTTTCCAGCTAAACACCCATAGGAGGAAATTAGGAAGGAAAAAGAGAAGGAATAATGGGAAGAAGAGAAGGATAGAAGGAAGGAAGAGTGGAAGGGAATGGAGGGAGGGAGGGAAGAAAGAGAGAAGGAAGGAAAGACAAAAGGGAAGGAAGGAAGGAAGGAAGGAAGGAAGGAAGGAGAGAGAGAGGAAAGGTGGGAAGAAAGGAAGGACTAAAGGTAGAAAGGAAAGAAGGAGGGAGGGAGAAAGAGGGAGGTAAGGGAAGGAGGAAGGAGGAAAGGAGAAGGAAAGAGAGAAGGAAGAAAGGATAGGATGGCGAGGAAGAGGAGGGCCTGAGAAAAGAGCCCAAGGGGTTGCATTCGGCTCCCAGGTTGGGGTTTGCCCATACTTGATCTAAAATGTCATACTTTGTGTTTTAAAATACGGAACTGTGAATACCATCTCATCTTATAATCTCCACATCCCATTGCAAATGTTAGGTGCTTTAGAAGGTAATAATTCTGATGCTGAGTTTAATGAATTCCATTGAGTAAAATGCTTTTGCATTAAAATAATGTATAGCACTGCAGCACATTTATTATACAGAAATATTTTATTAAAAATATGGAAAGGTAGCATAAATATTGAATTCTTTTTTATTTGCCATTGCGATCAATACCTGCATGTTTAAGTGTCTGAAATAGCATTGCAAGACATACTGAAAACTATGCTGAAAGTACTTTATTGAAATCTCATTATGTGCATCTGACAACATGACTAAACAGTTTAAAATGTTTTCACTTTTTTCAAGAAATGTACAAAAGGTTTAAGATTCTTATGAGGAGAATTATCAACTTGATTGATGATCAAAATGATCATATATGATACTTTTAAAAATACATAATTATTAAAAGTGCTACCTATAGAAAATAGAGAATAAAGGGCAGGGGAAAGGAAATATAATCTATTTACTCCAAAATATTTAGAGGCGTTTCAAGTTTCTTTTGCTTTTGGCACTTCCCGCCAGGGCATATTTTGTATTTTGCCATTTACTAGATGAAGTGCTACAATCTCTTGATCCATGAAAATCACACAAACATAAACTGCAGAAGTCAAACGCACAATCTTCTCGGCTACAGAGTCCACGTTTTTTAACGGATTCATACTTAGCAGGACTCTGACACTTTGGACAGGGCTTTAAAGCTTCACCAATGAAGAGGGTTTGGGCAACCTGTTCCAGGAGAATAGACAAACTTTAGAATACAGTCATACATGCATTTTGAAAAAGAAATGTTACCATATATAGTCATGTATAAATAAAAGGCAGGTTTGGGGGTCAAAACTATGGATTTTGATATGATTTGTGGATAAATCAAGGGCCATTCCAGCTTGCCACTGCCATTTTCCCCATTCTGATACTCAAAAAAGCCAGAAATAGCCCCATAGCAGAGAAAGTAGAGGAGCTCAGTCTTTATTTTAGGTTCTCCTAGAACCACCAGAGAAGGTAATGACTCATTTTTTATAGAGTTATAGTATAGTGCTTACATTGACTCATGGATAAGTTGATCTAGGTTTTGGGAGTTGGTTTGTCAATTATATACGAATCTATACATGTATATACATGAGCTGTGGCACAGCGGGTTAAACCACTAAGCTGCAGAACTTGCGGACTGGAAGGTTGGCAGTTCAAATCCATGGGACAGGGTGAGCTCCCATTGTTAGCCCCAACTTCTGCCAACCTAGCAGTTCGAAAACATGCAAACGTTAGTTGATCAATAGATACCACTTTGGCAGAAAGGTAACAGCACTCCATGCAGTCATGCTGGCCACATGACCTTGGAGGTGTCTACAGATAACGCGGCTCTTCGGCTTAGAAAAGGAGATGAGCACCAGCCTCCAGAGTCGGACACGACTGGACTTAATCTTTATCTTTTTATATACAGTAAATACTTCTTTGTCATGTTCTACATTTCAGTAAGTTACATTAGTAAATTGGTTTTTTAAAAACCAGAAACATGTTAAGAAGGAATTTTTTACTACATGGTAAGAAGTAAGAGACACTTGGAAAAATGGAATGCGAAAGCCTGTTACTTTCCAGGCTAAATCTTCCAGAAATCCTCACTTATGCTTGCCAGCCAAAAGGGCAAATTGTACATACACTTTGTCCAGAGTCACCCTGTAGAATTCAGTTCTAGGTTAGTCTGCTTTGTTCTAACAGTTGCTTTTTGTTGCCTACCTTTATATATGCTTCGTGTTTACTAGCTGACTGAAGAATGGAGCTGCATCCCTGAGGTGTCAAAGATTTATTAAAAACAGGCTGTGTTTTTAATGCTGGAGATTTTCCTTGAGCTTGGACTGGCCGTAGTGCAAGTCTAGTCATCATTAGTCTCGTAGCAGCATCTTCAGCATTTGATATGTTTATCTGTTAAATTTACCAAACACCAAGGATTACATTTGTAAAAGCAATTTACCACTGTACATGAGATAAGTTTTTGAAGAGAACTGATATAACATATTACATAGGCCATCTGAACTAAAGCAACACGAAACACTCCTATATAGTTATTTTAGTAGTGTAACAGCTCTTTCCATAGAGAACCATCTTTCATGTTCAATCTGCCATGGAAACTCAGATATAATACAAACACTAAGCTGATAGAGGGAACTGCAGTGCCCAGGACATTTGGCCTTCATGTTGCTTTCATCAACTTTGTGCGTACCATAGATGACACACAACAGTTTTTGGCCTTCAGATTTTAATATAGATTTTCTCTAGCATTTGGGAAGCAAGAAATTGTTTGGTTAAAAAAAACACACAGAAAAATACACCTTCAAGTCACTTCTGGTGTGAGATAATAGACCATCTGCAGAGATATTGCCCAAGGGATGCCCGGATGTTTTACTATCCTGTGGGAGGCTTTTGCATGTCCCCACATGGGAAGCTGGAGCTGACAGATGGGAGTACAACCCATCTTACAGATTTGAACCGCTGACCTTCAGGTCAGCAGTTCAGACAGGACAAGGGTTTAACCCATTGCGCCACCACGGTTCATTGTATATCAATTATTTCACAAAGATTGAAACACTATATCATGTTTGCATAGCGCATATCTGTACTTACATAGTTACATGCTAGTTGTGCTATACTACCCTTCTTGTTCTACTGTAGACTGTGGATGCCCAGTGGCTTTTTCTAATCCCATTGAATAAAGTGGCACATTGAAGTCCTGATGAAGTTAGACATAATCCAAGAATGTGCAAGTACATGGCTGGAATCCTGCTACTCCCAACTAGATGAAACCATTGAATCATCTGTTGAATAGTGAGTCAGCACATAGGGAAAACCTGTTGATTCTGTGGCTTTACTCTAGTTGGAATTGACAACAGGATTTAGTCCAACATAAAATGGTTAGTTGTAAAATTCCACTGATGAAGCCATGAATGGCTGCACATAGCCCAAAGAAGTACAATCACTTGTGTTAGCCATTTACACATGTTTGACACCAAGATAATTCCAATCAATGCACAAAAGCCAATGGGATTTTGGCCTGCATAAATAGAAGTGTCAAGATCAGTGGTTCTCAACCTGAGGTCCCTAGGTGTTTTTGGCCTTCAGCTCCCAGAAATCCTAACAGCTGGTAAACTGACTGGGATTTCTGGGAATTTTAGGCCAAAAACATCTGGGACTCCAGGTTGAGAACCACTGGTCTAGATCCAGGGAAGTCCTGCTACCCCTCTATTCTGCCTTGGTCAGACCACACCTGGAATACTGTGTCCAATTCTGGGCACCACGATTGAGGGGAATTGTTGACAAGATGGAATGTGTCCGGAGGAGGCCAACTAAAATGTTCAAGGTCTGGAGAACAAACCTTATGCGGAGCAAATTAAAGAGCTAGACGTGTTTAGCCTGCAGAAGAGAATGCTGAGAGGAGACATGATGGCCATGTATAAATATGTGAGGGGAAGTCATAGATAGGAGAGAGCAAGCTTGTTTTCTGCTACCCTGGAGAACAATGGTTTCAAACCTCAAGAAAGAAGATTTTACCTGAACATTAGGAAGAACTTCCTGACTGTGAGAGCTGTTCAGCAGTGGAACTCTCTGTTCCAGAGTGTGGTGAAGGCTCCTTCTTTGGAGGCTTTTAAATAGAGGCTGGATGGGGGTGCTTTGAATGCGATTTTCCTGATTCTTGGCCAGGGGTTGGAGTAGATGGCCTACAAGGTCTCTTCCAACTCTATGATTCTATATACTTGAATAGTAGCTGAATTCTAAAGACTGGTCCTTTCATTTGCTGAATATGTGTATACAGCGGAACAAATAAAATTAAAACTTCCCCTTAAATATTTGCAATGTTATCTCTGCTCTTCTTTTTTTTTTCATGCCTCCCAAAACAGCTCTGAAAATGCTTGTACACTGATAGGTTACCTTAGTTGTTGTTCTCAGATGTTTAATGTAGAACTTCCTCCTCCGATTTGCATGTTTATCCAATACAATAATTTCCCGCCAATTTTGACTTACATTCCACATGCTGAAACAACAAAATATTATAAACCAGTATTCAAAAATTGCATAGGAATACAGTAGACAGAACTGCTTTGTCCTAAATAATGTATTTGAAATAAAGATACATCTTGATAGATCTGAAGAAAATGGAGTCTACATGAAAACAAAGCTTGGAGGCCACAGTGCTAGAGCGAGGGGAGAACATACCAGTACTATGTATATTATTCTCCAAATCACAACTATCTGTTAATTTTAAAGATGTTACATAAAATAAAGAATATATTAGATATATGTTCCTACAACTATTGAATTATACAATATAAAATACAGATCATTTCATTGTGCCTGCTCACATTCATTTCATGTTAAATATTGGACCAGGAAAACACAAACCTTGCATTTGTTGTCATCTGTAAAATGTGTGTTATTTTCAAGCATATTTCCATCCTGGTAATCAATATGTGGGCACTCATCTAGCACAGGGACATTAACATTAAGGCACCCATGGTGTCTCCATGTAGTTACATAGAAGTAAAAATTGTAATGAAATAAAATGTACATTATAAGGAAGGCCTGGGCAATTTTTGGCCCTCCAGGTGTTTTGGAATTCAACTCCCACAATTCCTAACAGCCTCTGGCTCTTTCCTTTCCCCCTTAAATGGCTGAGGGGGAAAAGGAATGGACCTGAGAGTGTTAGGAATTGTGGGAGTTGAAATCCAAAACACCCGGAGGGCCAAAGTATGCCCAGGCCTGGTATAGGTGGATACCATAACAGGGAAATACACAACAGAGCCCCCAGTGATGCAGCGGGTTAAACTGCTGAGCTGAACATGCTGACTGAAAGGTCAGCGGTTCGAATCCAGGGAGCAGGGTAAGCTCCTGCTGTTAGCCCCAGCTTCTCCAACCTAGCAGTTCGAAAACATGCAAATGTGAGTAGTTTAATAGATACCGCTTCGGCAGAAAGGTAACAGCACTCCATGCAGTCATGAATTCATTTTGGTTATATCGGGACAATATCACTGAGGAACACTGAGGAAGTTTCCAGATTAACTCTCTTACCTGCATAAGCTTTCCACAGTCACGATGTCTAAAATCATCGTAAGAACATGTTTTAAATGTCTGTCTCTTAATTCTGTTAATATATCTAGTTTTTCAATGCCCATTTTCTTGCCAATGAGTTGAGCAACAACACACTTTAACAGCGAAATGTCAAGTCCACCAATATTCTTCAACAAATCAGTTTCCTCCTTTTTTTTACTTCTGCTTTGCATAAAGAGAGTGTGAATTAGTTGCAAAGTTGGAGTCTTTGAGAGATTTTCTGGATTTGGAACCATGCTTCTATTGTCATTTACACTAAAAACCAAGTCACTGTCTTCATTGCGATCTCCAGCAGATATTTTTAGATCACATTTTGAATTAGAAGAAGTGCTGTCGTGTTCTTCTTTTTCTGATTGTGAACCACATTCTGAAAGAGTTGACAGCCTTCTTGAGCGCTGCAGCTTTCTTAACTTTCTTTTAGACTTTACAGTGCTGGATGGTTCACTGCATTTTCGAAGCTCTTGGAAAGAACCATCATGCTCAGATGATGACTCTTCCGATTTATCACACGTAAGAGCTTTGTAACTAATACTATCAGGAGTTAGTAGGTTCAAATTACCAATTTCTGTAACTGGAGGTGTACTTATTTCAGTTATAGTAAGATGAAATTCTTCTACAAGACTATTGATTGGTGTGATAGATTTATCATCATTTGTTCCAGACAAACTACATTGAGGAGTTCCAACTAATTCTGAACATGTATTTTTGCCATGAAAACTTTGAAGGGCACTGTCAAAGAAATAGCTGTGTGTGCCTGTAGAGCACTGAGGCTGGATTGGAGACAAACAACTTGGTTCTGGCAAAAGACTGCCATTAGGCTTTGAATCATCAATTGTAGAAGTCCGCTGTTGAGAAAATGCAAGTCTCAGTCTCTGAGAACCAGAAATAGTCTCTTCGCTTTTTAAAGTACTAGTCGCCAGTGGCTGATAGCTTTTGTCTCTTGGAGAATCCAAAGTACATTTTGAAATTCTTTCATCAAAACTAAGAGAATGAGATGAACATGTCTTTTTACGGCTGTTTCCTGAAGGTGATAGTTGTCTTTCGGCACATCCCAAGGCACCAGCAGACGCTGCTTTGGATACAAGCAATCTTCTGCGAATTGACAATTCCTTTTTAGCAATTCTGGGTGTTTCAGAATAGTTTGTATATATACTGGCTTCCTTCCTTTCTGATAATAAGGTAATATGTTTATTTTCAATGGGAGATGGCACTGAAGCACATGAACTACTAGAATGGGCATGTTTAAAATACTCAGGCAAACCTTTGTCATTCTGTTCTCTTTTATGTTCTGCTTCTGCATAATTAAAGCTTTGGTCTTTTAATGATTCGTTGTAGCCACTGTCATAAAATATGGAAGGAGAGCCAGAATCTTTAAAACTGAAGAAGCTTGTATTGTTGCTAGGAGAAGGCAGTCTGACTCTTTTAAAAATATTAGATAGGATTGAATTACTTTCTGACATCTTGTGTTTAGAACTGGATGGGCTCTGTAAAGGGAAAATATTTAGATCAGAAATCATGTAACTAATTCTAATTTCAGACACCGGTGTCCTGAGTAAACCACATAATATTTATACCAAATTGGCCTCCTGAACCAATACTGCCACTTTCCCCTCTCCGTGGAATATCCCTATCGTGACCTGAATCATGATCTGAATCAAAATTCCTATATTACATTACTATTTCATATTTGTAAGTTAAGCTGAATTGATCCTGTTTAATTGCTCTGTTTCCATGCTATTTCCTGTGCTATTATACATTGCTATCCACCTTATTGAACCACTTACCCTCTAACCCAGGGGTCCTCAAACTAAGGCCCGGGGGCCGGATGCGGCCCTCCAAGGTCATTTACCTGGCCCTCGCTCAAGGTCAACCTAAGTCTGAAACTACTTGAAAGCACACAATAGCAACAACAATCCTATCTCATCAGCCAAAAGCAGGCCCACACTTTCCATTGAAATACTAATAAGTTTATATTTGTTAAAATTGTTCATAATTTTAATTATAGTATTGTTTTTAAATGTTTTTTGCACTACAAATAAGATATGTGCAGTATGCATAAGAATTCATTCATGGGTTTTTTTCTGAATTATAATCCGGCCCTCCAACAGTTTGAGGGACTGTGACCTGTCCCTCTGTTTAAAAAGTTTGAGGACCCCTGCTCTAACAAGTTTGTATATTGGCCTCCTTTCGCCCCCCCCTCTCCAAAATTAGTCTGCTGTTGCTTGATGCTTGTTTATTATTATGCTGTTTTATGGTATTTTAATTTGTTATTGTTCTGTTTTTAATTGTATTTTGCCTGAGTTTGGCCTCATGAAAGTCTCCCTTCGGGGAGATGGAGACAGGGTAGAAAAATTAAGTTGTTCTTCTTCTTCATAGGTTAGATCAAAATTCAAAATATTGGCTCTTAAAACCTAGCCTTAACTTATACATAATGTCAACATATACATGAGGATATAACTGACCCTTATGTTATATACCTGTTACAAAGCAAAATTAAAGACATTTCATATTATCTTATAATACACAATGTTTCACTATGTACCTTGTAAGACTCCACTCTTGCCACCTCACCATTAAAGTATTATCATATCCAATGTTACACACTCACAAATAATTATACAGTAGTGTTTCGCTTATCCAACATAAACAGGCTGACAGAACATTGGTTAAGCGAAAATGTTGGATAATAAGGAAGGATTAAGGAAAAGCCTATTAAATGTCAAATTACATTATGATTTTATAAATTAAGCACCAAAACAACATGTTTTACAACAAATCAAAAGAAAAAGCAGTTCAATACATGGTAACATTATGTAGTAATTACGGTATTTATGAATTTAGCACCAAAACATTGCAATGTATTGAAAACACTGACTGCCTAGAGAAACAGCTATGGATCTGGGCAGGAGGAAGACTGTGTTGGAAAATACAGAACATTGGATGAGCAAAGGTTGGATAAGAGAGACTCTAATACCTTTTATCCACGTTTGTTCTGCAATAATAACTTCTGAATATAAGCAATGGTTAATTATTTATACTTTGAAGGAATACTGTAAGTCAGTGGCTGAAAAACCTGAGGCATAAAAATCTTCAATGAAAATTTATTGAAGCCACTTCCATCATCAGAAGCAATATGTCACCCCGCATCAGTTGCTGGAGTTTGGATGATGAAGAATGCACTTTCACTTATGTCCTAATAGTAAGCTTCCCATGGGTGACTGATTAACTAGTGTGATGCTCACTAGACTAGACAAACCTTTTGTCTTATTCAACATGACTCTTATGTGCATATACAATGGCTACATATAATTTCAAAGTGCACAGTGTTTCACTATATATCTTAAGTTACCACTCTTGCCGCTTAACCATTAAAGTAATATCATATAATGTGCATACATTCACAAATAACTGTATTATGGTTTATCCACACTTGCTCTATAAAGTGGAACAATCCTTTCTTAATATAAAAATGTATTATTTTTAAACCCTTGCAACTGAATCATCACCATAATGATTTCAGTGTTACATTTCCAAATAAAATGGGGGGAAACATAGTGGTGGAAGAATTCCCAGTCTTTGAGTCTAAGCACTAAAGTGGATTATATTTTTACCATAGACTTCCTACAAGAACTATCAAATCATTGTTTACGAAAAATGTAAATGTAGTCTACTGGGGGCTCATCAGGTTTGTTGACTAAGCACATTTGAATGATGATTTATTTATTCTTTGATAGTTCTTGTAGGAAGTCTATGGTAAAAATATAATCCACTTTAGTGCTTAGACTCAAAGACTGGGAATTCTTCCACCACTATGTTTCCCCCCATTTTATTTGGAAATGTAACACTGAAATCATTATGGTGATGATTCAGTTGCAAGGGTTTAAAAATAATACATTTTTATATTAAGAAAGGATTGTTTCACTTTATAGAACATACATAGGATTGAGCTCTAAGCAGTTATGTTAGACAATCATGAGTATTTATTACTATACTAACTAAACAGTATGGATATTTATTTTTCCTCTCATGGAGAAAATCTATTCTGCTCAGTAAGTACCAGCCTAATCATCTGAACAGTTACAGATGCTTAGAGCTCAATCCTATGTATATTTTATATAGAAATTGCTCTCACTTTGTTCAGTGGGTCTTCCAAGTATGAGCCAAAGTCTACCTACTTATTTTCCATGGAACTCAGTGATTGATATTCACCCAGATGGAATCACCTAATACATTCTTGCTAGCTGACCTACCAACCTGGATTTGGTGCAAAAGACAGGCTGAATTGTTTGGGCGTGCTGTGCTAATTACTGCACTTTTTTAGAATGTTGCACACTAATGGCAACAACACGATGAAGGAAGACTTCCAATTATGTTCCAAAATGGCTCTAAACAGTATTTTTCTCCAGTGCCTGATATTTCCTTCACAGCCACAGTGCCCATGTTTAGATCACCAGCAGGATTCTGGCCATACAATAAGTACAGAATTCTGAACCCAGGTATTTATTTGTTATGTCTGGCCTTATAACACCTCTATACAAAATAAAATCCTTACACTTTTTGTATTCCAGCAGTACAAATTTAGGAGGCATTATGTTGCTGCTATTGTTGAAAAACTGAGAATTGGCAGTCCTTGTCTATCTATTTGCAAACTATCCAAAGTACTACAAATACATTCAGATCTTTTTTCTGTCCATCCTTAATCTTGCTTTGTTGTATGTTTACAGACGAAGCAAAACACAGTTCTGTTCTGTCTCTAAACAAGCATATTTTAGCAGAACAAATAGCATGTCTTAAGTATGAAGGAAGATGTATTGTTGAAGGCTTTCATGGCCAGAATCACCAGGTTGTTGAGAGTTTTCCAGAACGTATGGCCATGTTCCAGAAGAATTCTCTCCTGACGTTTTGCCTGCATATAAGGCAGGCATCCTCAGAGGTTGTGAGGTCCTCACAGCCTCTGAGGATGCCTGCCCTAGATGCAGGTGAAATGTCAGGAAGGAATGCTTCTGGAACATGGCCATACAGCCCGGAAAATTCACAACCCAATGAAGGAAAACTTCCAATTACGTTCCAAAATGGCATATACTGTGCTGCAAACCAACAGTTACTAAATACATTTGGGTGGAAAATATATGAATTTTAAAACAGGAAACTTGATTTAAATCATTGGTTTAAACTCATTTTTCTTCTCAGCAATCTATAATAAATACAATATATTAAGGACCGGATGTCTTAAGAGCTTTGTTTACTTAAACACGACTCCCACTACAATTCACATTCACAATAATAATTTTAAAAAAAACTTCCACTGGAATCAGAAAACTACTCAGATATTTCTTTAGATTTTGCCAATATTTGCAGTGGTTCTTCAGAAATGCAGTACTTACCCCGGTGGATTTAGAAGGAGACTGCAGTTTAAAAAGGTATTCCAGAACTCTGCAAACATTACCTAGAATGCTGAAGAGAAATATGTGATGGTACAAAATATACGTTTCCTGGATTTCATAAACATGTCTATATAGTGAGCCCTCTTAAGATCGTATTCAAGTTACAAGTTGCACAAAAAACAGCATTTACCACATAATGAGAGTCAGTGAATAATATAAATACAAACTCTAAAATTCTATCTGTCTTCTTCAAGCAGTACATTGGGACTGCTATAAAAGGGCAGCAAATAGTTAATTAGTTAATGTTGGTTGAATATCTCTTATCTGAAATACTTAGCCCAAAAGTATTTGGGATTTATTTCCAGATTTTAGGATATGTGCATTTGCATGTATATACATGACAAGCTAGTTTGGAGATGAGACTGAAATCTAAGCATAAACTTCATACATCAGTAGTTCTCAACCTGGGGTCCCCAGATGTTTTTGGCCTACAACTCCCAGAAATCCCAGCCAGTTTAGGCCAAAAACATCTGGGGACCCCAGGTTGAGAACCACTGATATACATCTTATACCCATAGCTTGAAGGTAATTTTATACAATGTTTATTTTAATTTTGTATATGAAAGTTTGTGTACACTGAACTATTAAAAAGCAAATGTATCACTATGCCAGGTACCTATGTGGACACTTTTGCAGTATTTCAGATTTTGGATTTCTGGATAAGAGATATTCAACCTATGTTGGGCTACATCTACACTCTAGAATTAATGCAGTTTGCCACCACTTTAACTGCCATGGCTCAATGTCATGGAATCATGGGATGCCCCTGAGGATGCCTGCCATAGATGTAGGTGAAACATCAGGAGAGAATGCTTCTGGAACATGCCCATACAGCCGGAAAACTCACAGTAGCCCACCGAAACACATAATAATGATACCTGTCAAAAGTTATGTACATAAATATGCCTTTCCTAGAGACAGCCACCTGAAGAAATCCAGGTTTGACTAGGGTCTACTCCAGTTGTTCAGTCTGATTGTGATTTTAGAACAAGGATTTCAAAAATTAGGAAAGTTTCTACAGTAATACATAATAGTAATTTTTCTCAGCCTACACCACCAAAAGGACATGGAGAGAAAGAAAAATATCCATCCACATTCTGTTTTATGTACAACAAGACTCAAGAGTTACTGATTACATTTTGCTTGACACTGGAGAGCTTAGAAAAGAAAAGGAGGGAAGTTTGAAAACAATGGAATGGAAAATAAGTCTCTTTGGAAAAGTAGATATTGTGTAGCAGCCAAAAAGAGCAAAATGAGACCTGATGGATAATACTTTACAGCATTATTACAATATTTATGTTGCCATGTAAAATACTGATCCTCTTATCTTAGGCTGCAAATCCTCAAACATTTACTAGGAAGCAAATGTACTAGTGACAGCTAAAAAAGGCAAGTAAATGAGTCTTAAAGCAAATCAAGCCTAATTTAGCTCTAGAAGCCAAGAAGACTAAACTGAGACTGTCTTGCTTTGGTTATATCATAAGAAAAAAAAATCAGCCACAGCCACCATTCACAAAGAGCTTGATGTTGGCCTAACAACACAAGCAAAATACTTTGAAACAGTTGAAAACCTTCTTACTAATGCCTCGAAAGATCTCTCCAGCTACTACAAAGATAAACTACCTGAATCCTAACCCTGTCAAGACACAAGTGTGTGCTTTCCATCTACACAACTGTGAAACTAACTGTAACTTCGGTTTGCTTCTGATATGGTAAATTTAAAAAAAAATCCTCAGTATATTTGAAGCTGAGCAAATGAACGTAAAATGACAAGGAAGACTCATTCCATTGTGCTCAGAAACATCAAGCTACAAATAGGCTTCAAAATACATAAATATGAAGCCAAGTGCCTGTTTTAAGGAAAGCTATTTGAACAGAGTATCAATACAAATAGGTTTGATTGATACTAATATTTTCCACACCTCAATACAAATTAACTCATAAGCAAATGCTATTGTTTCCAATGAGAGCTACTTCCAGGTAAGTGTATACTATAAGCTTGTAATGTTAACTACTCAGAATATTTTCCTCCAGTTAGTATTAAGAGATGCTCTTTTAGTATAATACTCAGACCTCACAACCTCTGAGGATGCCTGCCATAGATGCAGGAGGAGAGAATGCTTCTGGAACATGACCATATAGCCTGAAAAACCTACAACAATGCAGTGATTCCAGCCTTCCACAATACATTGAGTTAGTAAATGCTGTGTGAAATTCCCATCCTTCAAAGCAAGACAACTTACCAAATTAGTTTGAAGGCCAGCAATTGCTTCAAATGAAGTGCTTCATTATTATGGGAGGAGAGAAAGTAAAACAAAGAAACCAATAACCTCCCCCCAAAGAGAACTACTACTAGTAGTATCCTAACTAATTAATATCCCAGGTATGATAAGTTAATTTGAAGCAAAGCATGGAGTTCACACAAAAGCAATGAGCACGGAGTCTAGTAACATTCTATGTGCGTTCTTCCTTCCTTCAGGAGCAGGCAAGGGGACAGGCACAACTCTTCTCATGACACAACCAGCTGGAGAGTCACTACAAGGGCGTTGAAAGGAGGCAAAAGGAGGAGGAGGAGGAGTGTGCCCAATGGAAGAGGGGTTTAAAGCGGGGAGGGAGAGGGATGGTGTCCAAGGAGCAGCGCTGAACTCCTTCCCAGCGTTGCCTCGGAGAAGAAGGGAGAGCTCTGCAAAGAAGCATCAGCAGCCACTTCTTCTCCTCTTCTTCTTCCTCTTCCTCCCTGTTGCTTCAACCGGCTGCCCTCGTGCGCCTTCCTCCTCAGGGTTTCCCTCGCTCCATTTTGAACTACCCGCCTTTCCCAACTGATTAGGCTTCTCCCCTCCTCTTCCTCCTCCTCCTCCTTGGCTGCCAAGGAGAGGAAGCCACAACAAGAAAGCCCAGCCAAGAAGGCAGCAGCAGCAGCAACAAGGCGCCCAAGAGGCTTTCCTGCACTTCCTAGAACTGAGCCAGGGCAGTGAAAGTCACCTCAAGCTACATTGTGCCTACAATGTAAACCACAAGTGTCAAAGTCATTGTCATCTTTGTTTTTCGAAGGCTTTCATGGCCGGAATCACTGGGTTGCTGTGAGTTTTCCGGGCTCTATAGCCATGTTCCAGAAGCATTCTCTCCTGACGTTTCACCCACATCTATGGCAGGCATCCTCAGAGGTTGAGGGGTCTGTTGGAAGCTAGGCAAATGAAGTTTATCTATCTGTGGAACGTCCAGGGTGGGGAAAAGAACTCTTGTCCGCTTGAGGCAAGTGAATGAATTGTTTATTGTACTAGCCATAGGCCATGACATCAGTAATACACTAACTTTATAAACACTTTATAAACTTTATAAACACTTTCCAATATAAACCTTAAAATGTAACAAGAATTAAAACTAAAACAAGTTCTTTAAAATTATGAAAGCAGAAACATGACAATAACAGTGTCTGCTTTGTGTCATTCCAAACCGTTTCCATTTCTGACCCCCAGTATGGATTTTGCTACTTTGGCTCTGATCTTTTGGGCTGCGATTGCGAATGTGGCAACCTTTAGTGTTATATTTTTAGAATGATCTAAAAATATAACACTAAAGGGTTGCCACATTTGCCAAAGGGGAAAAGAACTCTTGTCTGCTTGAAGCAATTGTGAATGTTGCAGTTGGCCACCATGATTAGCATTTAACAGCCTCTAATTGCAATCCAACACACTTCTGGTTCTCATGTTGGGGAAAGGATAAGAGATATTTTCAAGTCAGACATCATATCCATAAGCTTTATATCTAAATTCACACTGTGGACTCAAACAATGATGGATCTGGACCATACTTGGCACAGATACTCAATATGTCCAAATGTGAACACTGGTGGAGTTTGGGGGAAATGGACCTTGACATTTGGGAGTTGTAGTTGCTGGGATTTATAGTTCCCCTACAATCAAAAAGCATTCTGAATCTCACCAATGATAGAATTGGGCCAAACTTCCCACACCAAACTGTGTTTTCTGATGGTCTTTGGTGACCCCTCTGACACCCCCTTGTGACCCCCCCCAGGGGTCCCAACCCCTAGGTTGAGAAACACTGCTCTACACTATAGGATTGATGTAGTTTGATACCACTTTAACTGCCAAGGGCTCAGTACTGGGAATAATTTATTTATTATTTATTTAGAGCTTTTATAACTCGGTCTTCTCGACCTCCGAAGAGGGACTCAGGCCGGCTAACAGCAGAAAAGCTACCTATCTAACCGCATCTCGGCCTATGAACCTACCAGGACTTTGAGATCTTCCGAGGAGGCCCTGCTCTCGATCCCGCCTGCTTCTCAAGCACGGCTGGTGAGGACGATAGATAGGACCTTCTCGGTGGTGGCTCCTCGGCTGTGGAACGCCCTTCCTACCGACATTAGACTAGCACCATCTCTAATGGTATTCCGCAAAAAAGTGAAGACCTGGCTGTTTGTGCAGGCATTCGAATAACTAGTGCAATGATTGGCAATGTACATAGGAATGGACAATGGATGACGAATCTGGATTATGTTTTGGACGATGAGACGATAGTGATTGGTTATTGTAGTAATTGTTTATTGATTGGGTAATGTGTTAAGTTGTTAATTGTTGTTACATTATTGCATTGAATTATTGCTGTTTTTATTGATTGTGAACCGCTGTGAGTCGCCTTTGGGCTGAGAACAGCGGTATATAAGCAAAGTAAATAATAAATAAATAAATAAATAAAATTCAACACAAATATAGTAAACATAATAGCATCATAATACATTAAAATACAGATCATACAATATCATACAAGTACAAAAGTCAGGTCGTCAGAATAAAATCACAATAAAATCATGGAAGTTGTAGTTCAACAAGGGCTTTAATCTCCTCTGCCAGACTGCTCGGTCCTCATGATTCCATAGCAATTAGTCATTGCAGTTAAAGTGGTCTCAAACTGTATTAATTTTATAGTGTAGATACACCTAAAAAAAGCCTAAAGCTTTCACTCTGATGTGAAATTGTAGTTGATATTAAGGGACCTTCCACACAGCCATATAACACAGAATATCAAGGCGGAAAACCCCACAATATGTGCTTTGAACTGGGTTATCTGAGTCCACACTGCCATATATTCCAGTTCAAAGCAGATAAGTTTTATTTAGCTGTGTGGAAGGAGGCAAAGAAAGCTATTGCTTCTTTAGTAAAGGTTAAGTTGCCAAAGCAAAGAAAATCAGTATTAATTTTCAGCCTGTCCCTTTAAGAAAACCTCGGAGAGGAGCAAATTCAAAACGCCTCCATGTGTCTGAATTGGAAAACTACTCCTAATGGAAGGGGCGGAGCTTAGGGTTTCTCTCACTTTTGCAGAGCTTTCAAACGTCATCAGACTGCGCCGTCAGAGGAAGGAGTGCATGAGCTGTGCGTGAGCTGGTAGGGCGCATTGTTTTCAATCAGATTGTTGATGGGAATTTTGTTTAGACAGGGCTGAAAGGGACTTTGGAGCACTTTAAGAGCATCTACACCAGGCATGAGCAAACTTTGGCCCTCCAGGTGTTTTGGACTCCAACTCCCACCATTCCTAACAGCCTCAGGCCCCTTCTTTTTCTGAGGGGGAAAAGGAAAGGGTCTGAGGCTGTTAGGAATGGTGGGAGTTGGAGTCCAAAACACCTGGAGGGCCCAAGTTTGCCCATGCCTGCTCTACACTGGATTTGAAGCAATTTGACACCACTTTTAACTGCCATGGCGCAATACTATATCATCAGGGGAGTTATTTTATAAGGTCTTTCTCTTCGAGATAATGCTGGTGCCTTAATAAATTACATCTCCCACGAGTCGATAATATGGAGTCGTGACATTTAACAGTGGTATCAAACTGCATCAATTCTGCTGTGTAAATGCACCCCCCAAAAATGAAATTGATACCAGTTGAATAGCTCTTATTTGAAATGTTTGGATCCAGAAACATTTTGGAGATTTTGGAAATGTCCGTATTTGCATAGATGTACATAACAAGATCCTTTACAGCCCTTTTGCACGGCCATATAACCCAGAATATGAAGGCGGATCATCCACAATATCTGTTTTGAACAGGATTATTTGAGTCCACACTGCCATATAATCTAGTTCAATGTGGATTTTATACTACTGTGCGGAAGGGGACTTAGAGATTGGACCCAAGTCTGAACATGAAATTCATTTGTGGGTTGTTGTAGGTTTTTCAGGCTATATGGCCATATTCTAGCAGCATTCTCTTCTGATGATTCGCCTGCATCTGTGGCAGGCATCCTCAGAGATTGTGATGTTCATACCTCACAACCTTTGAGGATGACTGCCATAAGATGCAGGCAAAACATCAGGAGAGAATGCTTCTAGAACATAGCCATATAGCCTGAAAAACCTACAATGACCCAGTGATTCCAGCCATGGAAGCCTTCAACAATACAAGTTCATTTGTGTTTCCTATATGCCTTTTAGACATTTTGTATATATTGCACCAGCAGAACACAAAGGCACTGCTATTTCAACTACCCTTGTAAACAGTTTGGATTTTAGAATTGCATATAAGGAATGCTGAACGTGTACCATAAGTTTTCACAAATTGGGTTCTTGTAGGTTTTTTTCGGGCTGTATGGCCTCTAGACCATAGCCATTCAGCCCGAAAAAAATCTACAACAACCCAGTGATTCCGGCCATGAAAGCCTTCGACAATACATTTTCACAAATTGTCTGCTTCCTCAGATGCATGGATTCCTTGAAAGTCCATGAAAGTTTATGCCAACTTTGTTCTCTTAGGACCCTTCCACACAGCCATATAACCCATAATATGTACTTTGAGTTGGGTTATCTAAGTCCACATTGCCATTTATCCCAGTTCAAATCAGTTAATGTGGGATTTTATTCAGCTGTGTGGAAGGAGCCTCCATGAGACTCTAAGATGCTACAAGATCTCTTTGCATATATGTTGAATCACATTTCCCTCTCTGGGCTGCTTCTTCTTTGTAAACACATTAACAATAAGACTGAAGGATGTTTGAAGGGCTGAAGGGAGGCTCTATGTGTTTGAAAGCTGTAATTGGTATGAATGCGTTGTCTTTTACTAGCAGAAGATGGACACCCAGACTGATGCACCTCCACCAAAGCAGCAACCAATGATATACATCTGTGGAGGTGAGTCCAGTGCAATGTCATTGTAGTAGAAAGAAGTCTGAAAATGAAACCCAGGAAAGTAGATGAAAATGACATCAAGGGTACTTTCAGAGGACTTTTCACACTAAAATTGCACTCCCTCTTTCTGGAAGCTTATGGGAGCTCTAGACAACAATGTCTTATATTTGTATCCTCCAGAAATAAGAATTGTTTCTTGTATCTTTCCTCATCTAAATTCCTTTAAGGATTAAAAACAGAATAGAAGCACAGCTACTTTCATTCACTGGAATTATTCTGCTAAATCATTTGGGAAATTATTATTTGGGTATTGTGCTTATGATCACGGCCCAAGTTGCCATTAGGTAAATGAAATCACACAGCATTGAGTCATGGCAGCTAAAGTGGTGACAAACTACATTTATTCTACAGTGTGTAGATGTATCCTTTTCTGGACGCACTGCAGCTGCGTTGTTTTGCTTTAGTATTTATCACGTACCTACTCTTTACTACAAAGCCATCTACTATCAGTGCACTGTGGGAAGGATACTAGTTTGTGTTTCAAAGACTGTAGTTCATGGTATATAAATATATTGCGTGAGCTGCATTGAGGATACTAAAAAACTCCTGATATTAATGTATGTGTTGACAAATTCCAACTTGTGAAATGTTAAAATTCTTTCATAATCATGGTGAACTTAAATTTACAGACTACGATGAGAGGCTCTGTAGTTCCACTATTATTTTAGTAAATAAATCAGTCAAAATCTGTGCTTTTAAACAAGAATTTTTAAAAAAATTATAAACTGTCAAATGCTTCTGTTGCTTTATTCTCAGTTCTTTTGCAGTTGGTTCCCAGGATTGGCCTCAGAATGTAATTCTTTTACTTTATTTCAGAATGTCACAAAGAAAATGAAATTAAAGCAAGAGATCCTATTAGATGCAGAGAATGTGGTTACAGAATAATGTACAAGAAAAGAACAAAAAGATGTATCCTTCTATATGTGTGTCTTTCTTCTTTATTTTCATATGCTGATTCGAACTAAATGAACTTCTAACATTCCTTTAGGCTGCAATGTTTAACAGGTGTAACAACAAAGATTCATGGGACATTTCCGAGTATATATGTTTAGGATTTCACTGTTGGCGTCTCTCTCGCCTTGATTTTATACTGATAGTCTCCATTCATACAGAGAGATCCATATTTATGCCAGGTTTGCACTTCTGGACTTGTGAAGTAAATTGTGATTATTCTAAATGAGGAGAATCAGTAGCCCAGGGGATAACTGAAAACAACAGAACTAAAGTAGCCACATAGTTAGCAACTTTATTCAACCACATTATCTTCAGAGCTATTTGACACTGTCTTCTCTGGATGTTTTGAAGCAGAGGCTGGATGGCCATCTGTCAGGAACATTTTGTTCTTGTATGGCACAGTGGGGCTGGCCCTTGTAGTGTCTTCCAGTTCTATGGTTCTATAGTTCACCTTTTCCAAAAGAGCAAAATGTGCAGATGATTTCCAGAGTGATCAGAAGATGCAGCAATTGCTGGTTCCAAGGGGAATTGACTTGAGTTGAGCTAGTTTGCCATTAGACAATAGTTCCTCTTTAGAGGAGCAAGCAAACAGAAACAACTGTTAAGAACTATGTTCTTCTCTTGTATTTTCTCCACGTGAAGTGGAGAAGGTGCATCAGAGAGAGTTGGGGTATGGGTAAGCACTCATGATTTCAATCTTCCCACTCAGTTGTCAATGGCAAACAGGCTTTCAGAGGCTCTTCATCCTTATTACAAGTGTTCTTAGCAGAGTCATGCTTTCTGGGATTGTTACTGTTACCTATTATCTACATCTACATCATGTAAACTCCTGTAACCTAAGCATGTAAAAGAAACTTTGTTTGGTCAGTTATTTTATTAGCAGAAAAGAAGCATGGAAAATGCAAGAAATCTGAGGCATGCCTTTTGCTCCTCCATCATTTGGAATGTCTGAATGTCCTTTTGCGTTGAAACCAAATTCTGCTTTCTCTGTACTTAAACACATTGTGTTGGCAGGTTCAATCTTTCTCCAAATGAAACAAATATGGTCCTATGATGATATTCCTATATTGGTTCCTTCTGATCTACAAATACAATGCAATTCCAAGTTGACTGGAATGTACATAGTCCTAATCTTTTTTTATACTGATTTTAAACCTCTTCATTGGATGTGTTGCAATAGCAGATTTCCAGATTAATTTAGTGTTTACACCTTATATTATTTTTCTGGCTATTTAATATTTATCTTACTTCAGTGATATTTGTCTTTACTGTTCTAATGTAGCACAAATCCTATGTAAAATCCTACTAAGTATTTTGACATTAATATTGAAATCTGAAATATATGCAGAAAGACTGCCTACTGCATGATGGTGCACCTAAGGCAAGAACAAACCAGATATGTATTCAGTGAAAACTACATCATATCCATATGTGCAAGTATAGCCACTGTATGCTTGGTTATGTGGATTGTTGTCCAAGTGTTTGTGCAATTTGTTAGAATTATAGGAATCCGTTTTCCAGCTTTTTTCTTTAACTCCTACTATAGTGGTTGTGTTTGATGCCCGATGAAGAGAAGATGCATCCAATTGATCTAAACATGTTTCAAATTCTTCATATGTTCTCTCTGATTTTGTATTTGTTGTGAGCAACCTTTTTTTTTCTTTTTTGCATTCTAACAATGTAAGTTATTCTATGATCACAATAAAGTGTTGTTGAAATATTTTGTTGGGTTGTTTTTTTCTATTGGTGAAACTTGTACAAACTCAACTATTTTAAATGTTTTTACCTACCAGTAATTATTTTTATTCAATTCATAACAGTCTACTCATGTGAATTCTAGACTGAGGGCCCTTCTTCACTACCATATAAAATCCAGATTATCTGCTTTGTACTGGATTATATGGCAGGGTAGACTCAGGGCCCTTCTACACTGCCCTTTATCCCAGAATCTGATCCGATTATCTCTTTAAATTGGAATATATGAGTCCCCATTGCCAGATAACCCAGAATAAACAGATAATCTGGGATCAGATCCTGGGATAAAGGGGCAGTGTGGAATGGCCCTCAATTAAACCAGTTCAAAGCAGATAATATGGATTATATGGCAGTGTAGAAGGGACCTGAGTGATGGTGTGTGGAGCAAGGAGGAATAAGCACCACTATGCTGGAATGTGTGGTATATTAGATGTTGACTCTTTCCTTCTCAATCTATAAAGGTCGCTGAGACCCCTTCTACATTGCCATATCATCCAGATTATCAAAGCAGATAATCCACATCATCTGCTTCAAACTGGATTATATGAGTCCACACTGCCATATCATCCAGTTCAAATCAGATAATCTGGACTTTATATGGCAGTGTAGAAGGGGTCTGAGAAACAAAGGCAAATTTTCTGGTTTGTCAGGCTAAAAGCTTTGTGTGTTGGTGGGCAGGAATGCTGCCTTGAACACCATGGAAGAAGGACAAAAATGTAATCACTGATAACAGTTTCTGGAAACTTTCTTAGTGGTCATGAAGATCTCGTGGTCCATCCAGTCCACCCCCTTGCCAAGAAGCAGGAAAATCGCATTCAAAGCACCCCCGACAGATGGCCATCTAGCCTCTGTTTAAAAGCCTCCATAGAAGGAGCCTCCATCTTCCACACAGCCCTCTATCCCAGAATATCAAAGCAAGGCAGAGAGTTCCACTGCTGAACAGGTCTCACAGTTAAGAAGTTCTTCCTAATGTTCAAGTGAAATCAGCTTTCCTGTAGTTTGAAGCCATTGGTCTGTGTCCTAGTCTCCAGGGCAGCAGAAAACAAGCCTGATCCCTCTTTCAATGACTTCCTCATATCTATACATGACCCTCATCATGTCTCCTCTCAGCCTTCTCTTCTGCAGGCTAAACATGCCCAGCTCTTTAAGCTGCTCCTCATAGGGCTAGTTCTCCAGACCCTTGATCATTTTAGTCACCCTCTTCTGGACATATTCCATCTTGCAGTGCCCTGAATTGGACATGGCATTCCAGGTGTGGTCTGACCAAGGCAGAATAGAGGGGCATGGTATATATGTTTATGCATACTGGAAGACATACACTTAAATACACATATATTATGAACACACACAAAAAAGCCACTAAGAATGTTCAATTTTTTTTGGTAGATATTCAACCGTGCATGCATTGGATAATGGATATTTCCTCCCAGATGCTGAAAGAATGCAACATTTACCATTCATAGCTTTTTTTAAAAAATCCCATTTTTATTGTATGCCACTTTTCTCCCAGAGTGGGGCCAAAGGCTGCTTCCAAAGCCATTTAAATTATCTATACTTTTGATGTTAGGAATTCAGGTTTGTGTTATGCTGAGACACAATGGGCCCTTCCACACAGCCCTATATCCCAGAATATCAAGCCAGGAAATCCCACATTATCTTGAGTGTGGACTCAGATAACCCACTTCAAAGCAGATATTGTGAGATTTTCTGCCTTGATATTTGGTGATATAGGGCTGTGAGGAAGGGCCCAGAGTCTGTATAAAGTGAATCTTGGGTAAAATGAATAGTTTTAGATGCTCTAGAGCTTGCTTACTTACTTTACTTACTTAGGCGATCCCTCATTGTCCGAGTAGGATTATTCTCCAAGTTCGCTGTACTGGCGGTGGGTACGTAGGTGACTGTGGAGCCCTATTCTTGACCTGCATGTTCTCTTGCAGTATTCTGAATGAAGCACAGAGTGTTTGAGGACCAGGACATCCGCAGGCATACCAAGGTGTTTGTTTATAAAGCTATTGTCCTCCCAACCCTGCTATATGCCTGCAAAATATGGACTAGTTCCAGACGTCACATGCAACTCCTGGAACGATTCCATCAGCGTTGCCTCCGAAAATTCCTGCAAATCTCTTGGGAAGACAAGTGGACAAATGTCAGTGTGCAGGAAGAAGCAGTGACCACCAGCATTGAAGCGATGGTCCTCTACCATCAACTCTGCCTTGGTTAGACCACACCTGGAATATTGTGTCCAATTCTGGGCACCACAATTGAAGAGAGATATTGACAAGCTGGAAAGTGTCCAGAGGAGGGCAATGAAAATGATCAAGGGTCTGGAGAACAAGCGCTTTGAGGAGTGGCTTAAATAGCTGGGCATGTTTAGCTTGGAAGAAGAGAAGGCTGAGAGGAGACATGATCGCCATGTATAAATACGTGAGAGGAAGTCATAGGGAGGAGGGAGCAACCTTGTTTTCTGCTGCCCTGGAGACTAGGACGCAGAACAATGGCTTCAAACTACAAGAAAGAAAATTCAGTCTCAACATTAGGAAGAACTTCCTAACTGTGAGAGCCGTTCAGCAGTGGAACTCTCTGCCCCGGAGTGTGGTGGAGGCTCCTTCTTTGGAGGCTTTTAAGCAGAGGCTGGATGGCTATTTGTTGGGGGTGCTTTGAATGCGACTTTCCTGCTTCTTGGCAGGGAGTTGGACTGGATGGCCCATGAGGTCTCTTCCAACTCTATGATTCTATGATTGACACTGAGAACTGGGAAGACCTGGCCCTTGAGCACGCTAGCTGGAGGTCAGCTGTGACCAGCAGTGCTGTAGAATTTGAAGAGGCACGAATGGAGGGCGAAAGAGAGAAATGTGCCAAGAGGAAGGCGGGTCAAGCCAATTTCAACCAGGACTGTCTTCCACCTGGAAACCGATGTCCTCACTCTAGAGCAGGCATGGGCAAACTTGGGCCTTCCCTCCAGGTGTTTTGGACTTCAGTTCCCATCATTCCTCACAGCCTCAGGCCCCAAAGGGGCCTGAGGCTGTGAGGAATGATGGGAGCTGAAGTCCAAAACACCTGGAGGGAAGGCCCAAGTTTGCCCATGTCAGTTAAAGTGCTGTCAAACTGCATCATTTCTACAGCCCAAGGACACCAGCTGCTTTCAGTGATACTTATTTCATTGTTGTTCACTTAGTTTCGTTTTATTTCTTTGCCAAAGAGATACTTAACACAGTAATCTTAATGAAAAGGCCCTGCAAGATGACAGGCCCTCTCACTAAAATAAGGATGGAAGGGGATTGCTGCTCGGCCTGTCTCCGCCTCAAAGGAGGTTTCCGTGCTGTTGAAGCAGCGTCGCCATAGCAACCCTTCCCTCCTACAGCCCAGGCAGGGAGAGAAGCAAGTGGCGGTGAGAGGTGAGGACTGGTGGGCCTAGGTGTGTTTTGAAGGCCTTCTCTAGGATTGGGGGACAGCCACTCATTTATTTTTCTTTACATTGAGGCGTGGGTTTGTGTTGGGGTCTGTGTGTGTGTTGGGGTACGTAGCAAGGGGCTTCAGAACCACAAAAGTTTCCAGATGCTTAGAAAACAATTTGAATTGCTCCAGGTAATAAATAGTTCATTTTAGGCCCCTTCTACACAGCCACACAACCCAGATAATCCACAATACCTGCTTTGAACTGGGTTATCTGAGTCTACACTGCCCTATAATTCAGTTCAATGTGGATTGTATACAGCTGTGTATACACTGCCATATAAAATCCAGATTATCTGCTTTGAACTGGATTATATGGCAGTGTGGGCTCGTATCACCCAAACTGCTTTGATAATCGGGAATCACCCACTCATATCACTCACACTGCTTTGATAATCTGGATTACATTGCAGTGTAGAAGGGGCCTGAGTGAAGAGAAGATGATTGCCCTCTAAATGCCTCAAAGGTGGTTACTGAGGAGTGATCGTTCTGGATCTAAACTGCTATATACCTCAATATATAAAATATAATAATATATAGAAGTAATAACATTGTATTGTAACAATACTTATATATATATATATATATATATTATTAATAATGTTGTAATATAATGTTTTATGTATTGTATAATGTATTATGTATATACTACAACCAAATGCCTCCAAGGCAGTCACAGAGAAGTAGTCGTTCTGGAGCTACACAGCTATATACCTCAATATATACAATATAATAATATAAAGAAATAGTAACATTGTACTGTAACAATACTAATATGTATATAATATTAATAATGTTGTAATACAATGTATTATGTGTTTTATAATGTATTATGTATATACTACAATTAAATGCTTCCAAGGTGGTCACAGAGAAGTAGTCGTTCTGGATCTACACAGCCATATATCTCAATATATACAATATAATAATATATAGGAGTAATAACATTGTAATGTAACTATATATAATGTTGTAATGCAATGTATTATGTATTGTATAATGTATTATGTATATACTGCAACTAAATGCCTAAAAGGCAGTCACAGAGGAGTAGTCGCTCTGGATCTACACAGCCATATATCTCAATATATACAATATAATAATATATAGAAGTAATAACATTGGAATGTAACAATACTAATATGTATATAATATTAATAATGTTGTAATAGAATGTATTATGTGTTTTATAATGTATTATGTATATACTACAACTAAATGCCCCAAAGGCGGTCACAGAGGAGTAGTCGTTCTGGATCTACACAGCTATATACCCCAATATATACAATATAATAATATAGAGAAATAATAACATTGTAATGTAACAATGCTAATATATATAAAATTAATAATGTTGTAATAGAATGTATTATGTATTGTATAATGCATTATGTATATACTACAACTAAATGCTTCAAAGGCGGTCACAGAGGAGTAGTCATTCTGGATCTACACAGCCATATACCTCAATATATACAATACAATAATATATAGAAATAGTAACATTGTATTGTAACAATACTAATATATATAATAATAATGTTGTAATATAATGTATTATGTATTGTATATATTACAACTTATGCTATAGTACAGTATATTATATAATACTAACAGTATAATATACTGGTGGTGTATTATAGATATTGTGGTATAATATATATAAATATATAACTATATATATGTATATAATATTAATAATGTAATATAATGTATTATGTATTGTGTATATTACAGCGTATGCTATAGTATAGTATATTATATAATACAAACAGTATAATATACTGGTAGTGTATTATAGGTATTGTGGTATAATAATATGGTACAATATAACAATATATTATAATATAATAATTGTATATCCATTACATGTGATATTACTAATAATATTGCAGTATAGTGGTATAGTAAAATATAGTAATATCTAATACTAATATTGTGCTAAGCTAATAATATATTGTATATGCATATAACATTGATAATATGTAATACAATATAATACTAATAATACAATATAATAATATATAATAATAATATTGTAATATAGTAATACTAATATAGTAAAAGGTAAAGGTTTTCACCTGACATTAAGTCCAGTCGTGTCTGACTGGGGGTTGTTGCTCATCTCCATTTCGAAGCTGAAGAGCCGCCATTGTCTGTAGACACCTCCAAGGTCATGTGGCCAGCATGACTGCATGGAATGCCGTATCTTCCCACTGGAGCGGTACCTATTGATCTACTTACATTTTTTTGAACTGCTAGGTTGGCAGAAGCTGGGGCTAACAGCAGGAGCTAACAGCAGGAGCTATCGCCGCTCCCCAGATTCAAACCTGCGATCTTTCAGTAAGCAAGTTCAGCAGCTCAGTAGTTTAACCCACTGCACCACTGGGTGCTCCTACTGATAATATGGACTCAGATAACCCAGCTCAAAGCAAATACTGTAGGATTTTCTGCCTTGATATTCTGCGTTATATGGCTATGTGGGCTACAAATTGGGCCAGGGTTTGATTCCATGCAGTCCAACACCATGCAGGACTACACTATCAAAGCAGTCCTCACAGATGGCCATCCAATCTCTGTTTAAAAATCTCCTGAGAGGAGACTCCACACACTCCGATGCAACATATTCCACTACTGAACAGCTCCTACCAGTATCTCTTTTCCTGCAGTTGGAATCTACTGCTCTGTGTCCTAGTCTCCAGTGCTGCAGAAAACAAGCTTGAATTCTCATCTTTAAACATGACTATCATGTCCCCTCTTAACCTTCCCTCCTCTAAGCTAAATCATCCCCAACTCTCTAAGCCTTTCCTCCTTGGGCTTGGCTTTCAGACCTTTTACCATTTGGTCTGTGAACATGTTCCAGCTTGCCAATATCCTTTTTGAAACATGGTGCCAAGAACTGGACATCGTATTCCGTATTCCATGGTGCCCAGAACTGGACACCGTATTCCAACCTTATATCCGGGAATATGACCTCCCTCAGGCTGGACCCTATATTATCATTGATGCAGTATAGAATAGCATTGGGGTTTTTTTCCTTGCCACATCACATTGTTGAGTCAGGTTCAGCTTGTGGTCTATAGCCAGGTGTCACCCATCCTAAATCTGGGTATGAACAGAAAGAGTTGCAGAAAACAAAAGAAAGCAAGTGGAAGTCCATTCCATAAATGCTGTTCACATAATCGACTGAAGATAGACATTCTTGAAGCAGGTAAAGATTGCAAGTAGACATAGAACATATTGCATCAGAAATAGAAATTATACTCTCACAACATTCGCCTGTAATTGAAAAGAGATTGCAAGGCGTGGATAAGACTATAACTTTTTTTCAGTAAGTTTATAAATATATCAAAGTACCTCTGAAAACACTCAAATACAAAACGTAATTATTCTCTTTTATATTTTTAGCCATGAGTGTTGACCAGATGTCATCCTTGTATAGTCAAGGAACAACAAAAACGTACCACATTCCTATTGAGCATCTAGACTACAAATACATAGAACAATGTACTGATGTTAAGTATTTGGAAAGGATTCTCAGGATATTAAGGTAAACCTTTATACGTACAGTGTATTCATTTATTTAGTAGAATTAAATACTACGGAATGGATTGTAGTGATTCTTGCAATAAATAAAGGAAAACATGATAATCATTCACTTTGAACATGATGTGAACTAATAGAAAATGATAACAATTTCAATTGATACAATTTGTAAATGGTATGGTGTTGCTATTACACTGTAACTATAATATTAATTGGAGATAATACAGACTAGCAGCTAATTGAATTGTAAACCGAGGAGATGGGCTGATAGATTATTTTATTACATTTTAGGAATGGTCTGTCATCTGGTTTTGATATTTTTTAAATATTTTTTATTGTAATGGTATCCATCTAATCTAGCGAAATAAAGTTACTTTATATACACCCATAAACCATTACATTTTTGCCCCCTTTTTCCCCTCCCCCCTCCCTGCAACTTTACAACAAAGCATTTTTAAGTGCAGCCAGTCCAGGATTCTGTCCATTTTTTCCTTTATCTGATCATTAGTTTTCCCTTCTTCAACCCATTTCACATATCTTAACCAGTTCTTTTAATTCTTTGTATTTTTATAGACCATGGTATATCTTGTTGTATTATTCCCATAATATCCGATTGTACTTGTTCATAAGTGTATTCGTTCCATCTATCCATTGTCCATTTTTTCTTATCCTTCCATCCCAGTGCTATTACAGCATGGGCAGCTTTAACCATCGCCATCAAAGTTTGATATTTTTTAAATATATGTAGGCACTGAAAGGGAATTGACTTTAAAAACAATAGCTAACAGGAGAGCTCAAGACGAGGAGGAGCATCAAATTGTCCAAGCATTAATATTTATGTTTCATTAGATTTTTAAAGAATGAGAGAAAGAAAACCAATACCTCAAAACACAGTATTAAAATAAAATGTATAATAAAACATTATAATCAGCATTTCAATACAGTGATGCATTTTATCTGTTTATTTTGAGATCTGGCGAGGAAGGCTTATATCCTGATCTTGTATTATTTTGTGAAAAACACATTGAGACTTTGGCTCCAAATAGCAGAGTTTTACGAAGAGAAAAGCCTGCAGCCACTGCTTCTGACTTTACTGCTGAGGAATGGGAAAAAATAAACAATGAAATGAAGGTATTGCATAATACTATTTTCAAAATAATTATTTTAGGCCTTATCTAGTATTCTTATTTCTCGTTCTGCCCAAATCCTTCTGTTCTATGTATAAATTTCTTTAGCTCAATGCAGTGCTCAGACTGGGCCATGTCCTTAGTGAGTAGCAGAACACTTGCTTTCCCCATCACTGATATAATTGTCATAAAGTTTAGCACAGGCATGGGAAACTTTGGTCTTCCAGGTTTTTTGGAACTCCTACAATTCCTAATAGCCTACATTGAGCATATATTAGCCTTTCAGTCCTGAGCCATAGAATCATGTTTCCATTAATCTTTCAGGAAAATGTTTTGGAAATCATGTATATATTTTCAATAATGGTTACTTTGCACATACACTATTCTGATTTTGAATTATTATCTGCTTATATTTCAGAGGTGGCTTACGGACATGAAGGAAGAGGAATATAAAATGCAGTATGCTACAACTGATGTTTTCAAGGACCACTTGGAAAATTTGCCACCAGTTCGCAATGCAGACTCTTATCAGGTGTGCCTGTTTGTTTCCATGCTTTGTGTTCAGTATCTGCATAATTTTTAATTTATGTATATACTTCCATCCATGATGTGAGTTTGAAATACCCTGTTCACAAGATTTGCCCACATTGCAAATAGGAATGTACATCTGTTTTGGGTGAATTTTGAGCAGAGGTGGTTGGACTGGATTAAATTCAAATACTGTTAATGAAGACAGACTGATTTCTAAATAGCAACTGTAGAAATCGCCCAGGCTGGCAGTGGGAGAAGGATCAAGTGAGATTGACTGGCTGGCAGTCTTCCTTCTAATCCTATGATACAAGAAGCTGCCCAAATGCTGAACCTTTGACTGTAACATCAGCATTTAATTTCTTCTGTCTAACAACAGCACAGTTCACTAGTTAAAGCCTTAAATTGGATTTCAAGTATCACCTTGCTGAGTTCTGGCCTAGGGACGTTGAGATGCCTTGTTTCATTTTCATTCAAATCCCCCCCCCCCCCACCAAAGGGAAAAAAAGAAGGGAGAGTAAACATTTTTTACTCTCGTTTCACACAGACCTTTTTAGAGTTTTCTTACTTAGGACAATGCAGTTATCATTTTTATAATAGTGGTCCATAAGAAATATAGGGTTATGAAGTGTATGCTTCTTTGGATAGTTCTAAGTGAATTCAGTTAGAGGTAGTTCTAAGTGAGTGTGTATAGAAGCGCAGCATTAAGCTGAATTAACAGTCTCAGTGGGAGCTTTGAAGCTCAGACCGTTTATTCAACTTTTTACAAAAAAAAAACTAATCTGGACTTGACATAATGTTAATAACTAGAATTGATGTTCCTTTCCTAGACAAGGTGCCCCAAATAATAGTACCCAGTCAATTCTAATAATTTCCAATTACAAGTGCATTTCTTTATTAATTTCTAAGGCTCTAGGTTGTGACTTGAGACAAAAGCAACCTGGATCTCTCTGTGGGGTGATCTTTGCTTAAAGAGGGATGGGATTTATTTATTTGTCGTGTCAGGGCAACCAGTCAATTATATTATATTTCTAACAGAACAAAGCAAACAAACAGACAAAATACAAAATTTGTTTGGTAGTTGATTAAATGTCCTTTGACTAGTATCTGGCCACTTGGAGTGCTTCTGGTGTTGCTGCAAGAAGAGGGATGGGAAATATGTACTTACTGATTTTCCTGGACATCCGAGGCTGTGTCTACACTGAATAATTAATGTAGTTTGTCAAACTGCATTAATTCTATAGTGCAGTGGTTCTCAACCTGTGGGTCTCCAGGTGTTTTGGCCTACAACTCCCAGGAATCCCAGATAGTTTACCAGCTGTTAGGATTTCAGGGAGTTGAAGGGCAAAACATCTGGGGACCCACATGTTGAGAACCACTACTATAGTGTATTGCAGCCTTAGTTGTTCTTGATACCAATTCCTATAGTCCTATTTTGGACAGTATCTCTCATTTGAGAATGGAGATACGAGATTGATTGTGTGTCTGGTTCTACTTTCAGGGTTCATTCCAATAGGTGGCGTTGTGGGGTTATAACATACTCATTTGCAGTTCTGTTTTTGGGTCCTAGGAACCTTTGTTCTTTACTTATGTGTTTCATTTTAGTGTATGGTACTTCTGATATTTTTCAACATTTTATTTTACTTTTGTCCTTTGCTTTGTCCACATGAGTGTTTATTGTTTGTTTATATACATCCAATCAATAACAAAAGAGTAAGGCCCTAACAATGGGTTCTAAAATGTAGACCTTTGCAGGGGAGGAGGGGCATTTCCTATGAAAAGAGCAGGCAGGAGGGTAGAGGAATATCCTTTTGCTCCTTCCAGTTTTCATATTTCCAAGTTCCTACTGTAGCTGCTTTTAGGTTACAAAACAATAACTAGGGGCCTTTCCAGACAGGCCCTATAGCCCAGGATCTGATTGCAGGTTTTCCACTTTAAACTGTATTATATGAGTCCATACTGCCAAGTAATCTGGAATAAACAGAAAACTTGAGATCAGATCCTGGGATATAGGGTCTGTCTGGAAAGGCCCTAAGCAAGACTTAAAATGGATAAGAAAAGGTTATGTCAGGAGAAGCGGAGTGAGTTAGAGATGATGCAGAATGTCCTTTCAACTCACCTAACCCTTTGTCTTTCCTATTACTTTTGAATTTCATAGGACTCACAAGCAAGGAATATTTTTTAGCAGTCTTCCTATGAAATATAGCCTTCAGCACCTGATATTCATTGGCAGTCTCCCTTGCAAGTACCAATAGGTACTGACCCTGTTTATCTTCCAAGATCAGTCTCTACTCTGTTCATCACTTCATATACATTTGGCACAATTTGCATTCTAATGAACACATAGAATTGCAGTACAGACCAATTTTAAATTGGAGTGTCCCTCTTAAGATCTGTTACCCAACAAAAAATAAAATACATTTTCTCTCTCCTTCGCTTCCTCTTATAATAAAGCTGCAGATCAGATAATAGCTGCTTTTCAGTTTAGAATATTTAATACTGAAGTTTGCAATTGATAAGCACATAATTGTAGAAAGAGCAGGAAGTAAATAGGTCATTTAATGAATATACCAGAACTGAAAATTAATAGATTTATTTTGGATGTGAATTCAATGTTAGTCTTACATAGCAGAATATAAACAATAGTGAGACAAATACTGTTGTGAACAATTTATTTCATCACTTTGTCTGCCGGTTCACTACAGAGCAAACCCTCCAAAAAAAGCCAAGTAAAGAAGAAAAATATACCCAGGGATTACAAGGAGTGGGATAAGTAAGTCACATGTCTTCCACTAATTATTTTATGCATTTATTTGTTCAAGTATTGAATATTTACATTGGTCTATAGGAAACTATATTTTAAGGCATTTGTGAATACATTGACTTAATTGTCTGAATCAACTTCTTCTTTTTTAAAATCAGAAGTGTAGGTGTATATATGTGTGTGTAACTATTAGCATTCAGCAATCTATGTTCTGACATAAAATATACTAAAATAGAATGCCATTTCAAAAAGGATAGGGGTCTATACTCACTTGGCTAAAATACAAAGAGTCATGGTGTTAATGTATGTGTCCCATTTAGGATATACTTGAACCTATTTTTCTGCTTTGTTCTTCAGACAAATGAGTTTCACACATGTACAGAGACCTAGTTTGGAACTTTCTAGAACTGAGTAGCTTGGCGGCAACCATTTCCCCTCTAGTCCATCCTAAATGTTCAAGCTTGCCAGTTTTCCATTGTCCCAGATTTAATTCATCCACTGAAAGAGAAACACTGTTCATGACTTCTTCTTGCTGAATAGCTTCTTTAGATATTAATTCTATTCTGAATTCTTTTCCTCACTTTTTACATATTACTCTTTTGTTTGTTATACACACATACCTCTTCCTATATGTACAATTTTTCCAGTAACTTTCCCCTTTCTCTCTTCCTTCCCTTTCTATGGCCTCCTCTTTGACCTTATCAGATGCATATAAGGAGTGCTTATATTATATTTGAGGAAGATTCACATACAATATGCTGTGGATTTACCACCCATACTTTAAAACTGTGCTTCTAGGTTGAATTCACGTTGCTTTGAAAAAACCTTGTCCATGCCAACCCAGCAATCAACTCCATATATTGCTATAACTAAGATGGTGCCTTTGGTTCCAGTATCAGTGGTTGTCTCAGTTTAGGTATTAACAGTAGCTCCATCAGCTTTAGTTTCAGTGGCAGGTCTATTAATTGCTGCCATGGGAGGATCAATTTCAGATTAATCTGATGCTGATTGTGCATTGGAATTATCTTCCCCTAACTCTTCGCTACCAAATACTGTCCCATGGGTCCAGCAGGTGTAGAGGACACTTCACTAGCCTTCCCTCCAGAGGATGTTAAAGTATGATGGTAGCAAAGGCAACTGGGATTGATGTAACGACACCACCACCCGTATCAAATCTGTGTTTCAAATAGTGACCCTCAAACTCCAGTTCCAGTGTCTGCTTTGCTTCTTCCAGCATTGCCAAATTGAGTGAACAATTTTGAAACAGGCTTGCTTCCTTTTTTCAAGCTTCAAAAAGCTTTTAACATCTTTATTGAATTAAATAGCACACCCAGAACCAAGTTCTATAATTGTTAAACATCCAGAAATAAAGAAGAAGTTGTTGTTGTTGAAAACAGACTTGTTCTGCACCACCAAATCAAGAAAAGCACAGATTAGATACGTTTGGGAAGCATTTCTAATTCTCTGCAGCTTTAATTATTAGAGTAGCCAACCAACCTGTAAGAATGTATGACTTTGTACAAGGCCTTTTTGTGGATCAGAATGTTGACTTTAATACCATCATTGCCAGATGAAGCAGGAGATGCTGCCTTTCAGTTACAGCATGAATCCACAATGTTAGCATTTCAATAAATTCAGTCTGCGTGATGTTTTGTGGACTGCAGCTAAAGTCATATATAAAGTCATATTGAATGTTTGCCTATGTATGTAAATGCTGTAATCCGCTCTGAGTCTCCTAGGGGAGAAGGGCAGAATATACAAGTGTATTATTATGTATTATTATGTATTATGGATAATATCAGCAAGATTGGTTGAAGATACCCGACGATGCATGGAAGACTTGCCTTTCTATGGGATAGGCCTGTTCCATTCCAGTACTGATGAGGTTTCAACAAGGCAAGGTTCAATGCATATAAAATGGGTCTCAACAAAAACAACATCTTAGATAACTCTGTAACTCTTGAAGGCATCCATCTTCTTCAGCTTTTACGAGATAGATTCATTATCAAAACAGTCAAGAACATTATCATCATCATCATTGTTATATTTATTTATATTCCGCTTTATCTCCGCTGAAAGGGACTCAAAGCGGTTCAAACTCCTTCTCATGGTCATTCATTCAAACTCCTCCATGTGATCATTCATTCAAATAACAAAGATATTAAACTTCATCCAAAAAAATTCTGCAGATTTATCCATGTTTAGATTTTGATTTTATGCAAGGAATGTCACTACTGCATATGTTTCATCTTTCCGGTGTAACATCTGGAGCCCTAAAGATATTCCACCATTTTGACACCTGGTGGAACATCACCACAGTCTTGAATCTTTCCTAATTCATCTCAGCTTCCTGTATATCTGAGTTCTCGAATATTCCTCCAATTGGAATTGTTTGAACCATACAACTTAAAGGGTTCTGAGAGACAAAATTGTATATACTGCATATTAAATGGCACTGAGTACCAGATTTACTTCCTGACATTGCTGATTTTTTTTTTCTGTTAAAGCTGAGGAAAACAATTGTCCACAAATTTGGTATGTAATGATGGTGGTTTTGCCTCAAAGTATGTTATGATAAGGTTATCATATACTTACACACACATATAAACGTATTTATAAAACATGTTTTCATTTTAAGGTTTGATGTGGAAACCGAATGTGCAAATATTGATGGAAATGAAGGAAATACATTTTCAAAAAGCAGTTTTAATGTTAATGCAAAGTTACCAAAAATGGAAGTAGACACAACAGGTACGTTAAGTGATTGCTCAATATCGCAGTGATTGTTTTTGTTGTTGTTGCTGTTCACTGCAGAATAAGAAGTCATAAAACATATTTAGAAATTATTTCCTGATTCGAAAGAGGGGGACTGAAAATACATTGAATTCTCTCTCCTCCACAAACACAAGGATGAAAAACACATACAAGGATGAAGAACATTATGAGCTTCAAATAATTTTGGGAAGAGCAGAAGCATAAGCAACCCTATGATATTGAGAAGTTGCTTACCAGTCTCATAATGTTTTATATCTAAATGTTTTTGTTCGGTATGAAAATTTTATTCATTTACTGTATAATCAATATATCTAGGCATGACTACAAAAGAAAAGAGCTTAGTTGCCAATCGCGAAAAAGAGAAAGGTAATGAAGCATTTGTCACAGGAGATTATAAAGAAGCAATTGCCTACTATATTCGGTGAGTTGGTGCTATTTCAGTATTTTGTTTTAATTTATTACATGAAGTTTGAACTAATGAAAAATTTAATATCAAAAATATTTTCTCTCTTTTTTCTTTTGCTTTTTTATGATGTTTTATTATATATTTTAATAGAAAATCTCAATAAAGATTATTTTAAAAATTTATATCAAAAATTACCACATTTTAAAATTGAAGATTCTTATGTTCTGTCCAGTTGTCTTGAAACAACCTCTGAATTCCTCTGGCTCTAAATTTATAAACTTAGTACAATAAATATAGGATGTAGTCTTGAACCTGTTTAAATCCTGCTTACCTTTGTGAAGTTTAACAAGCCTGAGCAGTATATTATAAGCAATAGTTGTGGTAACTTTAGAACAGCTTTGATTCAAGAGGCCATTAAGTTTATAAATTCCCAAGCTATCAAAATAAAGCTTTTCTTTACAAATAAATAAGTTAAAATTATTTATAAATTGTCTACTTATGCATAAGTTTGTTTATAAAAAAGCGGTTGCTTATTTTGGGAGTATGGGGTAAGTAGATGTTGGCAGTATGAAGAGAATTGAGTGTTGCAGTAGGTCCTAGTTGTCTAAATGTTTAAAGGGATTTTTATGAGTCAGTTGCTGAATGGCAATTGCAAGTCCAGTGGGAGTTAAGAGTGAAAGTTAGTTAGCCTAGTGTTTGAGAGGAATGCAGTTAGAGAACAGGGGCTGAGGCTGGATCTACACCACCCTGTATCTCAGGATCTGATCCCAGATTATCTGCTTTGAACCGGATTATATGAACCTCCACTGCCATATAATCGGGAATAAGATGATAATCTGGGATCAGATCCTGGGATATAGGCCAGTGTGGAAGGCGCCTGAGTTAGATCGGAGAGTAAGGGGTTTGACTTGGGTGATGGATAAAGGTCTGATTTGAGCTTGAAAGGAGTCCAGAGCGCTGCTGTGATTTACGTCTGTAAATAAAGTTTTGTTTTTTGACTCTGATATCTCTATCATTCTGAGAGCTTGAGACACACACACACACACACGGTAGTGTTTTGTATGAAGATAAACAGGCAACAAACAATATCTTTGGCCAAAGGATCTACCAAGCCCCAGACTCCTTTCAGTCCAATGTACCAGCATTTACAGCACTAGTTGAGACAGATAAGTTCAACCCACAGAGTTATGCAATCAATGACAAAAGTGCACATGAGCAGTATTTAATGCCAGCACTAAAGATTGTATTAAGATTTTGCTTATTGATGAGGATGTTTCTCAGGATCTGGCACTCCATGCAACCATAATTTCTGGTTGTTGGCACTGGGAATGTAACATTGCAGTTACAGCATTTCTAGCAGAGCACAAATGGCAGATCACAATGCTGGTCACAGGGAGAATTTGGTTATTGTCAAGATGGAGTTGACCAGGCTTACTGATATAGTTGAATCTTTAATATTTACATTTTTGTCAACAGTGGCAGCATTGAAAATAGAGGGGTGTTGTCCTGCTGGAGATAAAGTATAGTATAAGTCTTCATAAGTACCCTTAGGGCGTTTACATGATTCCACAGGTGGTTTCACAAAAAAGGAGACCGTTCTTTAAATGTGATAGAGATGGGGACCAGGGAAAGCACTCATATAGAATAATCGCAGAGAACACTGGGAGGACTTCACATTTGGTGGGTTAAGTTAATAACCCACCAAATGTGGGTTATTAACTTAACCCATTTGGCCACAACAGTGGGATTGTTTGAAAATAATTCTCACTGTTGATGGCACTAGTGTGAGTGGAAAATCCCATACTTGATGTATTTACAGCTGGGATAAAGGCAGGAATTCTCAGGAAATTGTGGGATATAAGCTGAAATCCCTACATACCATGTATCAGGATGTCAAACTCATTTTCACAGAGGGCCATATCAGCCTAATGACTGCCTTCAAAGGCCATTTCTAATTGTAAGCCTGTATAAATGTAACTATGTTGCCCTGTCACTGAAAGCTTCACAGGCTACATAAAATAATGTGGTGTACCAAATTCTGTCGACATGCCTTGAGTTAGACACATGTGCCATATATACTTGTGTGTAAGTCGAGGGCAGGTTTTGACCAGAATGATAGATTCTTATAAGTAAAGGTAAAGGTTTCCCCTCAACATGAAGTCTAGTTGTGTTCAACTCTGGGGGGTGGTGTTCATCTCCATTTATGAGCCGAAGAGCTGGCGTTGCCTGTAGACACCTCCAAGGTCATGTGGCCGGCATGACTGCATGGAGCACCGTTACCTTCGCACTGGTACCTATTGATCTCACATTTGCTTGTTTTTGAACTGCTAGGTGGCAGAAGCTATGACCTGTTAAATTGAGGGTCTGATAAGTCTGATATGACTCGATAAGTGGAGGGTCGTTCTGCAAAAAGGGGGAGGAACCAATGTCACTTCAGGGACCCAGTGGCTCTTCGCTCCACCACTGCTATTTCTCTGCCTCAAGCATATGAAAAGGCCAGGAATGATGCCATTGCAGAGAGAGTAGATTGGATCAGTGCTTCTTTTATATTCTCCCTGGATGGAATAAGCTCTTGTGTTTCTACTCAGAAAAGGGGATTATTCCTTTTTACTCACATTGACCTGTTTTGGGGGTTGATTTTTTGACTAAAATATCTTGACTTATACATGAGCATATAGGGCAGTCTTGTATACTTGTAACTGTAAACTGAGTATAATGCATTATGCATGTGTCAAATTTGGCACAAGACAGTTTATGCAACAATGGTCTTTAAGGTCTTTAACTGTTTGTGAACCGCCGTGAGTCGCCTTCGGGCTTGAGATACAGCGGTATATAAGCAAAGTAAATAAATAAATAAATAAATAAGGTTCATCCAGGCTCCTATTAAAATGTCTATGTTTGTTTCAGTTTGCCTGATTCCTTCAATCTTTTACAGGAGCATATCAGCATATCCTACTGTGGCTGCATACAATAACAAAGCTCAGACTGAAATAAAACTTCAGAACTGGGATGTTGCTCTTCATGATTGTGGAACTGTTTTAAAAATGGACCCTGGAAATATAAAAGGTAAAATGCAGGGCATTTTGTCAGGGGACAAATTGTAGATTTAATGGAACAAAGTTAACACAATTGAATAAGTACTTCGGTATAAATAATTAGTGGATTGCAATCTGGAGGTTTTCTTTAAAAAATGTAGACTTAGAGTAGTTAACAGTTTGCTTGTGATATCAATCATTTTCAGTGCTGTCCAGTCACATGGTAATCTGGATCAGTAATTCTCTTTGTCAGAAAGGCAGTAAATTAAATGAGTATCTATTATTATTAATAATAATGATGATAATGATAATAATAATAATAAGTAGCTTCCATTATTTTTAATGTTTCTAAGTTCTTAAATGTTTCTAGGTTCTTAAAAGTTCTTAAATTAATATTTACTAACTGTTGATAAGTAATTATATTTGGAACAGGAAAGTGGGACAGATTAAAAGTTTAGCCACATAATTGTGGTAATGCACTAATATTCTTATCTATCACTTATTTATTCCTAAAATATATTCTGCTTTTCAGCCCTGAAGTTTTACATTTCTAATTTAAAGATTGCACGGAAAGATTTTTATGTGTTATGTGTAGAATAGTGCTGTCAAATTAATATATCCTTATTAATCTGCAGCTCTTATGCGCCGGGCTACTGTTTACAACCATTTGCAGAATTTCAAAGCAGCTGCAGAAGATCTGAAGAAGGTGCTACAAATGGAGCCAAAAAATGCTATAGCTGAAGTAAGTAATTTACTTCATGGTTGTTGTACAAACTAATAACAATTCTGTATTATTTTTTGAGACATGGGCTGGATCTACACTGGATCAGTGTAGACCCATATAATGCAGATTCATTTTGCATTGTACGGAAGTGTAGATCCAGCCATGGAAACAGGCTTGACACTGGAGTATTCTGGTCGAGGTATTATAGGAAACCAATGCTGTTCTGACCAGAATTGATGTACACTGCTGACACGAAAGATGCTGGATTAGCTATCCAGACACAGCAGTAAAAATTAGCGAACAGAACTGCCTACTGAATTGGAGTTGTCTGTGTGATGTAAATGGGACAGGGGAATAGTACACTTACCACAGTTACTATACACTCTGAAATCATAGCCACACAGCCAGCAAGGCCTTACACTAAGCCTCCCATTAACTTCCCAGGTTTGTGACAAAATGACCTATGTCATGTTACCGTGGCAAACAGGGAGGATATTATACATAAGATATGGTGTATCTCAACATTCAACCATAGTATACCACCAGAAATATGTAAATTTACACAGGGATGCTAGAACATTCTTGACTTTTCCACTGGTATAGTAGCAATATATTTCCTCTTTCCCAGGTCTGACAGCTTGATTTTTAATGTAAAAAACTCTCATTTAAGAATGTACTCTCCAAGCAATTTCATTAATTTTGATATAGCTAGATTTAGTGCTTTAGGACTACATTAGGGAGCATCTACACTGTAAAACGAATGCAATTTGACACTTGAACTCCCATAGCTCAATCATAGGACTTGTAGTTTTACGAGGAATCATTGGATCTGTTTTAGAAGGTCTGTAGCCTTCTCTGCCAAAGTGTTCTGGTGCCACACCAAATTACAGCTGACACTCTTTGACAGAAAAGGCATAAAGACCTTGGAAAACTACAATTCCCATGATTCCACAGTATTGTGCCATGGAAGTGGTGCCAAACTGCATTAATTCTACAGTATTGTTGCACCCAAAGCCCTGCTTAAGTAGGTTCACTGAAATAAACAGGAGCCAAGTTGTAATGATTGAGGGTCAGGGTTGAGGGGCTGTTTGGATCTGGCATAAGCCAGTTCTTCTTTCATTCTTCCTTTTTTTCTGACCCTTTTTCGACACTTTTGTGAGCTAATAGCCAGTAGAGCAATTATGTTGGCAGAGCCGCTTGTATACTGATCTCTAAAATCAGCACAAGGGGATTATGCTAGTGAAAGGGCAGTTCAGTTGGCAGAATACCAGTTCATCTGACGCAAGAATAAACAGTCAGTGCATCCTCGAGATTCAATAGCGTTGTTAATTTAATCATCCTGTTTCTCTGTCCATTTGAATTTAACCTGGTCTAATCTAAACATATTAAAACTGCATCGCATCAAGGATTAATATAGGGACCATAGCAAGTATCTTTCATTACTAAAAACTCTTAATTTTATTCTTTAAATAAATAAATAAATAATGTTTTTACGTGACAGAAAAAGCTGTCAGATATTGAGAAGAATCTGAAAGAGACAGAACCGAAACCTCAGAGCCAGATCAAGGGGAGAAGAATATTTATCCGTGATATAGAAAAATCTGATGGTGATGAACAAGAAGGAGGAAATGAAGGAGAACTAGAAGATGGCAGTAAGGATAAAAGTAAAGCTAAACCTTTTTAAGTGTTTTTATTTGAAGACTAATGATTGTACAATACAGTATTAATTTGAATATGGGACTCTTCTTGTGTCAGGGCATTGTTTCTTTTAGCTCAGTCTTTTTATGATAACTGGAGATACCAGGGAGTGAAGATGGTTAGTTCTGTATATAAAGTTCTACCACTGGCCTAGCTGTAAACCAGGGTTGCTGTAAACCAAAAACAACTTGAAGGCACAAAACAACAAATCTATTTGTATCTACTATGAATCCACTATCTCTAATTTATCAAGCATCAAAACATAACCTCAGCAATGCTTCTGTTTACATGTGCCTCCGAGTCATGTGCCAGTTTATGGCATCTCCGTGACTTGCTTACAAAAAGGAATCTAAAAAGATAAGGGGGGGAAATATCCTTCCTGTTTAGGGAACTTTGCAACAATATGGTATAATATATATTTTGGCTCCAAATAATTTTAGTGCCTTATACATTTTTCCATAAATACAAAAATATATAAATTGTGACACAAAATTTAGTTGCTGTCAGGTGTGTAATCAGAGTAGCTCTTTGATTTGAGCATCTGGCATTTGAAAGGTTAATTTTAAAGTGAATTGTGTGCTGTTCCTTCCTTTTAAAAAAAACAGCCCAGATTTGTTAATATGTATTAAGCTCCCACTATGGAGAAGTGTTGGTTCTTTTCAGTTTACATTGTGTTTTCTGGGAACACATCTTGGATTAAATGCCTTTCGGCAAATTGTCTTACAGATTTGCTTTTGCATGCTTTTAGTCCACCCCTCCTTTGCTTGTACAATAGTTCCTTCTGATGATGCAAACACTAACCAAGCAGATTAACTTCCCTATAGAAGCTGCGGTGCTAGTGGGAGGAGATATCACAAGTGAGAAGACTGAAATGGGGAATGCACAAAAGAAGTTCCCCAGCAAAGGAGATGGCTGTAAATCAGAAAACAAGGATACCCGGAAGACCAAAGACCCTCCAGAGAACAGTAAAAAAGGTTTCCCTGAAAAAAAGAAACCAAACATTTTGCAAGAGAGTGAAAATGACGCAAATGGTTATTTGAGCCGTGCCAAAAATTCTAGTGTAAACAGGGAAGAAAAACCGAAGGTTGCGGAATCATCCCCAGCTGGAGTAAGCAGAACTACTTTGCTTCCTCCTATTGCAGCAACACTGAAAGCTGAAGGAAATGAATTATTCAAGAATGGACAGTTTGGAGAGGCCACTCTCAAGTACTCAGAAGCAATTGACAATGTCATCAGTTCGGGTGAGTTGTATGTCTTCTTAGAACTGCTAAATTGTATTTATGGACATTTAAAAATGCATACCCAATTTGTCACTTTCCCTCATTTGTTTTGTGTCCATAGCAATTTTTATTGAAAATGTCTAATAAGTAAGAAATAAGCAGCTATAAAAATATCTGCATACAGTGGCCTAGTATTATTTCATATTTCATAAATATATTATTAAATGTAGATATAATACCTGAGATACAATAGCATATTAAAACTGTAGAATGTATTATTATATGTTATATTGAATACTGAAAATATCTTTGAAGCTTTGCTTCATCAGCAAAACTGCAGTGCTGCAGTGTTTCTTGGAAGGTAACAGAGCATGTATTTACATTTATAAAGGTTTATTTCAGTAATACAATTTCATTCCAATTGTATATTATTTTAGGAATCCAGTGTCCAGAGGATCTATGTATTTTGTATTCAAACAGAGCAGCATGCTATCTAAAAGAAGGAAACTGTACTGACTGCATTCAGGACTGTAACAGGTAAATAACAAACCTTCGGCCGGGAAGCAACACACCCATAATTACGATAACATTGGAACATAATTATGATAGCATTAGAACTGGTCTTAAAAAGTTTGGAAGGTGTAGTATCTATTAATATTGTTATAGTGTTCTATTAAAATATGTTGTGAATCATTTCCTTGTTAACCAAGTGAAAGAGAAGTAAAAAGGCAGGGAGTATTTCTCTTAAGTTACATATTTAAATATAAAGCAGGTGCATTACTATACAGTGAGTAGGTTTCTATGTTCTCTTATGCATACATAATTTCATGCTAAATAGATAAAATTGGGTTGGGTTTTATCCCAAACATTTACAAATAGTTGCATTAGAAATTGTGACCCGATGATAAATTATATATTAGTAATTGAAGAAACAATTCATACAGCCTTGATGGAGTACAGTACTGAAAACTAATGCATCCAGTTATTTCTCTTTTCTAGAGTATGTTTCACTAAGTGTACTGACATTTTAAAAGTTCTGCTACAAATATTTTTAACTGGTGCCTGATGAGTCCAAATGCGAAAGTTTGACATATCAGCAGAGCCTTAACTGTCCAGACCTTTAGTAACTACAACAATTACTAGATGCTAAATGCACTGTTATATTGTTTAATATTGAAAATATGTTTGATTGACTAAGCATTTTTTGGATGAAATTAAGGCTTCAGAACTCTCGATTCTGACCAAAATCCTGCATCCTCAGAATTAATTATGACAGTAGAGGTCCATTATTTTAGTTGTGTCTGATGACGTCAAAACCTTGCCAACAAGATTACTGAGTTGCTTCTGGTGCTGCTGGGAGGTGATGTCTGAATTGCTGTCTCAGTAATGGAGCATTCTGGTAACAGGCAGCTGGAGACACCCCATAGGGCCCTGCCACAACTGCTTGTCTCAATGCACCTGAGGAAAGCTATGATTTTGTGGTCATGTCTGGCAAACTTTTGTGACTCAAATTCACAAAGTTGTCAGATTGTAAGTCTGCTTACAATCTTGTAACTCCTGAACAAGATGGAAGTAGTTGTTTATAATTATTAAGCAACTTCATACAACCTTTCAGTATTGGAGCTGTGTGAGATGGGTGATGTATTGATCCTAAGCTGCTAAGAGGAATCTTTTGGTGCCTGGTCCTACCTATTATGGGGAGAGTGATGCAGTAGAGGCAGAGATGTGTGAATTCTGCACTCATAGGAGAGAATCCTGGTGGTTGCTTATGCTAGCATCCCTACATAAGTTCATTTTAGGCATTGTGGAAGGAAGCATCTCTAGCATCTCCTTGTGCAGCATCTTTGCTATGATACAGCTCTACCCCCTTCTAGCCATTGTGTGGTTGCAGGGGTACACTTGGGCATTGGCTGCTCATGTGCAGCTGGGTAAAAAGCAGCAACCTTTGCCTTTATATGGGGAGATGGATCCAGTGTGAATAGTGATCTCATCCCTGCAAACTTGGGCTGGAGATGGAGCTATATGGAGGACTCTTCTGCTACCCGTACACATATGGGGAAGAGGAGGGAAATTTTATCTTTCAGGCCACAAGCATAGTTGGCCAACTGAGATTTATGCTTTGCCACCAACCCTATTGGATCAGGGGCCTCTTCCACACAGCTGAATAAAATCCCACATTATCTGCTGTGAACTGGGATATATGACAGTGTGGACTCAGATAGCCCAGTTCAAAGCAGATATTTCCACCTTGATGTTCTGGGGGCCCTTGCACACAGCACTATATTCCGAAAAATGAAGGCAGGAAATCCTACATTATCTGAGAGTGTACTCAGGGCCCTTCCACACAGCCCTATAACCCAGAATATCAAGTCAGAACTCAGATTATGTGCATTTTCTGCCTTGATATTTTGGGATATAGGGTTGTGTGGAAGGGCCCTCAGATATCCCAGTTCAGATATTGTGGGATTTTCTGCCTTGATATTCTGGGATATAGGGCTGTGTGGAAGGGCCCTAGGTCATATGGTGGAGATGTAATTGGCAGCAGAATGAATCTTTCTGAAAATGCCTGCTTTGTTTAAAACAAGGGTTAATTGTTCTGGGATTACAAATCCCATAATCTCCACCATTGACTGTATTGGTGAAAGCTGATGGAGGGCCCTTCCACACAGCCCTATATCCCAGAATATCAAGGCAGAAAATCCCACATTATCTGTTTTGAACTGGTTATCTGAATCCACACTCAGATAATGTGGGGTTTTCTGCCTTGATATTCTGGGATATAGGGCTGTGTGGGAGGGCCTGGAGTTCTAAGACAAAAACACCAGGAGGTTTACATTACCTACTCTAGGTTTAAACTATGCAGATTGGCTTGAAACTTGTGAACAGCACTTGAAACAGTCTGAACTAATACTGACTGAATTAATTTCTATTGGGCACAATTTGGTTTTTATGGCCCTTCTCCTCCCAATGGCCAGCTCTCACAAAATAAATTATGCAAGCTAAGTAAATGTTTTTAGTTCTAAAATGATCAGCTTATACAAGTATTGAAATTCAGATTTTCTTCATGAAAAATATTGATGTGTAACACAAATCTATCTTGTTTATCTTGTATCCTAATTTAAGTGTTAAAAATAACTTCCCTGTTAAAAATAATAATTTGCACTTTCACTATTTAATAGAAGTCACTGAATATTGAAAGTTACTGCTTTAAATATAATGGCTTAGATCTAGAGGGAATTGAGTGGAATGCAGTTTGTGCTACAAGACTTTGGTAGAATTGATTTGAACAAGTGAGCATTTTTAATATGTTAAAAGCATCTCTTTATTCGGTTTTATGGATAGTTGCAGATAGTTGTCTCATAACAGGATAAACTCTATGTGGGTAACTGAACATTTGATGTAGTAACACTATATAACTTCCAATCTATCATGATAAATATCAGTAATAATTAAGAATGCCATATATCAGGTGTGTGCATGGCCCACATACTTGGCAGTTGAGGTAGACTGCAAACAATAATACAAGAATCAATAATCTGCCTGATAAATTATCATTATGTTTCTATATACTGTATATCAGATGTTCTACAGCCAACATTGTTGAGATTGAAATGCAGTTGCTACTTTAAGAAGAATACCCATTAATCCTCTAGGTTACGGATCTGCTGCTAAGTATTACTTGACTTAAGTCTCTTCCTTTGCCATCTAATTAATTGGATTTTTGAATATGCCTCTAACGAAAATGTAAGAAAATAGTTATAGACTGTCTGCTTCAAACCATATTATTCTGTCATGTAAGCTTATTTTAGGGCAGTCCCAAGATAAAAATCAGAGATATGTATGTTTAGAACTATCTTTTAAATCTATATAATTTTCCTGTATTTCCTTCTTTTTTTATCCTGACAGTACTTTGTATTAATTTCTGGCCATTTTTCCTTAGTGCATTGCAACTTCATCCATATTCTCTCAAACCTCTCCTGCGTCGAGCGATGGCCTATGAGTCTATGGAACGATATCGACAAGCATATGTTGATTATAAAACATTACTGCAAATAGACAGTGGAATCCAGGTAGCAAATGACAGTGTTAACAGGTAAATATATATCATATTGATGCAAAATTATCACATGGCAGTCTCTGGATGCAGATTATTCCTTTGGGACAGCCATTGAGGCAGAAATCCAAAGTTGTTGGGGTTTTTTTTTCAGTTTTATAAGATAACTTCTCTTTTCGTTCCTTAAGTTTTTCACATTCTTCTTGTTATATAGCTAAGGGTTTTTTTTAAACTCTTCTTTCTACTTCTGATTTCTTTAAAAGACTTGGCTAAATATAAGTGGCTCAATCACTGAAAGAAATAGAACATGTTCACCTTCTAATAAAAAGAGAAAGTGAACAGATGAGGAGTCAGCCCTAGTTTCCACTCTTTTCTGCTGCCTAGCAGAAAATGAAGTCTAAAAGGGAAAAATACTATTCAAATAAAATGGCAGCTGACCAGCAAGATTCTGAACTGAACACAGAAACAATATTAAAAAAAAAACATTTTGATCGAGTGAAAGTCAATCTGAGGATCTAGCAATTCAGCCTCCACAAAAGCAGCAATTTACTGCACTGAGGAGGACAGCAGACAAGATAGAGCAGAATGCACTGTGACCCAAATAAGCATGGCATGTTCTTGTTTTGTGCACCCTCAAAGTATGTTTAACTTTTCTTGATCCTCCAAAGGGGTTTTACTGTAAAATGTGGTCAGAGCGGGTATGCAGTTGCTTTCCACTGTGGCTGAGCAAGTGAGACTTTGTTACACTCCAGACCAGGAAACACATCTGTACTTAACCACCACCCTGTAGTCCAAGTTAAATCAGCAAAGCAGTTTATTGAAGATTATATAAAAAAGCAGTTCAGCATAAAACAGTAAAAACTTCAAAGTCTATACGTATAAAATAGTCCACGAGGTTCAAGATACAAGAGCAATCCACAATCCCAAAGCTGCAGGGCATCCAAATGAGGAATACACAAAAACTAGGAAGGCAAGGAAGTGTAGAGTCCAATACAAAAATCCAGGAACAACCCTTCAAACTTGGAAGCATGAAACAGGAACAAAGACATTCCCTCAGAAAGCCTGACTAGGATTTTGCAAGAGCTGTTATTTCAATTACCAACATTGATCAGACTGGCTAGGAAACGCCCCTGACCTTTCTAATAAAGACATGAGGTCATACCTTCTCCCATGAGTTTTTCTATAACAGGTCTTCACCAAAGTTTGTGAAAACTAAGCCTATCAACCAGCTCATTATCTTGCACCTCATTATTTTCTGCACCTGGGATTTCAGCCTCTGAATTCTTTTCTCTAGAGAACGGCTCCTCTTCATCATTTAGAATGTGACCGTCACTGACTGTTGGAAGCACAAACTGCTCATTTTAATGACTTAAAATCTCAGGATGGCTTGCAGGCCCAGAATCCTCATGACCTACGTCCACATTAGCATAAGTACCAGACACAGTTATGGGCTGAACTACAACAAACGTGTTCAAGTGACCAAGTGGAGTTCCATGTCAGCGTGGGGATTAAACTAAGGACTCTCAGAAACTGAGTCCAACACTCAAACCACTACACCTTGCTGGATCTCAACCATAACCTAATCTTGTATTGGAATCTGTACACTTGGCATATCAAACTCTTAATCTTGTATTTTATATTAGGCAGGGTGATGATCTGGAGAATTTTATTTGGCTCTTTAAACATGGAAATATTTAGGTAAAAAGAATCCTGTCTTCTGTAGGAAAAGAGAATCTATTTGGAACAGTTTGACCCAGAAACATAAGATGCTTCCAGAGATTTAACTCCTCCAGGACTTGCCTTGTTGTGGCTTGAGCAGTTGACATAATTGCATTTAAATGCCAATATACCTTCACAGAGCCAAGTTAACCCTCTGTTTTTTTCTGGAGAAAATTTAATAGTGAATAGAACAGCGCTAGAGCAACCATGTATAAGGATTTAGATGGAATCTGAACTTTTATGGACTAGAGCCAATTTTAATGATTTTTATGATGGTGGTGGCAAATACTTATTTTCCACAACTACTTCACATGTTGGCCAGCAGGACTGTTCTGAATACTCAGAACAAGGGCCACATGCAACCCTTCAAAGTTGCTTTTACAGCTGTTTGAGCTTCTCGTGTCCCAAATATTTCTTCACAAAAAAAAAACCTCAAGAAAATAATTCTGCAGGGAGACAATGTTCCTCTTTAAAATGTTTTGCCTCACATTTTAGCAATGACAACAGCAATATTTCTTGAAAATGAAAGCTGATGAAACATGCATATGGAAGTGAAGGAACAGCTGCAAGCCATAGAGTATACAGTCATGATAGCAAATAGCTGGCAGACCCTTCAAGACAGGTCCACTCCAATTTTAGTCCACAGGATGCAGTAGATAAATCTCCAGTGGTTTTCTCTAATTGATTTACATGTCACATCATCTAAGTAAACCCAATAATATCTGCTCCAAATTGGATTCTTTAGTAAATTCAGTAATTCCACAGTACTGGTTGATAGATGCTGTTTGTCCTATTATTATGAGTATTCCTAATCTTCAGGGTGTGCCCGAGATCTTTGTGTATGTGCTCAGACTTTGCCAATCCTAGCTAATTAATGCAATCAAAGCTGGGAAGGCTGGTTGGATGGCTGTTTCTTTGAAGGAGGTAGGGTGCGGACTATCCTAAAGAAAACCATGGTAAGGCACTCAATATTTACAGAGAGGCACTTGAGGGAGGGTTTAAAAATCATGGAGAAATCAAAGTTCCATTATACCCAGTTCTGTATTATTACCACGAAGCTATGATGAGGCCATGGAGGCCCTGAACTGGTATCTTCGGGAAGGGATCTGAGGAAAGGTTAATCAAACAAGACATAAGTGCTCTTTGTATGAAAACTAATGAATACTGCAACATGCTATATGTAGAGTTGTGGTTCTTTTGAAAATCCAGATCTACAACTCGGAAATGTTCATGGTTGCACCCTATCAACTATCAGATAAGCATTAGACTTATGCAATTCGGCTGGAGGGTGATCTGTTTTTCGTATCCAAATTTCGTTGGGTACCCAGATCCGTTTTCGGGAGCCTCCCAAAAATCATCTAATGGAAAAATCTGTTTTTAGCTAGGCAGCCGAAAGATCTGGGAAGATGCAGCCCATTGGCAGCAGTGGGGGACTTACGAGACTCCCATTTCCGAGACTCCCCTTTCCGTTCCTGGGACTCTTTCCTTTCAAGGGAGCCTGGGTTTGAGGAACGGGGTTAAGGAAGCACCCATCCTGGGACCCTTTCCTTTGTTACCTTCCAAGGGAGTCAGGGTTTGAGGAATGGTGTTAAGAAGGCATCCTTCCTGGGCTCCTTTCTTTCTTTCTTTCTTTCTTTCTTTCTTTCTTTCTTTCTTTCAAGGGGCTCTGGGTTTCAGGAATGGGGTTAAGGAAGCACCCTTCCTGGGACTGTTTTCTCTTTCTTCATCTCAAAGGGAGCCTGGATTTGAGCAATGGGGTTAAGAAAGCACCCTTCCTGGGACCCTTTCCTTTTTTCATCACAAGGGGAGCCTGGGTTTGAGGAACGGGATTAAGGAAACATCCTTCCAGGGACCCTTTCTTTTCTTCATCTCAAGGGGAGCCTGGGTTTGAGGAACAAGATTAAGGAAACGTCCTTCCTGGGTCCCTTTCCTTTCTTCCTTTCAAGAGAGCCTGGATTTGAGGAATGGGGTCGGGGAAGCATGTGCTGCATGCTCCCGAATAGAAGGGAAGAAGCTGTGCCCAGCAGCCACGTGAGCTGTTTCAGGCAAAAAACCCATGGCAGCTGAGCCCTTACTGTTACAGCCAGCTGAACAAGCCGGATTGGCTGAAGGGAACTGACCAAAATAAATCCATGCACAAGCCTAAAAAGCATGCCTCTTGCAGGTAAATTTGGTCATCATCCAAATAGTATTTTTGAGCATGTCAAATATAATCTTTCCTTTGACTGAATCGACTTCTAAGCCCCAATCAAATTGCTTTTTATTAACATTAAACTCAGAATGACCAGGATGCTTGAAGGGATTCACTCATTTGTCTATAGTCAACAATGACTATAGAGATACTGTTGAAGAGTAAGAGCCAGTGTGGTGAAATTGTTGAACATGTGACTACACCTTTGGAGGTCAGGGTTTGAATCTTTGCTCAGCTGTGAAAAACCAATATGTGACGTTGGAGAAGTCTCACTTTCTCAGTCTCAGTGGAAGGCAAAGGCAACCCCCTCTGATCAAATCTTACCAAGAAAACCCCATGATAAGGTTGTCATAAATCAGAAATGACTTGAGGGTGTACAGCAACAACAGAAAAGATGCACTTTTGAGAAATAGTGGATGTAATGTTTTATATCTCTCTAAGTATCATAAATATTACATATCTCCCAGAATCCTAGTTCAGCACTCATATCACTGTATCATATTGGTTTTCTGATTGAGTCTTATAGTATTCGGCCATCTTTTTGTCACTCCTTATTGTAAAGATGAGAAGTGGAGGATTCTCTAATTACACTACGTAACAAAATTTGGAAAAAAAATCTGATCCTGGTTTGAAAGTGCTGTTTTCTGTTTAATTGTGCAATACGTACTTTGAAAGTAGTTGTTATACTCCAGAAACGTCGTTTTTGTGGATACCACAAACTATGTTGAATTGGTTGAGACTCTATGAGATATTAATTGAAATACTATAGCAAAGTGTGCTACAAAATGTCCTGCAAAAACAAAGCTTTTGCAATTTAGTAAACTTTTCCCAATTTTTGTGATAGAACTAATTAGGAAATGACATTTATAACCCAGAAACAAAAATTGTGATATATAGTGTTATGTTTCACTCTTAGTTTTACATAATCAGTGAAAACTAATTTTTTTGGCCTTTGCAAGAAGTTGTGTGTGTGGGGGGGGGAGTAAGAATGCAATGATAAAAAAAGCTATCAGATTTGTTTTGGCTAAGCTTTTTTTATTACTGTCAGTTTCCGCGATACATTAACAAAGTGGATCATAATCCACAAAAATTCATGCTAAAATAGTCTGTTGGTCTTAATGCTAACATTTTTCTCCCATCTACTCATCTATATATCAAGTCTAACATATCTCTTTTAAAAGGCCATCAGTGGTATTTTAAAATCTCATTTAAAATAATGTTGAACTTGCATGACATAAATCTGTTCACCTTAACACAATTCCAAAACTGCACAAAAAAACATTTCTGCTTGCTTGCTAGAAATCCTTCTGTTTTGTTGTTCTTAACACAATGACTTTTTCCCCCCTTCTAGGTCTTTTTTATGCTTTTTGCTTCACTGCTTATTACTCCTTTCTTCCTGGCAACCTATCTCCCTATTTCAGCTGCTTCCTTCTCTTCTCCTCCTGCTGGTAATTCCTTTTTTGCTCGCAAATTATTTGTTTCTAGATTATATATTCTGGATTATAGAATATATAAACTACAGAATTAAACTAATTTGATACACTCTTTAAGACTTCAACATTGTCTTTCAGGGGATGTCATATTGGTTTCCAACATTGCCACAATTCAGTCTCTCTATACTACCCACATGATCATCACTGGGATCAGTGGGATAAATAATGCAGCATAGCATTTAAGTTGGTACTTGAGTATATTGGAATAAAGTTTGAGCAGACAATTTAAATGTGTAATTTTTTAAACTGTAAAGATTGAAATATAATGTATATAAATGTTATTTCTGAAAGTTTCCCTCTATTGTAATAATTGATTAGTTTATTACAGCTTAAAAATATAACTATAACCTGTGGTGAAATCTGTTTGTTTGTTTTTTAGGATAACAAGAACTCTAATAGATCAGGATGGCCCAGACTGGAGGGAGAAGCTGCCCCCAATTCCTGTTGTTCCTGTGTCTGCTCAGTTACACTGGTGGGATGGAGAAAACTTTACTTCAGAGGCAAAACAAAAGAAAACTTCAGCCAAAAGTGGAGATCAGAAATCACAGTCAACAAGTATGTATGTTCATGCAAAGTTGTGCCAATTATACATAGTGATCCACAAGTAGAACTGGTAGTAAACATTTATCACATTGGGGATTTGGTGCATTTCTGAGAGAAATCCAAGAAACAAATTCAAGCTCTAACCATTCTTATTAATACCATTGCAAGCCACTCTAAATTCCCTCAGGGAGAATGGGCAGGATATAAATAAAGCATTATTATTATTGTTATTATTATTATTATTATTATTATTATTACAGCAGTGGACAAAAAGGAACTGAGAGTTTAGGTGGGAAGCACACTGACTAGATGCATGAGAAGTAGGCAGGGCTACTCCTAAATTGCATGTAGTATAGCTCTACAAATTTCTGAAAGATGTACTGTGCATCCCATTTCTATGAGTTCACAGATTATCACTTGAAGAACTATATTTTCAGATAAGCAACTTGCCCTTTCCGTGCATATCTGAGGACATCATTGAATGTACTGAAAGGTTCTCAAGATCCTTTCTCTGCACTTTTTGTGCTAAAATAAAACCCACCTACATACTTCTAGAATATAAAATATTGGAATAGTTTCTAGCAGAATCAAAAGATTTACACTATAGATAGAAGTAAAAAGTTGAATGGTTTGATGAGCACATGTTTGAGCATTTATATAAGATTCTTTAGATCTCATCCACTGTCTGAAGGGACATTAAAGAAAAATAACATCCTTAAAATAGGTGTCATATTTATAACTACTACTACTACTTTATTTTTATACCCCACCACCATCTCCTCAAGGAAGATGGTGGTGGGGTATACTCCTCAAGGACTCAGGGATCAATATGGTGTGTTCTCATCTTGGCTCACAATAGAATCTATAAGAAGGAACATGAAACGAAATGTTGCAATGGAGCCATTCCCTTTAGTCTATCTTATATAGTCCAAAGATGCTACCAGTAGAATTATCATAGCTAATTGCCAGCTCTGAATGTAATATTGTTATTATAATGGGTTTGCATGTTGCAAGTCACTTCTGGTGTGAGAGAATCAGCCACCTACAAAAACGTTGCCTAGTGGACGCCCGAACACAGTCTCAGCCCTGCTACTTGCACAGTGGAGGACCTTCTTATAGCAACACCAGAGGCACTCCAAATGGCCAGCTATTGGTCAGAGAACATTTATTATAATGCCAAGTTTTTTAAACTTTGTGTTTTTTAAATACCTTACAACTGTACCCTCTGTTTGCTTCTGATACCGTAAATAACATAAATGGTAATGGGTGACATTTTAAAACATACACATATGTTTTAAAATACGTAAATATGTATGTATGTACGTATATGTAGTGTAATATATCTAACTGGGGCTATCATGTTCACTTTCAGAATACAGTCAGCTTGTTAAACCCTCAGACCCTCCCCTTGATTTCTCCCCCATGACATCCTCAACATATCTTGATCTCAACTGCCCTCAAGCATACTTTCTCAGTCTCCTCAATTTCCTAGTTTCTTTGGACTTCTTTTATCTTCTCTTTAAGGGTGGAAGAGAGAATATGCCATGGAAAACAATGCAAAAAATTTGGATTTTATCGTAGTTGTCAATGAGTATCAATTTATCTGCCACAATGATGGCAGCAAAGAAAGGAGTTCCTGTTTTTGGCATTAAAGAGAAATCCAGAAATTCTGTCTTTAGACAATGATATTTTAATTCTTTATTACAATGGTATTCTAAGATGTGTTTGAAACTGTTGTCAGTGCATATTGGAAATTCCCCTCCAAAAACAGCTGCACAGGGCAAATAAGCCTCCTTTAAAATCTTGTTGGCATAAATGAGAGGCCTTTCAAATACTAATTCTCAGTCAGATTGCTGGTGGTAAAGAGTCATCTTTAGCTCTGTCTTGATTGTTTGTGTTTGGGTAGATCCCTGTTATGAATGGTTGTGTGATCCTGAAAGAATGGAGCGCACCAGCCCACTTTAAGAGAACCTTTCCCATTTCTTGCTTTATCCCCACCCAGTTGGCCTCTGGAAGGTCAGTCACAGAAATGTAGCCCTCAGGCAAAAAATACATTCTATGCCTTTTTTTAAGGAATGACACATATACTATGTATGCTGGTCTTGGCTCAAAAATACTTCTATCCATTTTGGGAAACAGGTGAAAATCCAGAAGAAATCTTCAAGATTCTTAAGAAGCAGGGAAATGACTTTGTGAAAAAGGGTAACTGTGTAGAAGCATTGAAGAAATACAATGAGTGTATAAAGTTAAAGCCCCAGGAACTGACCATTTACACTAACAGGTAAGAAGATCTCTAAAATCTGGAATCCATTTTCATTCAGACCAACAGAATTGGTTATTAACTTTATTGGGAATTGGATAGTTTTCCAAGATCCATCGATTTTTGTGACTGAAAACAACTTTACATATTAAAGTTATATGTAGGCCTATACTCATATATGAAAACTCTCTAATTTTGTTGTGCAGGAATATATATATATATGGGCACATGATCTCCACACTGGCTTTCCATCTGGTTTATACAACAAACAAACAGCACTGCCACTGTTAACACATTTCTTCACATACATACAATAGTCCTTGTGTGCCTTGTGATAATTTGCTCTAGACTGGATGGGTGAGAGTATATATTCTTAATACTGTCGTGTCTGTCTTTTCCTACTGTATTAGGGCTCTTTGTTATTTGAAATTATCTCAATTTGAAGAAGCCAAAAAGGACTGTGATTATGTTCTTCAGACAGATGGCTGTAATGTAAAAGCTTTATACAGAAGAGCCCTAGCATTCAAAGGATTAGAGGTAAGGACAGGGAGCAGCATGCCTGTTGACTTATAATTACTGTTTATTAGCTAACATAATATAATATAGCAGGTGCATCAGATGTTCTAAAGGGGCTTTACAGAAACTCAAGGGTCATACACCCTTGAGAACAACGTGTAAAATATTTAAGTGCTATAGAAACCAGTCACCAATATTAACATTAAATTAAGGAATAACTGAGATAGGTTCTTTGACATTTCCATGTAATATGTTGTTGAGCTTTCATGTAGAGCAGGGTTGCTCAACCTCCCTAATGCCACAATCCCTTAATATAGTTCCTTATGTTGGGGTGACACCCAATCATAAAATTATTTTCATTGCTACTTCATAACTGTAATTTTGCTATTGTTATGAATCGTCATGTAAATATCTGATATGCAGAAGATATTTTCATTCACTGGACCAAATTTGGCATAAATACCTGATATGCCCACATTTGAATACTGATGGCACTGGGGGTGAGGAATGATTTTGTCATTTGGGAGTTGTAGTTGCTGGGATTTATAGTTCACCTACAATCAAAGAGCATTCTGAACTCCTCCAACAATGAAATTGAACCAAACTTGGCACACAGAACTCTCGTGACCAACAGAAAATACTGGAAGGGTTTGATGGGCATTGGCCTTGAGCTTTGGAGTTGTAGTTCACCTACATCCAGAGAGCACTGTGGACTCACAGAATGATGATCTGGACCACACTTAGCACACAGGCCCAACATGGCCAACTGTGAATACTGGTGGGATTGCGGGAGGTTTGACCCACGATTTTGGGAGTTGCAGTTCAGCTACATCCTTATGCATTTTCTAATGGGAGCATTAATAAAAAAAGAAAAGACTGACTTTTTCTAATAGTGTTACAAATGAGCTAAGCTGCTTCTGCTGCTGCTCCTCCTCTTGAGGCTGCTGGGTCACTCTCAGTCCCACATCACACAGGCACTTTTCCCCCTGCCTTGAAGGGACTCATTAGTGTGAGCCTCCCTTCAGCTTCACATGCTCTCCCTTGCCTGTGTATGTTCACTATGCTACCATGCATTGAGCATACCTGCTCTCGCCTCCCTGCTTGGAGTCTCAGAAACAGCCCTCCCCTTGGCTGAGAAGCCAGCTGAGAGGCCGGCCAATCACAGCGAAGAAGGGCTTTTGGTGGGAAGATTTGCCATTTGTTTCCAAAAAGTAAGAGAAGGACAGGCAGAGAGATCTTCAGCCTTTTCTGCCAAAGGAGTTCCTAAGACCATCAGAAATATGTGTTTTCTGATGGTCATTAGCAACCCCTCTGATACCCCCTCACAACCCCCCCAGGGGCCCTGACACCATTGAGAAATGCAGGTTGAGAAATGCTGATGTAGAGTGATGGTTTTGGCAGTAAAATAGGAAATTCTCCCAAATAACCCCCCTCCTACGACCATTAAGTTTGTGATCTTTCTGTTGTTTCTGCACTGTCTTTTTTCTTCTTATTATTATGTAGTGAGAAGACATTGTAAAACTAGGCATGTCGCTATGTAGCATTGTCATTTGGGGCAAATGAAGAAGGTATTACTTTCCCTGGGGGGAACTGGATGGTTTTTCCTGTCTGACTGTACTGCTGAGGTTTTATTAGCCACTCACCAAGGGCATTGCTGGGAGACAGAAAGTTTTGTTGGCTCTCCAGGTTTCGCAGCCTGTAATTCCTTCCTCTTGTCCATTATATGGGGGTGGGGGTCCATTGCTTTTGCTTGCAGTGTTGTCTGAGCACCCTCTATTCACAGCCCGCCAATTGGCTGGGAGTAAATAGATGTAGCAAGTGTGTAGAAGGCAGACAGTACTTTGTAACAGTATAGAAGTGGGCATTACTTGCCCAGAGAACACTTGATTCTCTTTGCGTGTAATGCTAGTTGGCAATAATGTCTGAAACAGATGAAAAGGGTAAGGATTGTGAACAGCCAATATTGTTAACCCACGCTCCCAGTTTTGTTCACTGTTGACCATGCTGGCGAAGACTGGTTGGAGCTCCTGGTCAACAACTGGAGAATTTGTTATTCTTATTCCTGATTGAAATGTATAATTATAGAGGATGTTTTGTGAAGTTACCAGTGCACTCAGCAGTATTTTGACAGCCCTGTTATTGTAACCAAATAGACTGAAAAGCCATCTAGTAAAAACTACCAGCAGAAAGGCAGGACCTTCTTATTATTTCTCCACAATCCCAACATGTATATAACTTGAGTTGTTTCCTTCCAGTCGGACAGAAGGTTTTTCTATTTATATCTGAGCATCAGATAAACACAGTGCAATCTATATAAATGCATCACCCACTTCAGACTAAAGTAAAGAAATGTTTAGAATCATGTTGTTACCACCAGTTTTTTATTGAGTCATGGGGAAAATTGGAGGCAGAAAAATGATTTGGCAACAATTCTTGTTGATTCTTTGCAACCTTCAAAGACATGTATTTTCTTTCAGGGCTTTTAGAATATAATTTTATTTTTTAGGGACTACTGTTGGGACTGTTTGACTATTGTGTCAAGTGATAACTCATTCATAATATCCCCAGTTGCCTGAGTGGTACAATATAAATTAAGGCAGTGATAATGGACAGAAACAGGCATTTTTTCCTAATTAATTCCTGTCACCTAGAAGCCTATCTAGCAGATGCATTCCCTCACCACACTGGTGAATGCCTGAAGACTTAAGAGTCATACTGGATTCAGTCAGCAGCTTAATGTTTGGAAAAATGTAAACATACATGGTTTTAAGTGTTGGACTAGGACTGGACATGGGTTTGAATCTCTGAGCAAATCTTGCCAAGAACAAGTTGAAGGTTCGCCACAAGTGCAGTAATTTTAGCCCAAATCCTTATTGGCAAGTTTTTTCCTGTCTTCTTCTAAGCATTTTTAAACATTTGCAAATATTTTCTACAAATGTGTCAGGATAGATTAACATTGGTAACTGTTTCCTATTCATGTTTATGGTTGTGGCATGATTGTCACAATTGCAAATATATATGTAACATTGTCTGTGTACTCTTGTGCCATTGTGTCTTTTAAAACTTGACCAATTCTATTTTTAAATTTCAGAACTACAAAGCCAGTGTTGATGATTTGAATAAAGTTCTTCTAATAGATCCACACATTGATGAAGCAAAGAAGGAACTGCAAGAAACCATTCAGTTACTAAAAGTCAAAAATGATGTTACAGACAACACACCACAAAAGCAAAGGAAAAAAATTGAAATTCAAGAGGTATTATATTGTTGTTGTTTTTTAAGACTCCCAAATAAAACTGATATTCACTCCTTGCTATGAAAATTATGAAATATGCTCTGAATAACAATTCCCAAACAGTTTTTTTTTTGTGGGGTTGTATAGATATGTTGTAGATAGGAAAGTTAGGACAGAAAGAGGGAAAGTAGTTCACATCTCTCAGGTTTTGGATCATACTTCACTAAAATAATTATTTTCGTGCTGCTCTTATTAACATCATTGTTAATCACCATCTTAGTTTCACATTGTATATCACACTGATGTTAAGAAGTACAACTCACTAATCATTTCCTATTTGGTATAGTATGACTTTTGTATCTATGAGAACAGTATCCGCCGTTTCATTTATTCACTTCCAACGCCATATGTCCTTTTAAGGCATTTCCTAGGTCCTCCCTCAACTCTGTTATTTTTGGCTGGAAGTGCCCTACATTTCAGTACAGATCACTGATCACTGTTATCTCCAATGTCGGAACATATTCCTTGCAGATATGGAGATCACACTGCATTTGTCTTCAAAACTCCATTAACAGATTGACTGACTGATTACACTTACTTCTGTTCTTTAGCTGTAAAGAATCTGAGAGCAACCTTTAAGTAAATAGAAACTAGACCGTTCCTGACCCCAAATTTCCAGTCTGAAATGGCATGGCACAAAACAAAAGGGATGGGGAGTGAAAGGCAAAACAAGTACTTATTTCTAATTTTAATTGAAATAGGCTGATCATAGCTCAGAGACAAGCCTTAACAAATTTCCAAGGATTGCCACAGCTACTTAAGCTTTCCTGCTGGGGCTATCATACGCAATAATAATAATAGCTTCTTTTCAACCTGCCTTCTCTCCCTGAAGGGACTCAGTTCCCTGGATGTTGTTGGACTACATATCCTATCATGCAGCTTCTGCATAGCTATGAAGACTACAGCTGATGAGAATTTCAGTCTTGGGGACCATATATTTCTTGCTCCATTTAACAGGGGGAGGCGGTTAGTTTTCCAAGATCTAGCTGGAATCTGCAAATAAGTAGATATTGCACTTAGATATATCTTACATTAATGGAACCATAGTTTACAAGTCAAAGAATGTCATAGCCCCACTATGTTCCTCACTAGTCAGACCTCATCTGCCTTAATGTTTGCAGGTCTGAGCATTTCACGTTAAGACCGATATAAACAAATTGGAGCAAGTTCAGAGAAGAGCAATGAATGATAAGAGATATGGAGACCAAAATATCTCTTAAGGTTGAAGATTGAAGGAATTCAGCCAGGGGAGGGGAAGTCTAAGGGGCAATATGATTGCACTCTTTAAATACCTAAAGAGCTGTCACACAGAGGACTGTATAGGTTTGTTCTCTGCTGCCCCAGAGTAGGACCAGATCTAATGGTGTTAGTTTACTGCAGGATATATTCCAATTGGAACTTTCGTTGTGATAATTTACATTGCATTTTTCAGATGCCATCACACACATACAGATTTTTATTTAGATGAGCAGGAGGCAATCTTAAAAAGATTTCCCTGCCACTTTCTCATTCAGGGGTCCTCAAACCTTTTAAGCAGGGGAGCAGTTCATGGTCCCCCAGAGTGGGGGGCAGACGGGCAGACTATAGTTTGAAAAAAAAAACATGAATGAATTCCTGTGCACACTGCACATATCTTATTTGTAGTACAACAACCACGAAAGAACAATACTGTATTTAAAATGAAGAACAATTTTTACCAACATAACCTTACCAGGATTTCAGTGGGGTGTGGGCCTGCTTTTGGCTGATGGGGTAGTCAAGTTAATTAGCTGTCTAAAATGTAGGACAGGGGTCAGGTAAATGACCTTGAAGGGCTACATTTGGCCACCCTCTTAAATATTGGTATTTTTTAAGCCAGTGTTTCTCAACCTGGGGGTCGAGAGTCCGGGGGGGGGGGTCAAAAGAGGGGTTTCATAGGGTCATAGGGGTTTCATAGGGTCTTCCTTTAATAGGGTCTTCCTTTCATAGGGTCATAGGGGTTTTCATAGGGTCTTCCTTTGGGGACCCCTTCTCCAATTGCTTAAGTATTATTGATAAATATAGTTCCTCCATCCTCCATCTCCACCACAAACCACAGTTACCATTCTGAGACTTTCTCTGACACCTTTGCTACAAAAAACGGCAGCTACCATCTCAAGCTCCTCCAGCCCCACCTCTGATTTCAATACCAGTATCTTTTACCATTGTTACTGCTACAATTCACGATCACTCGATCCCACCAGTACTACTATGTGTTTCAGCATCATTAGATGTTCCTGTGACGCCCACCACTTTATGAGGCCACAGTAGCTTGGTGGACTAGGATATGCATGGTACATGGGAGTGGCAGGGTTCCCACCAAGCTACAAACAGTCCCCAAGTTACAAACAAATATAGGTTCTGTAGGTTTGTTCTTAAGTTGAATTTGCTTGTAAATTGGAACAGATGTATTTTTAAGTGTAATTCCAGATGCGTCTATTTATCTATCTATCTTTGGATAGCATAGGGGTTAACACCCCTCTGGAGTTTGTTTTGCTGTTTGTACCTCTGTTCAGAAGAGTTCACCTCACTTTCTGTGCTTGTGAAAACTGGATTTTGAAAAATTTGACTTATTATGAAAACAAGTATTGGTGATAAAGCTTTAGTGGAGACACATTTTCCCCAGGATAACTCTTTCATAATCCATTTTCCTTCTGAGGAGTAGATTTCTCTCACTTCCTGTTGTCTCACCCATGTTCTTAACTTTGAGTCGTTTGTAAGTTGGATTCATTTGTGTGAGCTCACAGATTATCTTTCAAAGAACCACAGTCACCAATAAACAATCTTTTTACCTTCAAATGTGAAGCCAGATGTACGAGGATCACTGCAGGACAATGCAGCTGAAGAGTATCTCCAGATGGATGGAGACAATGGCATGGACCTTTTTAATACAGTTGGTAATCCAGTGAGAAAAATATACCCCTAAAGAAGGGCACATTTAACGTCTCTGCAGTCAGATTTGGGAGTATGTACAAATGGATTAGTCATTCAATTTCAGATAGCATTGTGGTAAATGTGGTAGTAAGGTCTGTGATGAAATGAACAGCATTTAAAGTATTCTGGTGATAATGGCAGCTTCGTAGAAATCGCACTGTATAATTATGATAAGCTTTATGTATCTATATTGAAACCATATTTCTTTTTAAGGCAAATGATGATGAAGAGGAAGAGGGTGCAAAAATCAATGGTTCAGGAACTGATGCAGTAAAATGCCATAGTGCTAAAGGAGAATTTGAAACAACTGTGCCATTGAATAGTTCAGAGAAGCTGATAATTTCTAAACCATCAAATGCCTATGAATTTGGTCAGATGATAAATGCTGTGAATGCCAGTAAGGACATCACTGCTTGTGCAGAGCTCTTGAGGGTGACTGAGCCAAAAGATCTGCCAGTATTTCTGAGCAACAAACTGGAAGGAAGTGTTTTTTTGATCTTTATCCAAGCCCTTCAATCAGATGTGTTTAGCAAGGACCCTGACCTTGTGTACCAGCATCTTGTTCATCTGAGCAAAGCTGAAAGATTTAAGGTAGGCAACTAAAGTCTTCTGTTCTTTGAGTACATTGCTAATAATTGCGTTGACTAGTTGTTTGGACAAATGCAAGGGCTGACCACACACATATTTGTTCCTCTTTTCAGATGGTCCGGTCTTTACTTAATAAGAACGAAGTGGAACGAGTTCGACGGCTATTTGATTCTCTTGCCAAAGAGCAAAAACGAGAGTTTTCTTTAAGTGATCTGGAGAGCCTTAAGAGAGACTTTGAACTTTAAAGAACTTCATTTTGGATTTTGCCTCTTGCATGAAATATCTTGATGCTTGTAGGACAGGCATATAAACTATGCAGACTTGCATGGGAGGAAAGCCAGTCTTTTATCTGGACTGTTTGATAATGCTGTACATTTTTTTGACATGCACACTGAAAAACTGTTTTTTCCATCCTGCATATTTTGTATTCTCGTCGACATTTGCATGACTGTATATTAATGGGCCTGTTTACTCACTACTTGGCTCATTCAGTTGCATCAAGTAACTGGGAGTAGGCCCCAGATTTACATACTGTTCTCACTGGGTAAGTAGTGGTCAGGAAGGGAATGGGAATGGTTCTGAGTCTGAGGAAAGGGTTATGAGCCAACCAAGGACGTAGCCCTCTGTGCCAAGTAGATACACCCCCTCCCTGCAATTGCAGCTCTGTAACACAGTATGTTGATCTAATACTATACTCTACTACAGTAACATGTATTCCTTAAGTTGTAGGTTTTGGTTCATATGTTCTTGGTTGTATTTCTCCCTCTTAGAATACTAACAGCTCTTCTAAAGAAGATGCTGCTCAGAGATGGTAACTTCTTTGTCAGTCTTACTGGCTGAACAGGAATCATTCCTTCCTTTCTGCAGGGGCTCATGCTAAAAGGCATTTCTGACATATTTTGCAATTGGTCTTTGCTTTCTTCCTGCTCAGTGAGATGACCGCTGTGCACTTTAGTGCAGTTGAAGCCAACCCTAGCTTTCATCTGCCACCAAGTCTATTTAAGGCAGACACTCACCTTTGGCTCCCTTGAAGTGTAGCTTTAAGGAAAAACAGTGACTCCTTTCTTCTCACCTTGCGTCAGTGCTCCAATTAAATATGTACAGTAACATGCTCTAGAGAGATGAACATGGGAGTCAAATCAACTGATGGCAAGTTAGTATGAAGGTGATTTGGCTCTCTTCTGTACTGCTTCCTTTGGAGACAGAAAGATGTTTCTTGTGCACTAATGGTGAACAGCAATGGTGAATTAAATAAGGGATATAAAATGCTTTGAAACAATATAACTATTATATTTTTAAACAGGAGCTTAGTAATTTATTATTAGTGTCCATATCCAATTTTATTGTGAGAGGTTGCTCAGGTACTTTTATTATATTGAAAGCGATATTATTTTGTCCTTAATTAAAAATTAAATAAACTGAAATGTTCCATATAAGTGGAGAGACTATCTAATGGAAACTCTTTTCTTTGAAGAACTTTTGCAACTAACATTTAAAGGATATGTGAGAGACTGTCTTTTCACTGCCACAATGTGCTATGATAACAATTTTTATGTTTTCCTAGAAAATTAGGAAACGTAATTTAGCCACCAGTTGTTCATAGTTCCAGTGTTTTTTTTCACTTTCTGCCACAAATTCTGTAGATCCCAAAGCCTCATTTCTTTTCAGTCCTTTCTGTAGATCATTTGAAAAGATAGTTCTAGGCAATGAGAGACTAGATATCACATTTCAGTGCATTTTTATGATAAGGAGAAAGACATGATTTACTCTGAATTAGATGCATCACATTTAATCATTTCTGACAAATCTCATTTTAATGCATAAATCTAGATCAGTGTTGCTCAACCTTCCTAATGCCGTGACCCCTTAATACTGTTCCTCATGTTGTGGTGACCCCCAACCATAAAATTATTTTCTTTGCTACTGTTATGAATTGTAATGTAAATATCTGATATGAAGGGTGTATTTTCATTCACTGGACCAAATTTGGCACAAATACCCAATGCAGCCTAATTTGAATACTGGTAGAGTTGGGGGGGGGGGGATTGATTTTGTCATTTCGGAGTTGTAGTTGCTGGGATTTATAGTTAAAGAGCATTCTGAACTTCAACGATGAAATTGAACCAAACTTGGCACACAGAACTCTCATGGGCAACAGAAAATACTAGAAGGGTTTGCTGGGCATTGATCTTGAGTTTGGGAGTTGTAGTTCACCCACATCCAGAGAGCACTGTGAACGCAAACACTGATGGATCTGGACCAAACTTAGCATGAATGCTCAATATGCCCAAATGTGAACACTGGTGGAGTTTGGGAAAAATAGACCTTTATATTTGGGAGTTATAGTTGCTGGGATTTATAGTTCACATACAATCGAAGAGCACACTGAACGCAGCCCACAATGCATCTGCACCAAACTTGGCACACTACCTACATGGCCAACATTGAATACTGGTGGGTTTGGGCGGGTTGCTTTTGAATTCTGGGAGTTGTAATTCACCAACACCAAAAAGGAAGAGAAGGACAGGCAGAGAGATCTTCAGCCTTCTCTGCCAAAAGGGTTCCTAAGACCAGCAGAAATATGTGTTTTTTGATGGTCTTTGGTGACCCCTATGAAACCCTTCTTTTGACCCCCCCCCCACCAGACTCCCGACCCCCAGGTTGAGAAACACTGGCTTAAAAAATACCAATATTTAAGAGTGTGGCAAGACCTTGTTACTCCTGTGTATGACTACACAAATGACATTTTTGGAATGGTAAGAATTGTTGAAATGGTATATCAGCTATTGACTGAAACTTTGCCCGCTCTGGTCTAGACTCTGAATCTGTTCAGCTCAAGGACCTCCATAATCTGTCACTGATTATAGATGCACGGGAAGGAATCTAGCTGGTCTTCTAATGCTAATAGGTTTACTGTAAAATGCTGCTATAGTTCTTCATTTAGAACTTGAGAGTAATTTTAGCTTCCTCATCCCTTGATCTCTTCTTCATTTCCATCTTAAACTGAATTAACCTCATGCTTGCTGTCTGATACCTACAATGTGATGTTTAGCAAACAGAGGCACACACTATTTGGCACTAGTATTTCATTCACAACATTGGCACAAAGCTGCCTATAAACCTAACATGATTTAACCATAAAGTATCTGTTTTCACAATAAACAACAGCTCTATTAAAGGAGGATTTCATTACACTGTGCTCTTCCATATTTAGGAAAAGACAGTCATTCCTCATGATTCAACAATCACCATGATTTACTGAATCGTTTGAGCCCTACACTTTCATGTGGATGCATAGAAATTGGCAGTATAGTACTTAGAAGATAAACCTATGTCAATGAAATCCAGATGACAGACTAAGATGATTTTCTGGAGCATTGGTTTTAATTTTATAACTTTTAGAAATACTAAACTTTTTCAGTTGCTTAAAGGAATTCAGATCAGGAACTACAAGACTTAAGCTTCATGTACTCCAAAGGAAATTCCATGACTTCTTACATTTAGTCAGGCGTGGGGTATGGAGAACATGCACAAGCGCTTTCCTATCTTGGCAACCGCTTCTTTGCTAGCCTGGGCCCTGCAGTCACATAAAAGTATGAGTGAATCAACCAGCACGTACGTGTGAATTAAAATAATCATTAAGAAGATGACATCAACATATTAGGAAGATTGTACAAAGAGTTTCTTTTACAATCATTTGTTCGTGGAGCAAATTTTACAATACAGGAAGCTTTGACCGTAAATAACACTATTCATTTAGGTTGCCAGCAGTGCTCAACCAAGGCATTATAACTGCAACAACACCTCATGTGCAACAACACCTCATGTGCATTCAGTTTTATACTAGTTCTGACTGGTATTTTGTTTAGTTATCTTGAGAAATGTGCCTTCACCTTTTAGACCAAGTAGTTTCCAACCATTTTTTTAAACCAGGGACCAATTTGACCTGGGACCACTTGACTAGAGACCACTTTGACCAGGGCTGCTTGACCAGGAACCACTTTGACCAGGAACCTCTTTGACCAGGGACCAATTTGATGAGAACCACTTGACCAGGAATCTCTTTGACCAGGGACCAATTTGATGAGAACCACTTGACCAGGAACCTCTTTGACCAGGGACCACTTGATCAGGGGCCACTTTGACCAGGGACTAATTTGATGAGGGACCACTTGACAAGGGACCTCTTTGACCAAGGACCACTTGACCAAGGGCCACTTTGACCAACATTAGTATCAAAAGTGTTACAAATCAGTTTTGGTCAACTTTAGATTCGGTTTGGGGTGCCGATTCAGAAAATTGCATTAGATAGACCATATCAGCTCTAGTTTCTGATACAGAACATATGCCATGGTCAATGATAGGAAAGGAGTGGCAGGCAATGCAAAAGGGGTGGAAATAAAATACAATAAATAAAGAGGAAGGAGGCCCGCGGACCAGATTTTTATCCTCACGGCTCACAGATTAAGAACCACTTTTTAGACTGTGAGTACATTTTCATCTTGTAATCATGAATTCCTTCAATGAATTACACACCACGTATGAATTTTCTCATCTGTCTTTGACAGTAGTACTGAATCACACTTCCTTAGCCATTCTTTTTCTTCCACAAGTATGAAGTTACTATCTGGAAGATGGGTAGAGTAGTCCACACACTGCCAGATTCTTGAGATGAGAGCCATATGGTTGTAACTAGTATTCAAAAAGCAACCGTGTCAGTGTGATATATAAAGAATTGGTTGTGTGGGTGAAGGAAATAAATATGGCTTACATAGCCACACACCAATAGCCTGGAACATTGTCTTTTTATTGTTTTCAATTGAAACAATTTGGAACACTTGTATCACACTGATCTGAAGATATTCCACAGGTAGTCAGAAATATTAACCAGGATAATTTTTGTACAGTTGTTACAAAATCATACTAACAAAGCCAATGTTAGCCATATACACGGATATTAGTCCATGCATGTAACTGTATTCAATTTGTTAGCATCTACTATTGACAAAGGAAACAATGAAGTAAAATTTAACTTCCAATAAACCTTTAAAATTAGTAAGAATAAATTCTGAATGTTTCAACATACTCAACAAATGTATGATCAGCTTACATGCTTGTTTTAAATAGACTCAAAAGGAATACTGGGAAAGGTGATTTTCCCCCCAAAGGGTGTAGAAAGATTCAGTTACTCAATTGTTCTTGTTCCCAAGGATGATAGTAACCTCAAACTGGTGGCACCAGTACATACTCAGATGCTGCTGTTCCTTCCGGAAGAATGAATGGAATATTTCACTTCATAAGAGGGAAAAGGAGAGAAGACATTTCTGAAAAAACATTGTGTTGGTGACTGTGTGCTGTGAGCTCACCATATGTGAATAGTCTTATTTATACTCACAAGACCTATTGATAAATGATTATGAATAATTCAGTTCATATCAGGAGACAAACAGCAGTATGAAAAATGATTTTAAGTGAAGAGAAACATCTCTGTTTCCAGAATCAGACAGCTGTGAAATAGACTATTCCTTGCAAACAGTATTTTAACATTTTAAGGGCTCAACATACTTATTGAGTAGATGGGGGAAAATAAAAATATACATTTCATGGGTAGGGTGCAGCTAAGAAAATCCTGCTAACTGGATGCTCCTGTGGCACTGGGGAAAGCTGTAATCAGAATCTATCTCTCGGTGGTTGGAGAAACCCATTATGTTAGCAGATCTGGATCCAACAAAATATGTCTTCTTAGAAATGTGAACAAAGGGAAATGCCTTAAAAACAGGTAAGAACTGCACATTGATTTCCAGCAGTGAAATATGTAATGGGTTGGTCCAATATTTCAGATAGACAAGAATGGTACAGACCTTTGAGGGGCTTCCTCTAGTGAAAAGTAGACCAAATGATCAGATGCCCAAAAGCTTAGAAGCCAAGAAGGTAAAAGAAATGAAAACAAGAAGCTATAGCACCAAAAAGAATGAGTTGCTGACAACTAGAAATTGTAATGGGTCATAAGCAGCGACTAAATCTTTGTTGGGTGGGAAGGATGCCCCCTTTCACTCCTGGAAATGAAAGTAACATGCATGAGGGCCAACATTTATTTTTTTCCTAGCAGTGAAAGGCTGAACGTACTAGTATGGGACATAACAGAGCTCCTCAAATCAGCAGTAGGAACACATACTCTTGGTGTACCTCACATACGCTATTACTGGCTGCCTTTTGAGCCTTTGCCTGTCAAATGAGAGTTATGCAGAAACAAAAGTTTCAGATTCATAGTCATTCGCAATGGCAAGACTAACATCCAGGTAGCTGGCTGGCAGATGCATAGATGCCCACTAGGAAGGCCATATTGACAAGAACCACTGATATAATGGGATTCCTAGTAAGGTGAGCAACAAGGATCTCTAGGACTTATAGCTTGAAGTGATCCAGGCCTTCATCT